GTTGTCTATAATACTTCCCTAAATACTACACGACATCTTTCAAAAATTATAGAGAATAATTTACGCAAGATTAATCTTAATTTCGTTATTTTTGTTATAGGTAAGATTTAGGTGGAGTAGACTTTAAAAATGACATGACCACTTTATTATTTCTAATTATAATTCCGATGGCCTTAGCTTATGCTATGAATGGAAGGAGACCGGTATGGCGCCATCTATTAGAAAAAGTAACTCAATTTAAAATGTTCAGCAGTATTGTAAATTAAATATTTTCGATCTGTCAACTACATTTCTTTTGGTTAAGATATTGAATAAAATGTATACCTATATATCAACAAAGAGGAGTGTTCGTAATGGTTTAAGCGTGCGACCCTCAACCCTAGTCGTGCGTTTAAACTCGGCTGCACTCTTCACCATGGAAATTTCTCTCTAAATGGCAAATTACCCTTGCTGTTACGGTAAAAATATTTATCGTAAGAAAACCGGTATGTCTTAGATTAAAACATCAATATGTATCAGGTCACCCAGATCACCTACTTGTAGGGTAAAAAATGATCAAAAAACAGATGCAATCGAATAAGGAAAGTGGGTAATGTAAATATTTACATCCAAGTCGTCCAAAGGTCTCTCATTTATTCCGTGACATCAATCAAAATGATATGTGCTCTATTTAGATAGCGCAAGTTAAACGCTTTAGTCATCTTTTGTTTACAAGAAACAATTCCGTAAGTCATTTTCATCATAAACATTCTATGAGCGATTAATTATATATTGCATTTTAATACAGTGAGTCATGATTAAGTTTAAATCACTCGGGGTTATTTAAGGGGGATGTCGTTTTAAATTGCTATAACTACGGCCAGTGTAATATTCTTATTTTCTATATTTGTAAATTGATAAATTATATAAATAAACAATAGGGTAAAGTTCATTACTGGCTACTTTGTTTTTGTCTTGATTGTGTACATTGTTTAGCTTTTATTTTTGTTATAAATGGGCTCCATTCCTGTAGTTAGTACCTAGTTCTTCACTCTGAAGTAGTAATATATGTATATTTTTTTATTCTATATATATATATAATATATATCTCGATAATTAAATCTCAATTTTTTTATCAAAATTAAGTTGCTACACGTATTTGACAGAAAAGGTCGCGAGAAATTATGAGAAATGCGTAAATTGTTCCAGCGATTAAGGCGTGACTTTACAATACACATGCCTAGTAATCTTTGTTTTCGTGAGAAATTAACTAAATTATGAATGAATAAGTGTGATTTGTGTAACAGTCTAGCTTTTCCGCGAGAAGCTTTATATAAATAATGTTTCCAAAAGCATTAGTTGCGTCGTCTGAGATATTTCTGAACATGTTCTCGGTTTATTCTGGTCCAGACGTCGGGCGCCGTGTACTTATATTTCCTAAAAAAAGTCACCTTTGATCTGACCAAGTATCGGAACCAATTTTTCTAAATCGCTCTTGCCTTTGATGATGGACGTTTGAACTTTCGTTTAATAGCCGTTTGGTAATTAAAACGAATGTGATGAAATAGAGGAAATTCGGTGCTCATTTCTTCGATTTAGGATCTTACAACACAACACACTAAAAATGTATTTAAATATTAGATGACACACACTTTGTCTTAAATCATACTTATTTATCATCGTTTCGATACTTGGTCAGATTAAAGGTGACTTTTGTTAAGGAGATATTATGTATATAAGTAAAATCACAGAAAGCGATACATTGTAAATTCCGTGAAAGCCGAAAGAAGCAATCGATATAAAGCCGATGTACAATTATGTCCACGACAGAATTGAAATTTTAAGTCACACGCACGCATTTTGAATGTATTATCCTATGAAATTAGGAGTTCACGATTTTCCCTTTACACTTGCTTCCTGTCCTCATCACGATATCATCCATATTCAGACAATGTATTGAAATAAGTTAGTCATAGCATAGATTATTAATAATTTGAAGTTAGGCAAATAACACTGACTGTAATATTCGTGTATTTGTAGCTAAATACATACTTCAACGAGCGGTAACGTTTTTTTATTTAGTTATTAAATGTACTGATATTTTGTAAAGGGTCCGTCAAAACTTCACGGATAGTTTTTGATATTTTTTTATAGAACAGGGGTAAACAGCCAACAAGCTCACCAAATGTTAAGTGAGCCAATAGACTGCCAGAAGTGCGTTGCCGATCTTTCAAGAATTGGTACGCTGTTTTCTTTACATGAAATAAAACGCAATATAACTATGTGAACAATTCAGTCCACCAATATATTTCCACCAAGTCAGATCCTTATCATAACACAATAACAATATACTCTACACACTTATTACTGAAAACCTTGATTTAAATTGCATTTGAGACGAATCAACAAAAGCGGAACGGAATAAAAAATATTTCTAAGTAAATGTGCTTTCATGAATTCGCAATATGTAGAGAAATTTCATTACATATATAAAATCTCAAGGAATATAATATGTATACTGAAAAAGACCTTTTTGTTCGTTTTTACATACTACCCTCAGAAAACGTCATTGAGAATGAACAATCAGCTTTAATACACATGTAATAAGGTTTGGATTACAGTTTAGTGTGTTTTATCCACTCTATTCTTCTTGTATGAAATCACCATGAATCCACTCCGCTTATTGATAACGATCCCATATCACAAACAATTATCAATATAATTAACTAATGCAATTTTCGCCAAGTATTTATACATGATTGTTATAAAAATGTCAAGAAATCTAGTTTATTTTAGGCCCATATTAAAAATACTCAAGCGCATTTTGTTTTATAGGTAGACTGTCAATTAAATGTGTTTACAGTGCAATTGCAAATAACTAAAATTTATAAACTGTTATCAAGTATCAATATTTTTCGGTGACTACGGGCATTCGACGGTGTTAGGCAATGTCATTTCAAATGACATTATTTTCTCATGTCAATATATTTATCAGACATATATTTTAATGATTTCCTTTAATACACAGATATGAAAAAAAATATCTTATCAAGTATCCTAATTTGTAAGTCGTACTATAGTTGCACATTTAATTGACGAACATTATTTTCAGCAATCAAAAAAAATTTTCGTATTTCAAAACATATCCAAAGACACAATGTTATAATCATTTTCAAAAGTCAAATATCGCAGAGAACTATAAAATCATTTTTGATTTTATAGTTCTAGAGTTAAGAAAACTAAACTTCATATTACATTATTTATAAGTTATATATTTTGGAAACGGTATTCCCAATATTGTTCGTTCTGACATGGAGGTCTTTGCAATATTTGTAAACAAAACTTGAATTATACACGAACATTCAGAGACACTTAAAGTAAACCCTTATTAAAATAGTATCTGATTTTATTTAGGAATAGCAATGACTTTGGGCGGATGATATTTAGACATCGAACAATATTCTCAGCTACCAGATAATCTATAGCGTGTAGGTCCATATCCATTCAGAGTCGAGATTTAGCTGTACGAGTATGTCTCACGTATGTCAAATCCAATACGTGACGTATGGGAGTTATATTTAGCGATGTCTCGACTATAAATGTTACGCTTAAATTCAATTTAATAAATGAGAGCAACACTTGCGAACTTTAAACAAAGAATATCTAAAATAGGTGTATCAAATCTGAATATAAGAATTTTAGTCGCAATGATTCATTGAATAATTATCAAAAATGCAATATAATGATTAGATAGACATATTTGATTGATTTATTAGTACCGAAACAAAGATTCAATTATATCAACTACATATTATGTTAAAAAAAATACAATTACGTAGATGTTGGAATTGCCATAATTAATCTATAAATATTTATGAAATTTTATTTCAAATGAAAATATAGACACGCAATAATTTAATAAGACCATTTAGACGCATTATATTTTTGGATAATGTAATTAATAAATATATATTGTACTGTAAAATGAACGTATACAGATGACAAAAGTCTTAAGTAAATTAATATCATGTATGTATTATTTGCTTTGTTAAAAAAACTATTTTATTTGAAGAGTTTTGTTCTTAATCATATAATTTTATAATATTAAAATCAATTAATCATGCATTTTTTATAAACATAAAAAGTTAATTAATTTTTATATTTCTTATAGTGCGCCATACTTCGACAATCTCCTTTGACAGCAATCACATACTACATACATTCATTATTACTTATAGTATACATGATATCAGACCACAAATGACAATATTTCACGTTAAAATATTTTGTCAAACATTTTAAACAATTATAAACTTAATATCAACTATCACATATATTAAAATAAATATTTTAATAATAACGACAATGTGCTATCGTGGTTTGGTTGCAAGCTCAAGTAGCGTCGGCAAAATAAGGTATTCGTGCTGTAATAAAACATTTTTTAATCAGTTAAATGATAACCTACATTGTTTCCAATAATTAATATTTAGTGAGTCCTAAAAAGTTCAATTTTAATTCAAAATACGATCTGTGACATCAATTCTGTTTCACAGTATCCATAATTTTATTAAAAAATTATGATATTTTTATTAAAAAATTATGATATTTTTATTAAAAAATTATGATATTTTTATTAAAAAATTATGATATTTTTATTAAAAAATTATGATATTTTTATTAAAAAATATGATATTTTTATATATACACACGGTACATTACTAGCCTAATATTACCACAAAATTATTTTAAAGCTTGAACTAAGGATAGTACCATCTTTGTTACCATGGTTACGATGCACCAAGCAACTCCAGTATTTAAGGTTCTTTTTATGAAAAACAAACCCGTCCAACTATTGTCTATTACATAAATAATATTGTTTCATATACAGGTGTCTCATAAATCAAGGTCATGCCTCAAATAATTTCTGGGAAAATAATTTCGCTTGACATTGATTTATGGGACACCCTGTGTAAGGTAAAACAAATGAAATAATTAAAGATCTCGCATCACCTGGTGGGTTGTCAGGCGAAGTAGGCCCTGACTAGCGCCTTAACCGCGGCACGGCATAAGGGGCATGATGTTAGGGCCGTACTGCACATCCCACAGGACACTAAATGACCGCATGGCAGGAAAACCATGCTGACCTGCGCATACACATCTATGGTACATACATTGACCTATGAGCTCTCAAGTTGCAACATTTGCTTTTAAAATATTTCATACACGTTTTCAAAGAAATCTTAATCTTTAGTGAAATCAAATGTTAAGGTAAAGGGTGCGGTTCAAGCCATAAAACAGTTTTATACTTGCTCATATTGTGAAGACGTACGATGTCTAGTTAAAACGTATAACCTTTTGGGTCTAAGAAAGTAAAAAAGGTGTAATCGAATTGACAATCTCCTTCGTTTTTTAAGTCAGTTAAAAATTTATATATACACTAAGGGATAAAAACTCGAGAGGTTAAATTATGCCTGGAAAAGATCACTCGAAAGCGATAAGGCCGCCCGTTGCCTTCGCTATAATTTAATACTTATAATGTCTACTGATTTTTACATCGAAGTATTAAATATAAAATATTTGTATATTTAAATAATTGTACAATTTTTTAAACCAAAAACATATTCCTTACCTCATTATCCATACAGACTTTGCAAAGCCTGGCTTCCTTTAACTGTCGATTCTCTTCCTCCAAGGTCATCTCTTTCTTTTCAACTGGTGTCTTTGGTCTTTCCTTCTCTGAATTTATTAATTTAATTGGTCGAGGCTGTTCTGGTAGGGGTGATGCTGAGGAGCTTTCGGAAGACTGCCTGCTATCGGACCTGTCTTCATCCAGGTGAAGAGCCCTGAAAATAGAAGTAATATTTGTCATTAAACTTGTCAGTGAAGTTATTAATAACGTAATTATTACAGACAGAGTCGTCCATTAAAATTATCTAAGACAAAAAGGGGGGAAGATGATATAAGTAGAGCAGCTGGCCCTATGTGGCTACGTAAAGCTAGACACTGAGAAGCTCTTAGAGGAGGCCTATTTCGAAGGATAAGCTGTAAAAAAAAAATTAACCGGCTTGACGATTACAGCAATAAAGGCTATTATTATTATTATCTTAAGAACGCTGAAACTCAGGTACGAAGTTTAGTATACGAAGAAATTATAGAAATAATTAATCTATGATTAACTTAATTCTTAATTAAATAATTTAAGTAACTGTCAACTAAGTAAGATGCATGTAAGAGGATTTTTTTATAGAACGGGTCAAACGGGTAGGAGGCTCATCTGATGTTTAGTAATAATGGACACTCTTAATGCCATAGGGCTCGCGAGTGCGTTGCCGGCCTTTTAATAATTGGTACGCTCTATATTTGTCGAAATCCAAGTTATTATCCACGTAAGAACTCTAGTTGACATAAAAAACGACTCCTGCGCATATAACGACCCTTCTTAAGTACCGGGAGCTATATAAACATATCAAAACTGTGTTTTTCTCACCTACTCTGATGGTTTATTCTCCTTGAATCAATACAGTTTTTGTAAGTTCATTTACTATTTTCCTTTTTCCTTTTTAAATTAAATTATCTAGTCATAGGCGAATTAACTTACCATAAAGGTGGTAGCTAAATTGATAAAGAAAACCATTTAACCATTAAAAGAGAAAAATACAAACATTCTAAGATAATTGTATACAGTAAAAAAAGAAACAAATTAAAAGAGACATTGTCAATTGTCAACGAGCACCCACTGACACCTAGGCATTGACAGCTGCCATCTGCGTTTACGGAAATGGCCACTGAACCGAAGCTGATAATGTGTGATATGTAAAGATAATATCCAGCATATAATATAAATAACAATTCATAGTATTAAAAAGTTACCTAGCACTTGTATCAAAGACCCGCAGTGTCTCAGCGAGTATGTCCCTCGCAAAGCGCTGACTGGACACCGTACTCCAGGCTTCTTCATTCAACTGATCATCCAGAACAGCATCTATCAACGACTCGGAATTCGGAAATGGCGATCCTAAAAATTTGAATTAAATAGTAAAACAACGAACAGGTTAAAAAAATAAAAACATGCAAAAATGCATCGAAACTTTACGGGATAGAATTTGTTTTTTATTAACACGTGTAATACGCATAACAGTTGTTTTTTATTCCTTAGTAAAGCTTTTTAATTGGAGTAGAAGTGAGTCCTTGTATACTTTTTAAAAATAATGATCATTTACGACTCGTTACAATTATGACGGGTTATAAGCCCATTGTTATAGCCGCTTTAAAAAAAGAGCAGAAAATTAAATCCGTTTTGTTCTAGGTTTAGAAGAATACAATAATATAATGATTTTCAATGGATATTGTTTTCTAGGTTTATTGAAGTTATACTTCTTTAGGCGCGTTATGAAAAATTGATGAGAGTGAAATTTTACGATGCGCTCGCACCGCGGTCCGTGACACAAAATTAACAGAATGAAGTTGCCCACGGAAGATGCTACGGCATTGGACATAATTTAAAAACAACATTCGAATAATAATGGAATTTATGTTACACTTAATGTAAGAGAATAATAATAAATATTTATTTATTTAATTTATCAAATGTAAACTGAACTTTATTGACTATAATGACTCTTTTTCCTGTCTTTGATTATTTAATTGTAATTAATTATTTGCATGCAATCAAAAACTATTTTTAATAATGCCAAAGAAGTATAACTTCTTACGCGCGTACATAAGTACACGCACCCTTTTTTGTTCTTCCCATACCTCATACTATTTAAAATAATTAATATGAAAAATAAAATAAGTACTCCCATAGTTGTGAAATGGTCTGTTTTTTTATTTATTACACATTGCAGTAAATTACAACTTTTAAATAGTAATTTAAGGTTTTAATTAAGGCCTTTGCTTTTAAGTAGTTAACTAGAATATTTTAGTCGCAAATGAGTTTTTTTTTTATAAATATAAATACTGACCTGTGGCCTGCAACCGTCTAACAATAGCCCGCCTGACTCGCGCTGCATCCAAACCAGCTCCAAGGGCATCCGCCGCCGCATTGCTTTCCATACAATTCTCTATCTAAAAACATTTTAGTATTACGAAAATAAGTTTTTTTTTATTTAACAGGAGGCAAACGGTCTGAAGGCTCACAAGTAGTCAAGAAGAATGTTCAGAGAAGTTGTTCGGACTAATACCTGCAGCTCAGTTTCATCATCGGACGTCAAGGCAGAATACAAAATACCATCCGTATCACCTCTACGTCCGTCGTTCCACAACTGAGCGTTTCTTGAGGCAGTTTAAAGCACTAAACATCAGTTGAGCATCCTGCCCGTTTGCTCCATTATATAAAAAAAAGGGTGCGTGTACTTATATACGCGCGTAAGAAGTTATATTTCTTTGGCATTATTAAAAATAGTTTTTGATTGCATGCAAATAATTAATTACAATTAAATAATCAATGACTGGAAAAGAAGTCATTATAGTCAATAAAGTTCAGTTTACATTTGAAAAATTAAATAAATAAATTTTTATAATTATTCTCTTACATTAATTGTAACATACATTATATTATTATTCGAATGTTGTTTTTAAATTATGTCCGTGCCGTAGCATCTTCCGTGGGCAACTTCATTCTGTTAATTTTGTGTCACAGTGCGCGCGCATCGTAAAAATTCACTCTCATCAATTTTTCATAACGCGCCTTAAGAAGTATAACTTCAAAAAAATATGTTTACCTGACTTTCAGTGACCGGAAAGTTCACAGAAGCATTCCGAGGTCCTGAAGTTAGTACGCCACGTTCAGCTGATGACACCTAAAATTAAAATACAGAATCATTTTAATGCATTATTCCACTTTTAATGACGCAGTAAGGGTGCGTCCACAGTTCGCGTCGTTTGCGAGCTGTGCGCGTGCATTTTTGTTCGTACGCCGCCCGCGCGCAGCATTCGCGGCATATTCGCCAGATGTGGACGCACCCTAAGATGGAAGAGAGGAGACAACGATTGATCAATCTTCCACGATGTTGAACCCGAACGAGGAATCAGAGATGCATGATGACGTGGTAATGGAGAATGAAAAAGTGAGAAAGAGAAAGACAGATTGTTGACAACAGCAACGAAAACCTGAACATTATCAAGAAATAAGAAAACACGATTTGAGTATTAACAAAAAATCGCAATAAATATAAAATTCTTAATATTAATCGCCATTACCCCGATACCATGATTCTTAACATTCTGTTCCATATTTGTAACTTAAAATTATTATATTTATTATTCATAATTGTATATTTATACAAGTATATGTATAAGTATACAATTATGAAAAATTTGATAACGGAAAAAAATAAAATAGGGTGGCATTCGGAGGAGGCCTTCGCCCGCGGACGGGCGCCGCATCTTAAATTGTACCTAATTTAACTTACCGTCCGTCGTGCGTTACTGCTACGGGCCGTATCAACAAACTGCTGTCCCTTCATAAGTAACACGTATCCGCATTGTGGAAACCAACGCGCGTGCTCTCGCCACGGTATATCGCCCGCCTCCCATTTGCCCAGACCACCGTCACAGTAAAAACAACGAACCTGGATGAAATAAAGACCAATTTAAAAAAAGAGGTGTTATAAGTGTGACGTGTCTGAATGCCTGCTAAACGATTTTTTATATATAAATACAATAAAGTCTTTATTTGAGTGAAAGAGTACATAGGATGATTGATAGAATTAAAAAGCACTGCGCAATCCGTTGTCAAAGGTGCATGCAGTGTCAAAATATAAGTTATTTTCTTCGTAAACAAAAAGAATCTTAGTTATTCATTAGGCTTTTATTTCTTCTACTATAATTAAATTTACCACAAGACATCACATAATTTATATTTATATTATCAAAGAGAAGATATTTACTATCTGTATGGCATAGATATTTTTGCTAGACAATAAAGTAATTTAATTATAAAACAAACATACCTGATCTTCTAACCCAGTATAGAAAAAACCAGCTTCAGCTAATGAGCAAGGTGCTTGAGGCCGATCTTGGGGCCAGTTGCAATCAAAACTTGCCATTCGAGCTGCCAAAGAGGCCTTTGTAGGATGCCTAGCTCCTCCGCTAACAACTCCCAGATCTCTCCAGGTACTGCCAGCTGCTACTACTTGCTCATTATGTTCTGCTCCACTTCTGGAAGTAACACAATATTTGAAGAACTATGGCTAATGTTAAGGAAATTTATATTTAATATAAGTTGAACTAAAGAAATTAAAAAATCTTATATACCATTAATTAGTTTCAAACCTTTTTTTATATTTGTAATCTTCTTTTGTGGTAAGTTTTGTTTTGTTTTTAATTAAAATAACTGAGTGCATTCACATTGTGGCTAGGTAATTAACACAGAAATTATATAATCCAAAGGTCCTGTTCACAGGTTTGATGCTTGGTAATACAATGCATGTTGTATGTGTAATGCGACTATAAAGTGATATACTAATAAGGACTGAATATGAAAATGTATATTAGACTAATGCCACTACAAAATACATACAAACAGAATTGGAAATACTCAAAATTCAAACCTTATTAAATCTTCTAAAAATTGCACAGTTCTAACCAAAACGGATATGGGAATATAAAATTATCCAAGAGCCCTTGTTTTTGATTAATGTAAGATATACCTAGATAAATCTCATATATATGATATTATTGATAATATTTAGTAGACAAGAAATAACTAACTCACTTAAACTTTCAAACTAAATGATAAACTAAAGACATTAGATTTACCTGGACCTTGGAATAGTTAATATGAAATGTAAACAAGATACTGCTTTGTTTGCTGACATTGTGGTTATATTAACCAGTTATGTTGTGAGTATGGCTGCTGGAATAAACTAACCTAAACATCTGGATTTACCAAATTGATTTTGTAAATTCTTTCATCTGTAGACTTTTATTAGTAAGATGTAATAATTAATATCTGAGATCTGTATGTGTGGTCTTCCCATCCTTAAAAATTTGCTTAACTTTCAATATACATTGTAAGTCAAATACTATGTTCTCTGTTACTTACGTTTGCAGAGGTATTGTGCCCTGTGGTTGGGGAGTATCACCTCTGAACTCTGGTAAGTCATGTATGTTTTCTGATATCTCTATATTAACATTATCCATTCTCGCTCTTCTAGTTGCAAATTCACACATTGGGAAATACCTGTAATTTTATATTTATTAAAATGTATATTTAAAAATATTTATACTATTGGCAAAACAACATGTAATAAACATTTTGAAATTTCCTTTGAAAAGCCTGTCTATACTTAAAAGTTCATATTACACAAAACAAATAGATGGCATATAGCATGTGGGAAAACTTCTCTAAGACTAGTCTTTTTATTTACATAAATAATTAATGGTATTGAATGTAGATGACTCTACTGAAGGTAGTTGATTCACCCTTAACTTCATATATATAAAATCAAAATTATTGATTACATCTGGTGTATCTCAAGAGGTGATTCTAATCCCATATTAGTTAAAGATCCCAATTCACCACCACACCAAGCACATCGCAGGCGCCCACCGCCAGCATGATAAAAACCAGCATTTACTAATGCTTCTCGTGAAAAAGATGAGTCCTAAAACAATTTATTGAATTACAATATTTTATTAGCACATTTGTTTTAATAAATTTAAGGAATCTATTTATGTAAAATAAGTTTAAAAAATATACTTGTTCACTATTTCAAGAATTCAGTAGGTTTATAAAAGCAGCTTTTGAATTTACATCAGATCTAGATTGAACAATATATTGATCTAATGTTATACTGCAGATAAATTTTCTTTTAAAATTTTAATTCCATATAATTTTTGATAGAGATATGGATCTATGGCCTTTTAATATATTTATTGATTGCATTTTGTGGTTACTGTTGATTATGAATGGGTATGCACTCCAGATACTGGTTTTTTCCTAAATTTTGTATGTATAGAAGAAGATAGAGAGAAGGTGATGTAATATTTCAGCACTAAATAGTAACCAGATTTTATTTAAACTAAGAGTTTTACTTTACACTTCCACTTTATACATCCATTTATAAACCACCTACAGTAATAAGTAAACAATTATAAAATTAATTTACTTACATCCCAATTAACATATGAAAGCAGTCTTAGTGCATCACTTCTATACATTAGATCATCTTGAGTTAATTCATATTGCATAGGGGTAACAGATATATCTACAGGCCTTGATGAACTACTCTCTTCATTTCTTAATGTATATGCTTGATTAACTACAGATGGAACATTTCCAGATAGATGGGGTGTTACAACAAACAAACAATTGGAATCCATCATACGGTGACGCCCCATAACTTGATCACCATAATTCCACTCAGAAATCTTTCCACCACAGCTAAAACATTCAACCTCAGTTCCATTACCAGAGTAGAAAAAACCAGCTCGGGCTATTCTTATTGGATCAACGGGAGCTGAGGCAGGCCAGTTAGTAAAGGTACTAAGCCTGTTTGCTTCTATATTCATGTTGAATAGACTTGAAATTCAATGACACTGTTGATATAGATTTATTATTAAAAAGAACGAGAGAACTCATCGATTCTTAAATACATTTAAAATTATTTGTTTCATTCGAAGGGCGAAATGGAAGATTAAAAAAGTTTATTGAACGATTAACAGTTGAGCAGTGTATCAATGAAATATCTGAAATTTAGCTATACTAAACGCAGAAAAGAAAAAAACATTACAATAAGCCAAACTATAACAGTAAATTTATTATTTTGGTTAATTTTCTAGCCTTATGATCAATAATATTATAATACAAACTAAACTCTTACAATTGACATATAGCTAATAGCACATGGCACTTGACATTTGACAATTATCACTGTTATAATAAATTTATTACATGGTGAGGTAAAAATTAATTAAAAAAAAAATTAATTACCTCGAAAAGTGAACAGTATTTTTATTTTGAATGTGACAATGTCAAAAAAAACTACTTTTTACATACACAAAGACAATATTTTTATATTACATTTACATACACAAAGACAATATATTTTAATTACATTTACAAATACAATATAGAATTGCTTAAAAGGTCAAAAGCATTGTGCCAAGTGCCAGCAGTTATCAGCTACCAATACTCCTCATCACGAACCTATCGCCGCTTAGCAAATCTCTACTAAAAATAAAATTTTCTTTTTTCTTTTCTCACAGTGGTTGCCTGGAAGAGATCGCTCGAAAGCGATAAGGCCGCCAGTTGCCTTTCCTTTACTTGTAATTTTGTTAATATTTTATATCATAAAGCAACAAAGTGTAAATAAATAAATAAAAAAACCTTAAAACTCAGTTTGCGCAGCCGCAGCCCAGCTAACTGCTTTGTCAGGACATCAGCTTCCATATTTTCGGCGCATAGGTTACTTCTATTACACCCTGCTAAATCAAATTCCGGATGTAGTGAAGCTTTGAGTCGATAATATGTTTCCATTTTGACGTTTACGTTACCATATCGTTATGACTTAGGCTATGTTCAGATGGCAAAAACTTGACGCGCGTTTTCAAATCGCGCGACTAGAGATTATGGTATTTTCATACAACTGTTCACATGTACGCGCGTTAACGCGCGTCAACGCGGCGCTCAGGAGAAAAAGTCTCTAGACCGCAGGTGATCGCGCGTTTGACGCGCGCTTAATATTAATGTAATGTCCGTTTGCTGTTCAGATGAGTGCGCGCTTTCATCGCGATCGCATGTAATTTTGTTAATTTTCGTAATTATATTTTGTTCTCGCATTTAAAATGAGTGAAATTGAAGATATTGACATCGACTTACTAATCGATGAAGTAGAAAAAGGCCAGCAAGTTAGAATATAGCAAATTTGTATAAAAAAATATAATATAATTTGTTTTTTTTCAAAATTTGGATGAACCCAATGTGTACGTTTTCTTTTCTATATTTTTCTTTATAAATATAACCACAAAATAATAGCCTCTTCCACGTCCATCTTCTACGTTCTACCGAACTAGACTAACGAGTATCTCGCAACGCGCGTTAGCGCTCTCATCTGAACGCTCTTCAAATTTGTGCGCGTTGACGCCGTTAAAGCGCGTTACATGTGAACATAGCCTTAACTTTAATGGTTATCACGAGGATTGTTATGCAATCAATGTTTACAATGGCAAACATTGTATCTGCTTTTATGGCTATTGCGAGGTACATGAGAGTTCTAATTAGATTTTTGTATTGAAGCGGACTGTTTTTTTTCACAATTTCAGTCCTTGAAAGACCTGCTTCCAGTGGTGTAGGCGATATTTTAGCCTGTCATGTTAAATTTCTTAAAGCTGCCTTTATTGAAAGCCTCTTGGTTTAATTTGATTTCATCGTCTTTATTGTGAATATCTGTTTGAATGTGTAAGTAATAGCAGATAACACTTGTCGTATTATGTGAAGTGACAGTTTTCAAATATTGGAATGTTTATTTAAATGTTATAACAGATGAGTAGCCGAGGAATGGGCGCTTGTTGTCGCTGGACAGTGCGAGCCGAACGCACAGCGAAAAGGTTATGTTTCCGGCAGTGGTAATAGTTGTCCGGAACGTATAGCCTAATGATCTCTCCCAGCAAGTATGCGCTTCATTCTTAATCACGCTTAGACCAAACCTGACCACCGAAAAATCCCTACGAAGCTCTATGAATTATACCCTAACACGCCCATCAAGAACTTAGTAAGGTAGGAGGTAAGGAAAAAAATGTATCTTCTTTTAGTAATATATATTAGCCATAAAGTCAGTGTTTTAAAATAGCCCTCACCTCCAGAGCCCATTCCCCTCAAATAGAACCGTCTAAGATTTCGCTCTTTCTTTTAATGAAATATACGTAACCATATCTAGAAAAATCATCAATAAATGTTATTTCCCAATTGATTCCGTTCTAAATGGCCCACAAACGTCGGTATGTAGGTACTACCTCTAAGACATCGTTGGCGGTTGGTATAAACGTCTTCGTGTCTTTTAAAGGGTTATCGTGTCATTTATCTTTAATGCACGTTTCACAATTCTCTAATATTTCGTCATGTCAAAAAAAATACGTTTTATATCTACAAAGACAATATAGAATCATAGCTACAAAGGTCGAAAGCTTCGTGCCAGCAGTTATCAGCTACCAAAAGACGTTACTTAAATATGTGTAAAAAAACGTAGACACTAAGCTATTCAGCTCATATATAGTTAAATGTATGAGTCAATCAGATATCTTATTCACATATTATGTTTTAACTTGGTGGTCGTAAATTCATTTACCAAAATTTGACGCTTGTTACTTTAAACTTTTTACATACACGTTAAATTGAGGGGTTGGATTTAGAAATCCGTCGCCCGAATTTGATGATACTAATTATGTAGGTTTCTCGGGGGAACACCTCCAAATGATTTTTTCTACCGGAGTTGCGTCTAAGTATTAAGGATTAAAATTCGCATAAACGAGCTGCCTTTTTTGGGCTACCCCCATAAGTATCTCTTTAGGTAATGGAGGGTCATCGGGGTTATGGAACATACAAGAGACTACAGAGTAAACACCCAACAACATGTATTTTGGCATTGAGTAGCGCGTTCACAAAGCCTGTTAGGATAAAATCATCTCGAATATTATTATATTTAAAAAGAAAACAAGTTTGAAAAGGCGCCAGAAATGTCGCTAAATTGAAATAAAATGTCGCTTTTCATGTTAAAATGTCGCTTAATCTAGCGAGTAGCGACAAAGTCGCTGAATTTAAAAATGGCATCACTGTCCTAGGGGGAACATTCTATAGAAGTTGGCATCACTGCCCTAATCAGTAATCACTAATCAGTGCGGTCGTGAGTCGTCGCCAAACTTAACACTACAGGTAGTGTACAGTCAACAGTGTAATAGTCAATAGATGTAGTCAGTTGTAACGTGCTCTGATTTAAATTGTAGTATAATTTTTATTTAAAGTATAAATTGTGCTCAATCATAAAGTACTTTTATTATTTATTTATTCTAGTTGGAGAACAGGAAGCTTTTAGAGTCTCAAAAGATGATTTGTATTATAAGTATCAGTGTAATCGTATCTGGGCTAGCTATTTTATTAGTTTTCTTACATTTCTCAATAGATAAAAGAATGTTGTACAAAAATTTAAATAATAAGCATGTTGTTGTGACTGGCGGGTCGAGTGGTATTGGTAAGGCTGTTGCCATCGAGGCCGTAAAATTAGGAGCTAATGTAACAGTTATTGGTCGAGATATTAAGAAACTAACATCTGTAGTTACTGAGATGCAAGGACATTTGATTAATAAAGAACAAAAAGTACAATATGCATCATTGGATGTTACATCCGATTATAATACCATAGAAAAATGTTTCTCTGATTTGGAAAATAAAATTGGAACAATATTTATGTTATTTAATTGTGCTGGTATGTGTATTTGTGGTAAATTTGAAGACATGAAAATTGATGAAATTAAACAAATGATTGATTTAAATTATTTTGGAACTGCATATCCAACAAAGTATGTTTTACCAAAGATGAAAGAGAGAAATGAGGGTATTATTGTTTTTGTTTCAACAGAAGCTGCCTTATTAGGTAAGTCTAGTAAGTCCAATAACATAAACTATGGACATATAAGTTTATAATAAAATTGTACTCTTCAGGAATATATGGCTACAGTGCGTATGGTGCAGCAAAATGGGCAGTTAGAGGCTTAGCAGAATCAGTATTTATGGAACTGGTTGGAACAAATGTAAGGCTGACTCTTGCATTTCCTCCTGATACAGACACACCTGGGTTTAAACAAGAGGAACTCACAAAACCTGCAGAAACCAAACTGATATCGGGCTCAGGAGGCCTTCATTCTCCATCCAAAGTTGGTAGGAAGATGCTTCAGGATGCACTAGTAAGTAAAATATGAGACAGGTTATATCAAACATTAATGCAGTTTATAAATTATATATAATTATTCCATTATAGAAGCATCAATTTTCTTTTTGTTTTTTCAGAAAGGAAAATGCTATTCAGTTTTCGGATTTAGCGGACAGCTTTTATCCCTACTATACTGTGGAAGTATAGATAGTGTAAGTCAAGTATTGCTTCAAATTGTGACTATGGGATTTTTACGTGCTATTGTAGTGGTCATCATGTTATCGTTTCACAAAATTGTAAGAGACGGTTTAAGTAAAAAAAAAAAAGAAAGTAGTAACTAAAAATATATATAAGAATTTCTCTGAACATATGCATTGGGCAGTATTAAGCAACAACCATGGTAATAGTAATTGCATAAAAACATTGTATAATTACACATAGAGATAAAAAAAAATATTTATATAATTGGGAACAAAAGCAAGATACCTATAAGATATTAATTAAAATTTATTTGTTTATAGTAATGACACCCAAAGTGCCAAAACCTAGAAAATATAAGTAACAATACTATATAATATGACTCGATGTATTTAAAAGAAATAGGCACTATAGTTATTGGCTAATCTATGATATATATCAAGTATATTCTCGAGTTTAATGTGTGCACTATTAAAAATATATAATAGATAGGTATTCTTAACTTATTAGGTTGTAAGACAGTTTCTTTATATTACCTCACCAACAATATAATAATAATTTCAGGAGTATAACTTTTTATATAATTAGATTATTTTTATAGAAACCATTATAATTTATGAAGCATTTAAGCACACATTTTGCTGATAGTGTAATTTAAAGCCACGGCCAGTGTAAACACTATCAGATCTAAACCAAACCATTATCGGACCAACAGCACTATCTGAAAGAGACGAAAAATGCATTTAATTTTTAAACTTGACGGAAAATACATAATAAAAATTATTTCGGATGTTTAATTTATATTCCTAACCACATTGTACGATCTATGAAGAAATAAATATTAATCGTTGATTAATTCAAAAGTTTGTAAAACTATGAAGACCAAGCAAAAGTATGAACCTTAACTTTGTTTAGTTTGTTTATCTATTTTGTACCTGTAACTGGTGCATCAAAAGAGAAGTCTTGAACGGCAGACCCATCATTTAATCGTTCTCCACAAAGTCGTACTGCGGATATTAACAGCCAGTCTGACGGACAATTAAAAATTTCTACTCCGGCTTGTCTCGGTGGTAATATTGGAAGACCTTCTAAAAATTACATATATCAATAAGGCAGGCAAAGTATATATGACTCTGGAAGTGCTTTGTATCAAATTAATATATAATATAATTATTTTACTTATAAGATTATGTACAAAAACTGCCTAATTAATTGTTTTCCGTTGGTATTAATTTGACCGCCACTGTTCAAGATAATTAAGATAAAATAACGATATGTAGGTAATATAAAAGATATAATTGTCTTTTTTTGTTGTCTTTTATAATTTAGCCTCGTTAAATTGTATATTATTATATGGAAATAAATAGATCTATGCCACTCACCACCATCGTAATTAACGATCTGCATGTATCCAGCATTTTTATATGTGATACTGCAAGAACCCGGTTGACGTTGTATACAAATGGCATAATTTAGATTATTCTGCAAATAAATTCATAAATATCATATCTACCACATCTTAATATATATATATTTCTTCTGTGCGTGTGTATGTGACTGAACTCCTCTCAAACGACTGGACCGATTTTGATGAAATTTTTTGTGTGTGTTCAAGGGGATCTGGGAATGGTTTAGATTCACAAATCAGCCCGGCAGATGGCACTGCAGTCGGTACTTTCATACTTTGCTTAATATCCTAATCGCTTTAAATATCATGCAGGACAACGTCTGTGGGGTCCACTAGTACCTTATATAATTTTTAAACAATGTAACTTTAATTACCAGATAAGATGATGTTTTTCCAATCGATATATCGGAAATGTCCCGATAGTTAAAAGATACCAAATATCCCTGCTCTTCTTGGAAATACTGGAGACATCCAGACGGTGGTGATAAGGCATTATTTGGCAAAAGTTGTGTAATCTAGAAAAAAGTAGAATTTATCATATTATTCAGATTAAAGTCAACCTATATTCTACTAAGTAAGCGAAATTAAGGTAAGTGGGGCCAAGATGAAAAATGGGCTAAGACAATAAATATACCGATTTTAACGTATTTTTTAGTGCTGGTATTTTTATTAAAACCGCCAGTTTCTAACGTTCCAATCCACATTTGAAGTTAGCCGCCCAGAGTGCGTGGAGTGCGTGAATTTGAATAATTTCTGCGTCGTGATTTTTCGTATAATCTTCAAGTGATTTAATCTTACCCCGTGTACTGTAACTTTAATTACAAGATAGGTACGACTGTTTCATAGGAATATTTAATTATTGTTTTTTATTCTTAGTTACGAAATCACATCAATAAACGGCTATTTTTAGTCATTTCTCAACTTTCCATCTTTACCCAAAAAAAAAAAAAAAAGTGGGGTAAGATAAATATACAAAAGTTTTGATCTTACTCCGTTCCCAAGTGTCATACAAAAATTCAGTTATTCTCAAACTTTAACTGGTAACAGGAAATAAATTAGCAACGTACCTTGTTGATATTTCCACGGGACTATGTAGGTATATATTACCGAATATGCAAAGATAAGTAAAAATTAAATAAATTAAAATTCGATTTTAATTATCTTATCTATCTAAATTTGTACTTAAAATAAAAGCCGGCGTTAAAAGTATTACATTAGGTCACCCTCCCGTCTTTGCTCGTGAAATCGAAAGGAGATTAGAGAATGGCCTTAAAGTTTTGAAAAAATGGGGTTTTGAGCTATCTAGAAAAAAAGTCTTTTTTCTCGTGGAACGCTATATTACCACATTAAAGAACCATATTCCAGAACCAGATTGGTTTACTTAAATTCTCTAAACGTCATGGACTAACATACTGAACATACATATAACCCGTATATTATTCCGAATTAAGAGAACCCCGTCCTCTCGAACATGGCACAGGCAAATAAAATATATCCCCTAAATTTTATGATGGGATTCGTGGAAAATTGATATGGCAAAAGCTCGTGAACGTCTGTTTCAAATTTCAATCTTTCCCCGTTGATGTAAGATTGATATATTAAATATTATTAGATGTATCTTTGTTAAATAAAGGTATTTTTTCACTAAAGTCAGATGTTTGTTTTCAAGACACTAAAGGCTATGGACTTAAAACCGTTGACGACATCTTATATAAATTTTTACGATTTTAGAAAAAATTTCAATCTTTCCCCGTCACGTTTTCATCTTTACCCTGTTTTGTAGTCGCATCTTAATTTTTTTATTTAATTATTTTCTCTGTTTGGAATTGATTTAACAATATATTTATTGTTCTACAAGAGGTTCAAACACAACTCTGCTCATCTCATCAAAAAACCGTTGAATCTTCCCCCCACTCACCTTATAGAAACTCTATATATAAGAAAAATAGGCAATAAATACATGTCTATAATATTTTTTCTCGCTCAGGAATAATGAGTTGATGTAGGTATTTAAGACAACTGCTGCCACTGCCACTGCCACTAATATGTATTCGTATTGATAATAGATATAAAAACAAATATTTAGGTCCTGAACAAATCAACAAATTACCTAATGAGCGAACAAAAACAATATAAATGTCTTTGTTTATTTATTGTCTAATTTTTATTCTTCAGTAATTGTCCTTAAATATTTGCAGGAAATCGAGATAAGAAAATTTATTGTACAGTGGGATTTATTGAAAAAATAGATTATTCGCATTAGGTCATACTTAGGTAATACACAATTGATGTTTGTGTCCCTAGTAAAGATAACAAACATTATAAGGAAAATTTCTGATCAAATTTGCATGTCATTGAGTGTATCTTTTGTTAAGTTTGTACACACGCTTGTGCGTCGCAGTATTATTTAGTTTTAGTTATTAGGTATTTTAATAGTGATTGTTTACTGCCGACAATAAAGGAATTAAAGAACGCGCATTTTGTATACTTACCTACATCTCTACCACGATTAAATGTGTTAAATAAAATAAATCAGTGGCGCTACAACCTCTTTAGGTCTTGGCGGAGAGTTGCCAATTATTCTCGTCCGTCCAACGCTCTTGATTTGAGAACTGGCATTAAATGTTAATTAAGAACCAGTACCTAATTCTTTTTTTGTAATGATAAGAGTGCATTAAGTTACCTATGAATAAATGATAATTTGATACTTTATTATCAGTTGATATACCTTTATAGCAAATATACGACTCTCAGGTGTAACAGTTTGGATCGACAAATTGATAGGACCTGCCGAATTTCCAACTTCTACATAAACTGCAAATAAAAAAATACGTTAAAATCTATACAACACTAGCGGACCCGACAGGCGTCCTCCATGATATTTCAGCGATTAATAGGGTATTAAACCAAAGTATGAAAGTACCGACTGCAGCGCCATCTGCCAGGCTGATTTGTGAATCTAAATCATCCAGGGCACCACCAAAAAGCATACAAAAAAATTCATTCAAATCCTCATCATTTCAGTCTTCATTCAAGTCCTGCCGTTTAAGAGGAGTTCAGTGACATACAAACGTACACTAGAATTATATATATTAAGATTTATTGAGCAGTTTGAATAGAACCTATTCGTGCACAGAATGTAGGACTGAAAATTTGATTTTAAGTTCCTGAAAAACAAAAAACTCTTCGCCGAAGATACTAAGAGATCTTTTAAAATCTACATAAAGAAAACTGGATTACTGATCACAACAGCAACAACAGAGTTATGTATGGTGTCTCATAATATACTGCTCAAAACAATTAGCGGAACAAGATGTTTCTCCTTTCTATTGCTTAAACTAAAATTAGATTTAAATTAACTTGTACGCTATTTTTTACCTTGTTAATTTGTTAATTACTACAATTAATAAAAAAAATCAATTTGTATTTTTTTTATTAAAAAAAAATTAAAATGTGCATTGTAGACGAAAAACAAAGTGACGTCTTTGAATTTTCATTACTTTCTAATCACAGAAAACACATTTTAAGTAGTTTTTTTCAATCTTTTGAGTATTAATAGAAATTGAAGTGAGCCTTTTGAGTATTGTTTTTCATTGAAGCGAGTGAGTTTAGGTCATAATGCCAGATCTGACTGAATTGCATGTCTCCCGAGCTATCGCTTTGCTTGAAGAGGGTCGAACTATGCGTTATGTAGGAAATGATCTAGGAGTAGCCCCTTCTGTTATCTACAGACTTTGGAAGCGATACCGTGAGACGGGAGAATACTCACGAAAGCGTGGTCAAGGTCGAAAGAGAAAAACTACACGTTTGCAAGATCGCTACATCGTCAACTGTGCTTTACGTAACCGCACCACAACTGCAAGAGATCTACAAAATACACTAAGGACGGCTACTGGTGTAGAAATTTCCGACCAGACGGTAAGAAATAGGTTGTTGGAAGCCAATTTGAGATCACGCCGACCAGTTCGGGCTGTGCGTCTAACAATTCAACATAGACAAGCTCGCCGACAGTTCGCGCAAAATCACGCTAATTGGCAACTTCGACATTGGAGGCCAGTGCTTTTTACTGACGAATCACGATTCCGTCTAACACGTTGCGATGGTCGTCTCCGTGTTTACAGACGCCCAGGCGAGCGATACAGTGCAGCAGCAGTCCAGGAATATGACAAATTTGGATGTGGCTCTGTGATGGTTTGGGGCGGAGTTAGTTTGGACGAGCGCACAGATCTCGTCGTTGTTCCCGGGCGCTTGTGTGCTCAAACTTACATTGAAAATGTGCTCGAAGATCATGTTTGGCCCGCAGCATATGGTATGGGCCCAGATTTTCTTTTAATGCAAGATAATGCCAGGCCGCATACTGCAGCCATCACGTCAGATTACTTACGACAGCAGGAAATCCGTGTAATGGAGTGGCCTTCCATGATCCCTGAACTAAATCCAATTGAACACATTTGGGACTTGCTTGACAGGCGCATCCGGAAGCGTCCGATTGCACCTCAAACACTGCAGCAGCACACTGAAGCGTTGATTGAAGAATGGGAGCGAATTCCACAAGAAGATATTCGGAGGATTATACGAAGCATGCCGCGTCGTTGTCAAGCCGTGATTAGGGCTCATGGAGGCCACACACGTTACTGAAAGTCACTAAAGACGAATATTCAAACGATATAAGAATATTTCTTTGATGGACCTTTTTTATCACCAATTAGTTTTTCGTCTACAATGCACATTTTAATTTTTTTTTAATAAAAAAAATACAAATTGATTTTTTTTATTAATTGTAGTAATTAACAAATTAACAAGGTAAAAAATAGCGTACAAGTTAATTTAAATCTAATTTTAGTTTAAGCAATAGAAAGGAGAAAAATCTTGTTCCGCTAATTGTTTTGAGCAGTATATATACTTACGTAATTAATGTGATATCACTATGTTTGTTTGCGGCTTGACCTGTGTATTAATAGATGACGAGGATAACCTTTTAAAAAAAATCTAATATCATGAAAAAATATATTTTTAGAATAATTTTTGTAATCTAGAGTTTACAAATAGATTACAAAGATAATGAATTTATTGAAGATTATTGAACAACCTTTGGACTCGAAATTATTCGTCACCCATTGACCAGTTCATCAGACAAGCTTAAAGGGTAAAGCAAATTTTAAATAAAGGAAATACCGTGTTGACCCGTATTGATACCGCATAGAATCGGTAACACATTGTTGACATCTTGTCCAGTTATTATAAACTGGTCCTGTTCACAATTTCCAGAGTTGGGAGGCAACAACTAAAAACAAAAAAAATAGCTTTCACATGTATGTATATATATGGGTATGATTGTAAAGCATCCTGAATCATATACATTATCTACAGTTTATGTGTTGGTGACGCCCTGTAATCCTTAATAGGTCATTTAGCCATATTCAGCCAGCCATTACCCTTCTGCTGCCGTTAGTAGAACTGAATGTTCCTTGTAACTTCTGCCATGTTCTTTAACAAATAAAACATGGAGACAGTATATACGAACGACTGGCTTTACATACCTCAAAGGTTAAAAAATCCAGTCTTAATTGCTTAACTTCTGGCCATGCTTTCTCCAAAGTAATGGTGCACGACAGTCTATCAAAGGTTGGTAAGGGAAACTCTCGATTAGTAAACCACCCCTTGGGAGATGCAGATCTACTATCGCATGTGAATTGCACTGAAATTATGATAAAACCTTAACACGTGTTTACATTAGAGTCTAGTGCCCACTTCTAGTTGCTTGATTTAAAGTTTTAGGCAGGCATAGGCATAAATTAGCACGTACATTAGTACTGTAATTTTGTTAGAAATTTGGCAAAATTTATTACTTTTTATTTATATGTAACTATCAAAAGGGGGTCCAATTCTTGAAAGAACTGAGTCATTTATACACCGAGATTCAGTTTTTTTAATTTAATTTTATATTTTTCATTAGACATAATTTTATTTTCTACAAATTTCACACGTAGTTAACCTTACCTATACAACATGTTCCATAGCCATCAGCACACTCTCCCATATTAGTACCACCTGACTTCTGGCAGTCATATTCATGAAGACATAATCCTTCCAATCCATTAGAAGATGTGCAAGGCACATGATCAAATTCAATAACCTCGAATATATCTAGAAAACGACTGTCTCTTGGTATGTCTGTCTTCAATTTTTTCAATCTTCTTGGTGGTTCCCTGCATCTTGAAATCTTTCTTTTCGGTTTAAAGGTAGTATGCTGAGTTTGATGTATAATATATTTGAAATGCTCTTCTTGTTTTCTATGCTCGGAATTTGTATATTTGCTCTCTGTGTCACCTTCTTTAAGTTTTGCCGCCATGTAATTATATTGCTCTGGATCAATAGTCAATATTGGAGAAAAGTTTTGAACTTCTTTAAATGATTCTACAGCACTGTTATTCTGTAAACTCGCAGAATACCACCGGGAGCTATTTGTTGAAAAACAAGACAACATTATTATTAATATGGTTATCATTTTTTAAAAATTCACTATACGTTTTTACTCACAGAGTAAACTATTAAACTGATCTCTCAACTAAACTCACAACATAATTTAATGATAGGCTTAAGTTTTCTTTGACGGATATAATTAAATGTCTAGAAATCGTTATGCTTTTCTTATTTGCTCTACTTTTACCGCATGAAATAACATTAACTTAGTCTTAGATTGATAAAATAGACAATTATCCCGATCAAAATAAATCTCCATATTCATTTAGTAATTTAAACTGTATGGTGTTATTAAAAGTTCTAGATTGAAATGTTTTAAGGCCAGTACATTTTCCAGTAAGGGTATAATTTGTGCAAATATCGTTAGTATTGCACATATGACACATATAGGTCATAATATATTATTGTTATTTATTATCTTGCACACTATGCTATGCTGTTTTGTCTTGACCCAATGAGGTGTCCTTGCTCTACCACACCTAGGCTTTTCTTAAGCTCACGCATACAATGTGAGACAATATATGAGTATCTAGTTATGATACAAGCTCCTTGTATTTATATTAAGCCTACTATAAAAGGGTTACACTGACCGTTTAAATTCATATCAGTCTAGTGCGTGAAAGGAATCAACCATGATTGCTAAGGTAAGAAATTAAATAAATTGTCTTAGAACTGATCTTATACTGACAGTTATATACACTGTAGGTTGTATTTTTAAACCAACATAATATCTACAAAATTAATTATGTAATAATATTATAATAGGTAACAAAAGCCATTGGGGAGAATAACAGCTGAAAGCTTTCATCAAAAGTGTTGAATAATCCCTTTGACATAGATATTATAATATTGAAAACTTAGGATTTATTTACGTTTATACGTCAGATAAAACATCTATTACGAGTATATGTCTATATATTGTCAAATAAAAGCATTTACAACAAAATCTATCCACTTGTCTTAACGATAGCTTACGGCACCCATTCAAAGATAATAAAAAAAATACATATAAAGTGGTAATAATTTTCAAATTAAATACTTTTCACTAAGTATATAAGTTAAAACAATTTTTCACATAATTAAAAACTAAGTACTTAACAGTTAAAAATGTAACAAGCAATATATGCACGTTGTAAAGCGAGTGTTTTATTTTTTTAATATAAATTATTTAAAGAAAATCAGACGTCTGACTGTGTACCTAGTAGGGGAGATGGGGTAACAGTGAATCGTTTTTTTTTAAAGACGTGTAACTCCGTAGTTTATGACAAAATGATACATCTCTGAAATTAAATGATAATGTGAATATCTAATGTCTAAAATAAAAGTCATTTCATGGCGTATGTTATACAAATTTACAAGGTATAGGCACATTAAAAAAAATGAGAAATGATCCACTGTAACCCCGGAACGGGTCACTTTTAATCACTGCACGGGTAACAGTGAATCGACTGGGGCACACAGGATCAGTTGCTTAAAAAATATTAAAAGACATTAATTTTCATATTATAATATTTTAATTTGTACTAGGTACGAGACAGTCTTTTATGTCAAAATAATCTTATGAAAAATTAACAATCACATTTTGATGAACATAAAAATAGGTTTTCCTAGACCTAAAATTAACAAATATAAACTCGTTCTTTTAATAGTAATAAAAAAATATCAATCATATTCTGATGAACATAAAAATAGCTTTTCTTAGATCTAATAATTAACAAACATTAAATCGTTTAATCAACTGTAATAACTCGAGAACACACATACAATTAACGTGAATCAATTTTAGAACAATTTAGGTCAAAGTTATACATAAATTTTTTTCTCTTTGTGTTACCAGAACATTTCGGTTTTGGTAAAATCATCTTAATGTCATGTACGTATATATTTACCTGTACACAAGTGATACATATAAATGTATTCTATTATTTAAGGTACTTATTGTTGCTTGCTTTGCGGTGGCTGCTCAAGCCGGAGGTCTTCTGGCACCAGCTGCTTATGGAAACCCTTACGCATATGGGGCTTGGAACCCATACAGTTCATACCCAGCGCAACCGGCAATTGCTACTCAGCATTCCAATATCCTGAGGTCCCCATTCAATTTGGGTCAGGTATATATCTTATAATAATGAGCGTACAAGCGTTTTAGGCCATATTAATAGGTTTTTCCATTTCCATTATATAAATAATGGAAATGTTTACTAATGCGAATCCATTATTATAATATCTCGTTATTATCTTAATGGATAGAGAGAGAGAAATTAACGTTTTTTTTTATATACAATGGTCCTGGGTTCAATTCTCTTAAAAGTCGATTTGTAAAAATCCGATTATCTCGTCAATTGTTTAAATTTATCTACGTCTAAAATTGTATTCTTTCTTTTAGATATCGACATACAGCAAAGCAATTGACACACCATTCTCGAGTGTACGTAAAGCTGACATTCGCGTAAGCAACCCTGGTTTAACGGTGGCACCAGCTTATCATAGTTTTGCAAGCCCGGTCGTGTCACATGTCGCTGCTCCTTTAGCAACCGCTAGAGTAAGTTAATGATTACACTACTACGACAACAAAGTTTTCCAAACCGTAGCCTGTATTGTGTTGTCGATTATGTATTTTTTTTAACTCGATACCTACATGTGTTTTAAAAAAATATGTGTTTGTTATTATTCTTACGCCCATAGACTGACACAAAATAGATTTTTAAATCCAAAACAACTTCATACAGCTATACCTGTTGGTATATATATTAGCATCTCTTTGTATTCATTAGAAATAGATGTTAAGTACATATAATTTCTAGCATTATAAACTTGTGCGTCTATCATGAAATAAGATAATATAATTTTTTGTTATTGTTTTAGGTCGCTGGTGGCCTTTTAGGAGTGGCTTATTCGGCTGCACCCGCAGTGTCCCACATGACTTACACTAACGGCCTCGGTCTTGCCTACGCGTGGTAATCGCTACCACTAGATTTCAGAATTATTGTTTTATAAGTGTGCTCAAAGATTCCTCATTATTTATTGCCTATTATTGATAGCGTTTTTGAATATTCTGCTGTTTTATGAAATACAATATTAAAAAATATCTAGTGTTTTATTTTTAAATTTTGCCTATTAAAACAAAATTTTCTTTTATTCTCGATCAACTTATCGCTTTTTCCAAGGCCTTCAACTTTCGATTATAGGTCATTTAATTTAAGCTGTTTTAAATGTTTTTTTTTTTTTTTTTTTACTTTTTGGCAACAGCTTCAACTTTATGCCAGTTTCAAGTAAAAGGTTGGGAAACTACACGCGAAATAAAATAAACAAAGACATCAAAAGGAAATAAAGGGATAAGCTGGTTAAAAACGAAATATGTACAAAAACATATTACATCTTAATATTATTATAGATTATGAAAGAAGATAATACATTATAATACAATAAAGGATAAAGCAAAAGGCAGGAGATTTTAGTCGGAAACGGAACATGAAGTGATTGTAAAGAATTCAGAAAGGAGGTACGGTCATATTGGGAACAAGAAAAGAAAATATGGTCGAGGTCACCAATATCTTCTCCACACTCACAAATATTACTATCAACAATACGAAGCCTTGCTAAATGATGAGGTGTACAAACATGTCCTAAACGCATTCTGGAAATGTTTTAAATGTTCATGTTGATCAAATATTGTTATCAAGTGAAGGGCGAAAATATTAATCTGTGGCAGTGCCTGGATTCATAGATTCTACACAATCTGTATTTTAGTGATAAATTTGTCATGTCTAGCCTGTGGTTAAAGTAGCGTAAATAAAAAAGTGTGTAATTTGAGGTTTTCGTATTTGCAGCCGCTATTTGCACCCTAGATTTAACTAATAAATTCTAGTAATTTGTCTTATTCAGTATGGTTTAAGTAGTATTTTACTTACGTTGCCAAAAGCTTGATTAAATTATTTCCTAAGATATAAAGATCCATAAACGAATTTTTGCAAGTTTGTAGTTTTTAGGAGAACAGAGAGACCTCTTTTGTAGTGGTTTTTGACATTATTTTGAGGTATTATATATTATATTAATAATTTGAATTACTATTATATTTATTTACCGTCCCTTAAACTTTTTTTTTTCACATTGATTTTTATTTCAGGTTATTATCGACCTGTCAAGAGGACATTTTTTCGTCAAGCTGTCTCAACAAATTCGCAAAATAGGAGACGAAAATCCATTTAAGTTTTCAAACTTCTTGTCAAATCTACCACCGATCGTAAGTACTGTTTAATGTTATGTAAATATTAAACAAATACATGGATTTTCCTTTAATTTAACACATATATTTGATAGATATAACTGAAGATGTAAATTTATGCTATTATTTTGCTTCATATTGACGTGATCTTATTCCTGCGTGGAAGAGATTTTGTTTATAAGTATTAAGGAAAAGTACTTAAGTTTTAATACATCTAATTGTGATGCTTCTAAATAAGTAAACATTTTATAAAGTTGTCACTACTAGTAGACACTACTGTTAGAATTACTGAACAATTCCAAAGTCTGTATTGTTTACCTTAAGCTAGAAACAAAAGATACTGAGTACAGCAAGCTAACTTATTAAGTCTCAGCAATGTAGAAGTAAGTTAGATAACATCCATAGCTTTTATTATGGAATTTCAAATGTTTGCCTTCTGATACTTAGACATAACATTTTAATAGTTAAGATATTTGTTAAAATTGGGATACTCTTATATATATAATACATGTAGTTCTATAAATTTAACTTGTACGCAGGGTGGTAGAGCAATGCCGCGATGCAGTAAACGCACGCGGGGTGCAGCAGCCGATTTGCTGCCAGGTACTACGTCTCTTGAAGACCACCATCACCACAAAAGGTCAAGGAACACAAGGTCTGTTAAATAAAGTTATCATAATTTATAATGTTACGTTATATTCAATTCTTTTCCAATGAATATATAAATTATTAATATATTTTAAATCAACCTTGAAACTTTGACATAAAATATCTATAAAACAGGACTGGTTCTTTTTCTTTTAAAAACTTTGTTTGTCAATGTTTTATCCAAGGGAAGATTGAAATTTTGGCAAGTTATTATAATAAAAGGAAAAAATATTAATTGAAAAATATTAGTGTTAGATTTTATCAACAACAAAGTTGAGAATATTAATCATTTTGCAAATCACTAAAAAAAATTGTTCTCTTAAGAATCATTGTGACTTGCAAGAGTAAACATACAAAAAAAATCTGCTTAATTTTAACTACACTAATACCTACAAATATTCCTATTTAATTTATGTATTTGCTTGTAATATTTATGTGTACATTTTTGAAAATTTACAACAGTATGCAATTTCTACTAGTGTATAAGTATTTAAAATTTTCATTCGTACACTGTAAATGTGACACTACAAACTGTTTTTTTTTATATGATGCTGATGCTGTTTTTTTTCAGTTCTCGACGACATTCCAAAACTGAAGATATAAGTTTTAGTCCTAAAAAATGTTTAGTCTGGTTTAAAGAATATACCACAATTGCAGAACCAGATGTATTAGGTAAGGAAACATATATTCTGTATATCAGTATTTTTACAACTTAAATGCTTTTTGTTTTTATAGAATAAATAAATTTTGTCTAGAATTAGATAAAATTTACTACAGAAATGCTAATATGTCACAAATCTAAAAAGTACACAAAGGGGATCAAACTATCTTGCCACTACGGAATCTAAATCGTGAACAATTACATAGTCGGTTTTTAAAGAACATTTAAGGCACACACCAGTGAAATTGTACTTTTATAACCATATTTTATATATATTATAATGTCATCACTTAATGTGATACACATACACAAATGTGATATGTAAAATGTGCTAATGTCTTAAAATTATTTCTATTGTTTTAATAGCAGAACAACTGTCCTCATTCCAAATTCAGTATAAACTGTATAGACAGATTTTTATTTAAATACAATGTAATTTTTTCTACTAGTTCTTAATTGTCATTATTTATTTCAGGGCCTGAGGGTATGGAAAAATTTTGTGAAGATTTAGGAGTGGATCCAGAAAATGTGGTAATGTTGGTCATTGCATATAAAATGGGAGCTAAACAAATGGGTTATTTCACACAGGAAGAGTGGTTGAAAGGTTTGTATTGATATAAACACTACAAGATTTTTCATATAGTTTAATGGTATTGCGCATGTTTCAAAATTAGATAATACTCTGGTCCATGTATAATAAGTTTAAAGAATTGATATTTTAACATTGGTTAACTAAGACATTAATAAAGAGAGGAAATTGTTGTATTTTTTCAGTGAAGATTAAAAACACTCATCTATAAATGAATCTGAATAATATACAAATCTTGTTTCAAAAATTCTTGTTCAAAAAAGTTGTTTGCCAAAGCTTCTTATAGGGTTAAAAAATTTTTTAACAATATTACTCGGAAATAGTTTGCATGAGTTACATATAATAAAACTATAAGCAAGATTGGAAAATATATAGCCATTGAATTAAGCTTTTTCTAGACCAGGGATGATAATAAACAACGATGGAAACAGTTTTATAAATTAATCTTATGATTTGCTAGAGATAATTGAGCCAAACCTTTAAAGATAGAACTTCTTGGTGGTACTATCATCACTACCAAAAAAAAATTTAAGCATGCTTAAAAGTTATTTGATAAAGTATTTAATAGTTAATTTTATGTAATAAGGTAAAAAGGAACTCCGTGTATGTTATATAGTAAATTATTAAAATATTTCATTGTTGTACCTAATAATTTAAAACTAAATAGTTACTAAGCTTTTGGGTGTATTTGGGCTTTGACATAGTAATAAGTTCTGTATTTTAACAATTTTTATTTTATTATTAACAGGTTTAACAGATCTACAATGCGACAGCGTACTCAAATTGCAGAGCAAATTAGACCATCTTCGAACTTTACTAAATGACCCATATGTCTTCAAATCAATATATAGATATTCTTATGATTTTGCAAGGGTGAGTTAAATTTGTTTTCCTAACTTACTATATGTTATTCCATCTGACTGTTACATCTCGATACAGCTTTACTTATAATACATAATATATCAAATTTTACACTGTTTTATTCGTTTTGTTTTGCCAAATTGCACTTGCATTCTGATAAGTGCCAAAAATAATTGCTTAAGCAATGCAATTAGATTGATTTAGTTTAAACTACAGGGTTTAACTACCTGATGAAATTATTTATAAGGATGGATAATTGAAAATTCGACCACTAAGTATACATCACAGGAAAAACAGTTATTTTCATTGTGCTAAGTATGAAGTTACGTAGCCGCAGTCAATTCCTATAACATATAACTCATTACATAAAATCCAAGTTATCATACTTTTTGCATATGTTTCATAGATAAATTTTAAGGCTCAAATATGACATATTAATATTTGTGGGTAAAACAGTTTTTATTTTATAATTACCTGTCTTAAGAATGTTGCTTCTATAGAAAAATAGAAAACTTCCACTTGTTAGCAAGCGCAAATTACATAGAAAAAATCTATTTCAGCACAACTTGCATTCATTCATAAAGCAACAGAGCTAAGAATTAAGAATTGCTATACCACTCCGCTAACATTTTATAACTCAAAGTTTATGTCGTTGCAAATCAAAACATCATCTGTACATTTACGTAACACAATGTACACATTCGAACGTCAATTAAAAATGTCTTAAATTTTAATTTACTACCCCAAATCAATGGCGTAGAACTGACATGATAAAACTATCAATAAACTCTCCGCTGTGACCCCAAGTTACAAGCAGTAGCAGCATTGTTAGCTTCAATACCATTTCAACTATTTCAGGATAAAGACCAACGTTCCCTAGACACGAGTACGGCTCGTGCACTATTAGGAGTACTTCTACCGCGTTGGCCTCTTCGCCTACCCCTCGCAGAGTTTCTGACTCACGGACGGCGGTACCGGGTCGTTAACCGGGACCAGTGGTGTAATATACTCGAGTTCAGCCGCACTGTTGACACGCACCTTACTGCTTATGACGCGGATGGAGCTTGTAAGTACAGTTGCTTGGGGCAGACATTTTTTGTTTCGCTTTTTAGTATGTTTTTGTTGCTGTGTAGCTAAGCAACAAAAACTACAGAAATGCACCTAATTATTCTCATATGTATGTATATAATAATTGACGGTTAAGATTACAGTGTTTTGTTAAAATAACGATTTATTTGTAAAAGTAGTCTGACCTTTTTTTGTTTTAAACAAGGACATTTGACAAAAGTAACACATAAATTGAAACACAATATTTATATAGAAAAAATATAGACATTGGCACAAAATTATTATATAGAATAATTCTATATTTTTTGCACGCAATTAGATCATGGTACGTAATAGACCATATCTAGTAAAAGCTTACTGTAATAGACCATTCGAACTTATTGAGACATCATGATCAGTTTGGTTTAAATCTAAAAAAATTTACATTTGCCAATATGTTTTAATAATGGTTAAGTATAGCTTTGATATCCGAGATGTCCTGGGTTTCACCTCCGGCTTGATTCGGCTTTGGAGGCACAAAGAGGAACCTATTTTCATTACTTATTACCATGCCCTATTGTGGGACTTTAGAATTTGTTATCTTAAATTTTTTTTAATAGCATATATGTATGTATTATTCCAGGGCCTGTAATGTTAGATGAATTTGTGGAATGGCTGAGAGCAGAACGTGGAGACGCAGCTATGCACGCCAGCTGAGACCTCACTGAGATGGGTTAGCTTAAAAAATATTATATACGTAGTCGGTCCCAAAGTTCTGTCATAAATGGAAATAATGATAAAAACAAAACTACTTATCACTTTTTAATGAGTGATATACCAATTTATAGTACATTAATTAAGGACTAGAAAAAGCATAAAATTATTCGAAAGTACGTCCTTATTTTTAATACTGGCCCTTAAGCGCCGCGGGCAGTCGTCTATCCAGCACGCACCATATTCATGTAAATTTCAGTACTCTTTATTTAAAGATGACCAGACTCTCCAAATTTGTATGTGGTATAGCACAGACCTCCTCTCTAAGACCTCGCCAAATTTTATAGTCCAAAGAATTAGCAGGTCCAGGACTGAACTATCCTGCACCCAATTTGCTTAAGCGTTTAGGGACGAGAGACGCTCTTTGGGGGCGAGGGACGCTCTCTTTGACTATCAAGTGTTGATACAGAGATCTTGGACATGAATAGGATCTTTCGCACTGTTGGTTAGAGAAGTTAGATAATGTACACATGGTAAAAGAGGACCTACTCCAGAGAATTGGCTTAGATCATAAAGATCGATGTTTCTTATAATACCTATACTGGAACAAAGTGCTAAATATATAAAACATTCTTCATATATCGAGAATCAGAAGAGTTGCGTCCAGGTTGCATTTATCAACCTTTGCTGTTTAACGTTTGTATGCTCGTTAATTGTCAAATCATACATTAAGTGCCTTGAATACTTTGAATTTAATCAAAAGGCTCGATGGTTGTACAGAAAATTTAATCGCAAGTCAGTTGCTGGTTAGTTCTGAAGAATTGCATCAATGGTGAAGTATGTATGACAATAAACCGAACACCGGAGCCTTTCCCCCCAAAAATTTCCCCAAAAAAACTGTTGCGTTTGACATTTCTCTAGAATATACATATGGCGTCATTGATGAAAAGGGCAAGCTAGATATTTACATCAAATTAAAAATATTAATACATAAATTGCGCTTTCGTTTCTCAGTGCTGATCTACGGGTAGAATGGCTTGACAGAGACTATGTCCAAAAAAGATGCGTTTCAGTTGTGGGCCCATGACGTATGCTTATAATTTCTTGGACAGACCGCATACAAAATACACCCTTGCTGGGCCGAAAGCAAAAGAAAAAAAAAGTGCTCATGTACGGTTTATCTATGTAATATTATTTCTACACATACCCCAAAAATATGAGCTCCTTCACCAGCTCTAATCAAAAAAAACTAATGGTTAATAATACCTGGCCGCAGACGCACTTCCTGGTTGAAAAATTTGAGACAATGGTTTGGTCAAAGCACCAAGTCATTGTTTAGAACGCGGCATCCCAAAATTAAAATAGCCATGATGATCCCAACTGCAAGGAGGCACTATAAGAAGAAAGACCGAAGGAGGCCAATCCTAATGTCTAATTAAGTCATGTTTTGACGCTCAAACTAGGCTTGAGTGCTCTTGGCTTTGGGAAGGCGCAGAGTCCTCCCGCTGCAAACACGAAGTGATGCTCCCCCCAATAGCGTGCTGGGCATTATTTGAAAACTCCGATCCAAAACCGATATCTTGGTACACTTTTGCACTGGTTTTGACCCCTTTGCAAAAATGAACTTTAGTCTGGCTCGCTCAATAGGACACTCCCAACCAGACCATTACTGATGATGGATGATGTCCATGTTGCACCCTTGAATTTATTTCCAGCTTTTAGAACTCCTGGCGTGACACTCTATCATTTTTATTGTACCTCTCAATATCGAAAATTTTTTATCCGTAAAGAAGTATCACAGTGTAGGTTTTGTCGCGTACCTAATAACACGCGATCTCTTAAGCCTTATTGCTTTCAGAAGAGCATAAAGTAAGTGCCCACTCTATGTTTTGTATGCTCGTAGACCAAGATCTTCATTTAAAACCTTTTTTTACTATTTTCCTATTGACATCCATCTGCAAAGCCGTCAACTTTTTTTCGGAAGGATTTATAGAGAAGCTTTGATTACTGCTGGTGTTTTGCGGAGCCGGCCAGCCATTTTTTTGTCCTCAACACTGGAGATATTTACCTACAATAGTACGGTACACAAACCTAAGCTTTATATTCAAATTTTTGAGCCCCTTGAAAATGGTACTCGGCGAGTGCCCACAGCGGTGCAACGCATTAACACCTATTCGGTTTTCTTTCAATGTCCACTCCATCGTGAAAAATTACGGAAAGTGATTGTTTTTTGTTTTAAAATAATAGTAAAACATTCAAAAATATAATGTTATATTTATTTTATAAAATCATGTTCGAAATTTAAAAATAATGTGACAGTGACAGAACTTTGGGACCAACTACGTACCCCCATCCGTTAAATAAGCGTTAGCAGTTAAAACTCAAAACATCTTTATTCATATAGCTAAACAAGTACACTTATGAATCGTCAAAAAGAAGTTAAATTAATTGTAAATTTACATTTACTACCAGTTCGCAAGTAGGGTAGAGCGGGTAAGAACTAGCAAGAAACTTTCCGCCACTCTTTTTAATCGCCAAGTATTGTCTAGATCTAAATATCACTAGTTATAGGATAGATAGTAAATCTAAGGACCTACTATGCACATACGATCTTCAAATACTTAATAAAAATAAATAGATAAAGCATATATAATCAAAATTTCCATGATTTCTTTGCTGCTACGTTTTATTCGTTAAACCCCCAAAGTGCCTTTACTTTGAATTTTAAAAAAGGCGTTTTAATTTAATGCGTCATTTTAGAAGAATTTCAATGGTGAAGTATGTATGGTTTGCGTTTGACATTGCTCTATATCACATGGGTCATAAACAGTAGATATTTACATCAATTAGAAATATTAATACATAAATTGCTTTTTTTCAGGATTGGGTGAGGCTTGCACTAAGATGGTTCATTGTGGGCCTGCCTTATAGATTTAAGTGTCATGTATATTGTTTATCTATGTATATTATGTTCTACACATACCCTACAATAAAAAAAACACTAATGGTTAATAATACCGCGATTACTTTATATTTTAAGTAGTTAATAGCATAAATCTATTAGTTTTACTGGCATAGATGTTAATGCCCTGGGTTGATTGATTCTAATAGAGTCTAATGCCATAGATAATATTTATAAATACATACTTTATTCTCAAATTTATTATTAATTGTCTATTTCATATGAGATGCCCATACTATATTTTTTGCATATTGACTTATTATTTACCCAACATACTTCCTTTGTTCTTTCAGCTTTTAAATAATATGATTTGAAATATGTTTGCGCAATTGACAAATAGAAGATATCTGGGTCTCTTTTATATTATGCGGTTTTCTCTTCAAAATTGAATTGAATTGTGGTCGCGGTATATGTATATTAAATTTGTATAACATAACATTTTATATTTTTCCTTGTTCATCGCACGAAATTTGTAATACTCCTTACATTATATATTAGATAATTTATTTCATGCCCACCGATCCATTGTTTTAATAGTACAAGTAGTCATTGTAACAATAATATACATAAATAAATATTCCTCAAACTTTATAACCACATTATTAAAATCATTAAAAGTTTTAATTAGTGCCAAAAACTTATTTGAACCTGAGTAGAAACTATTACAAACGCCTTAAAAGTGTATAGTTTAAATGCAAAGAAGACTGGGCCAGATTGATTAATGGCACTATTGAAAACAAAGAACATTAAATGATTTAGCCAACCCAACATTGAATAAATATGATATCAATTGGCAAATATTGTAAAAATTGATGGGCCATTTATTTAATTTGTACAGTAAATCTTCATATTATTTAAATCAATAACTATAAATTTATTTTTCATTGTATAGTGTCATTTTCATGTATAAACGAGTACTGCCAATGTAATTGAATTTATGATGTTTGTATGAATGATTGCAGAATGATTACTCATAATTGAAGTTGACTTTGTAGTAAACATTTGAAAAACAACTATCTTCAAGAAGTATGTTTAAATAATATTAACCATTCTGTAACTATGCCAATATTTTTAAATTTTAAGATAACTTCAAATGCATCGGAATTAAAAGAATTTGGATTTGCTTTAATTTCAGATGAATAAATTTTTATAGGCATTAATCATGATACCTGATTAATAAAATATACAGTCCCCAATAAATATATTTTCTTTTTATAGAATAATATTTTAACAAAAGGTATATGCAGACTTACTCGATATTCTAAAGACAATGTTTCTATTTTGTACACTATATTTAGGTATCATGAATTTTGGCTCTGAAACAAGTTCCGATAGACTAGATATCTAGTCTAATCCTAGGTTTAGATGTAGATATCGTTTTGTATAAGCAAGTAGTTAGTATATTCAAATTTTCTGCGGGACATAGTCAGTACCATTCTCTTTAAGATAAATGGTATATCAAATTTATCTAAATTGTTTAGGCCCTCTTACCGAATGTCATTCAAGGAAAATAAATCATTTGGAAAATATTTTTAGTTTTAATATTATTGACCTGCAAATGAATTCATACTTAGGTACAGTCTTTCTGGTTACTTAAGGTTTCCTAGATAAGCGGTGCCATTAACTTACGGCCGTCATTTTACGGTTGTTAATAACGGCCGTCTTTACTTTGTAACATAATGCGAAAAAGCAATCATTTTCGCTCGTCCAAGTGGCGTTTCCACTCATTTCACTCCACGTATTAATTAAGGCTATGTTCACATGTAACGCGCATCAACCCGCGATCAAATTTGAAGAGCGTTCAGATGATGAGCGCTAACGCGCGTTGCGAGAGTACTCGTCAGTCTAGTTCGGTAGAACGTAGAAAATGGACGTGGAAGAGGCTATTATTTTGTGGTTATATTATAAAGAAAAATATAGAAAAAGAAAACGTACACATTGGGTTCATCCAATTTTGAAAAAAAATACAAATTATATTATATTTTTGTATGAAAATACCACAATGTCTAGTCGCGCGATTTGAAAACGCGCGTCAAGTTTTTGCCATCTGAACATAGCCTAAATATGGTCACCGCTACACGCGAAAAACGTTGAACTAATGTTTATCACCGCTATGACGGCCGTCATGCAAATGACAGCACCGCTATTTGACGTTACGGTGACAGTCGACGTTCTCTAGAAAACCTACTCCGATGTTTTTTATAGACAACGTATGGGTGACGTCACCCAACGTTACATTACGGCCTTTAGATAACGGCACCGCTTTTCTAGGAAACCTAAGCTTTAGTGAGTTTGAAGTCAGCATCACATAAAAAGATAAGATGTCAAACTATTGTTAATCATCTGAAAACTGTGCTAGATGCAACTAAAACTTATTATATAATATTGAAATTGAAAAAACTTCTGAAAGCTGTTCTTATGATATTATTCTTTTGTTAATAAAAAAATCTCAACAATGAGCTACTATTGCCTATTTACAATATCTGTCTGCTTTCATCTTGGCCCGTCTGTCTAATAATGTCTCATGAAGATTACCATCCCCCTTTGCTCTCTTTAGTTCAACTACACCTGCATCATTTATGCGCAGTTTTTTATCTTGGAATTTTTGAAACTTTTTTCTGAAAAAAAAAAACACTATTAAATAAAATATTACTACAGTAGAACTCCAATTATCCGAATTAATGGGGACCGGGACCCATTCGGATAATCAAATATTCGGATAGTCGGATTTTTTTAAAAAAAATTGCCATTGGAGAGAATAAAAGCTACGTTTTGATATTGCACTATTTTTTTATTGAATTAAATGAAAGAAACATGAAATTTTCACATGTTTTAAATATAAATAAAATGTACTTATGTACAAGTTAAGAAATAAAAATCATTGTTTTTTAAACATCTCCGTCAATGTAAGCTGTTTTGCGGTCTTCAACCGTTTTCAGGCAGCCAGGTCACGGATCGGATAATCGGCGATTCGGATAGTCGGAGTTCGAATAATTGGAGTTCTACTGTAATAGAATTGTAAATATGTCTCTACAGCCTTACTCAGAGTTATTAAATTATCTCTACTGGTGATTAATAATGATGTATCAAAAACCAGTGCAATTGAATTTATCTACAAACTTTTTGATCAGGTTATCTTTACAAAATCGACTATTATAGATTACAGTTGTTGTTTCCATTTCGGTTAGAAAAGTCGCGTATAAATTATTGTGATCATAGAAATGCAACGCGCTGACGCAGCGCCGCGATCGTATTACGATGCAGCATTGACCTAGCGTTTAAAATTTTCATTAATATATTTATGATGTCATCTCCAAACTCAAAACATGCAACTGTTAGTGGGTGAACTCAAACAGGAAAAAGCCCGACGCCTGGAACTGGAAACTGTTGTTACTAATGACAAAGTTACTAAGGAAAAGCCTAAAAAGGAACCCCAACCACCCCCGATTTAATTGTTGATAATAAGAAAGATTACCAATTTTTCTACGATTTCTTACTTAAAAAAAGAAAGAAATAAAGACTATTTAGTGGTGAAAAAGCTCAGCAATGAAACGGTAAAGATTACCACCGACAGTGAAACTACTTACAGAGGTATTATAAACCTTCTTAAAGAAGAAGATGCCTCATGGATCTCAACAAGCAGAGCAGGCCAATAAGAGTAATGGTAAAAAATCTTTGCTACAACAACAACTGCAGTAACATGCAAACCAGAACGGATAGTTGAAGACATTGTCCTCAAAGGAATTAAAATTTTAGATGCAGCCGTCAAATATAGCTGGAAGAACAAGGGTCCACCAGCCAAGTATGGATTCATTTCGACTTCAATATGTTCTTAAAACGTGGCAAGTTGCAGAAGTTATAATGTTTCCCAATCCAGGAAAACCAGAACACGAATAACACAAGAACATAGTGTCTTCACTTTAATAAAGTATGTAAGTAGTGATAGTGGACACTTTATTATGTTAAATATCCTTTTTAGTAAATAAGGTTAGTTTTAAATTACTTATTAGTTAGGCTAGATCGTAATGTTTGTGTCTCTGTGCAGAGACAATTTATAAAAATAAAAGTTATAGATTACAACACAAAAATATTTATTACTTACACATAGTTGACTTCAACTTCTGCTAAGTTCCCTTCTTCCTCAGGCACTACAACTTTCTGCACAACTTTACTTCTATTACTACGAATATTACAAAACTCTTGGTTGGTCGCGGAAACACGTATAGCGACTATAGAATCATCCTCATTATTCACACAGACAAATTTATTTAATGAACTAAGTATTGCTGTTTTACCTGTAACAAACATCAATTTTAGTCTACAATTTAGACCTACATCTTACCTATTTTTATTAAGCTATGTATTGGCATGTCTCAAAGATTAACAATAAGTGTCGGGTGCAGAAGAAGACTGATGTAGAGACTTTTCTCAGTGGCGTAACAATAGGGTGGCAGGGATGGCAAAATGCCACGGGCCCCTGCACAAGAGATATTATGTTCTATGGATGAATGTGAAGTCTCCAATACGCATTGGGCTAGTGTGGGGACTACATACCATTCCTTGTTGCCTAAAAGAGGAGGCCTATGGTCATTAGTGGGACATATACAATGTGTAATTGAGTACACTGAAAATCTCGAAGTTTTTAAAAATTAAACTGAGTACAATGTGACAATTTATACTGAAAGGGCCCCATCAAAAGAATTTACCACGGGCCCCAGATGGTATAGTTACGCTGCTGACTTTTCTATAAATATATTATCAAAGAATTCAATATGCCACCAGGACCCTGGATACAACCCTCCACTGTCACTGGATTATTATTATTTATACTCAATGTTGAGATCAATACTTTGATGAAGCCTGCATATTAATCTAGATTTACAAGTTTAACTGTATTACATGCCCCAATGCTTTTATTATTTCTGTGCATATAAAACTGAAAGCAATTAACTTACCATCTTGCCATACTGGTTCCCATTGTTCCATAGGTCCTACAGCATCAGATCTTCCAATAACAACACCATCTTTGGATATACCTAGATATTTTCCATATCCTGATTTGAGGGCAAATTTGTTTTCTCCTGCAGGAAAGGCAGTAAATATTTCCTCTGGAGATGGACCTTCACCTTCATTATGAGGAGCACCCAAAGTAAATAAACCATTATCTAATGCTGATATATAGGAAAGATTTCCAAATTCAATAGAAATGGGACCAGTTAGATCCTCAATCTTTTCAACTTTCCACCAATTTCCATGTTTTTCAAGATCATCATCAATTTTGGAATGTGTAGAGTTATCCTTATTTTTATGTTTTCTTTTTTTAGCTCTAAAAACATTTTTTTGTTAAAATTACTAGAAGTGCTAAGTTAAGGCTTCTCTTTACTGAGTTTTTCTCTTTTTTCAAACCGCACTTTTTTTTTTTTCTTCTTGTTGTAGTTTTTTTTTTTTTTTTTTTTTTTTTATAATACAATCATTACAGTTATATTGTCCAGGCACTAATGCTGCTGTTATAAGGGTACTTTCACTAGGGAATGATTATTGGAGTAGTAAGAAGTCGCAACTTTCTGTTTCAACATTATCTGCCGTCTTAACAGTCAAATTTAATATGCAAAATGAAAGTTGTTCGGATATGGCTACATTATTAGACCAACATCCCCCTCCCCTAACGAAGAAAAATATGTTTTTAAAAGAAAATAAACTTTTATAGTTTTTCTTCCTTTTTTCCCCCTATGAAATACTTGCAAAGTGTACTCTTTTTGAAACAAAAAATAGTTGGTCACCTTAGCTAAGTATAATACAATCAACAGAAGTAGGATGAAATATTGTAATTCTCTTATACTGGGAATTCTTAAACCTAACCAAATTTTAATGAGGATGTTCTTTCTGGATTTGCATAGTACTTTAGAGTACACTATAACACTTGGCCTAGCAGTTAATCCACACTCAACCCTGAGGTCTACGCATCAAACTCCGTCTGTGCGCCTATGGGTTTTTTGGAAGGCAATTTAGGCAAGGCAAGAAAGGTAAATGTAGAACCGCTGTCAAAGAGCTAACACTAGAGGACATGTCTTGCATAAAATGCTGATTATCTACTTTCCTATAACACAAAAATTATGAAAGAAACAGATGCAATCTGAAGATAGTCCACGACGCCGCAGAGAATCTAGGTTTGTGCATTATTAGACGTACATACTTAGGCTTATCTCCCTTAAAAACCAATTTGGCACGTTTAACAGCTGCATATTCATCTGCCATTATTTAAAAGAAATATTAAATTATAAATAATAACTTATTAATTAAACTTTAAAGATAAAATAATTTTGTAGATGTTTAATTAATAAATAATAAACAATAACTATAATCTATAATCTATATGACAATTGACAATAACCAAATACCACAATGTAAACATTCACAGGCCACAGACTAGTAATCATTAACATCGACCAGAAACCAATCTTGTTTATTTTTATTGTCTACGCCATATCAGTGCCATTGAGTGTCTCTAATTCTAATGTGCTTATAAATTCAGTTTTACTGCAGAGACGCCTTTCAGATTTCATTCAGAGAATCTTGCTCTTGTTTGCTTGCTTGCTTGAGTCAAATTTTACGAAAATTGACAATTGACGAAGATATAATACACGATTACACATTATCACTTAAGTCAGGTAAATAAAACTAATGTAACTCCGGCTTAGAGTTGTATTTTTTATTTAATTGAAAAGAATTTTTATTCTATAGGTCTACCGCGTAGAGGACTATGGTAATATGGTATAGACCAGGCATTAGCGTAAGCGTGTGAGAAGCGAATGATCGACATATCATTTACAGTTTTAATTCATTGAAGATTGCTTATTATTGACCAAAATACACATTCGAATGAATAATTCTTGAACAAAGTTACTGAGTCGTGACAAAATAAGCTACTTACCGATGAATTTGGCTACGCTTTTACAATTATGCATCAATTCACCACGACTGACACTTTAAATACACCTCTTATAAGGATAAAGTCTTAAAATATGGGTTTGGCTTGGATTTCACCGATTTATCAGTAAGCGGTGAAAACTTGTTTACCACCAAGGGCTCGGTGGTAAACAAATAAAACCCGATACGCAAATAGAGACAGAAAAACTGATACTCTGTTTCGCTCGCACTTAAGTATTTCACGTTAATGCCTTCTCTCTTTAGTTATTATTGTTATTTTAGAAGCTCATCTAGTTTTATACTCTATCTACGCGCCCGTGCTACGTGTCGACGTACAGGTGTCAAAAAGTTGACTTTATGTTTGTACAAGTAGGTAAATATATCTATAAAATAAAAAAGGGAGGCGACGCTGACAGGACGTTTCGCTTCCAGCCAGGGAGTTACCGTACTACGACTTACGAGTAGTACTTACTTTCTAAAAAAATGTCCTCTTGTGTATCTCCAGCTTCAGACACAACGCATCCGCAGTAACCCAACGAGCCATTTAATAAAGAATGACTGGACTTTTCTTCTCTATGAGATAAACTGAGTCTGTAGATTCCCCATCTCCTTTCTTGGATCTTACAGGGCCGCAGTTCAAGACTTGAGCCTTGAAACTAGTGTAGTGCACCCTATGTAGAAAGTCATAAACTAAATTTGTATGTAAATGACAGTTCGTGTCGAAAAGTTTTGCATACAAATTTAGTTTTGACTTCCAAAGTACACTACTGTTAAGGCATCTTGACTACAAAGGACAGCAGTTCAAGACTTGAGACTTGAAACTTGAAGACTCAAGTCTTCAAGTTTCAAGTCTCAAGCAAGTCAAAGTCAAGTCTCAAGTGCAACCCGACGTAACATGACATAACATATAATTTTTTCCAAATACCTATATGACAAACTCATAAATATGCGCCTAGAAAATTATTACATCCAAAGTAGCACGGTAACAACTAACTACTACAATTATTGTTATAATAATAATTATTATATTAATTATATTATTATGCCGTAATAGCATAATTATTATTACCTAGCCAATATCTCGATACCTCCCACGTAAGTTGTTGTATGCCACAAAAATGCTATTTTGCTGAAAAATATCCTAATATGGATCATTATATCCAGCCAAAGTAAAAAAACAACAAAAACACTATTTTTAAAGGATTTGTCAGACGCATAATGTAGTAATTTTCAAATGTGCACGGATTACACCAATGTATATGGTTTCATATGCCTATGCATTTGTGTACGCGGGGCGCGGGTTGGGTAGAATCACGCGCTCGCGCCTCGTATTGGTTACATACAACAGAGTAAGACTTATGTTTTTCAACGTATACAGTTGTAACTATCATATACAATACAATGGAAATATCTGCGAACCTGGCTTAATGACGTCATACAAACTGGAGAGATAGCAAAAAAATTTAAGATGTAAAAATAAAAAATATTTTATTTGTGTACTTATTTTTATTGATACTCGTACCTACTTGAAATTTACAAATACTTATTATTTACATTATTTAAAATTCAAATTATTTACAAATTTACAAATAATACAAAGAAAAAGTAGAGAGGAAGAGAAAGTGGCGAAACTATTCTAGAAAAGCCTCGACACCAGACATATAGGTAGTTTATGTAATATTTCACCAAACAGAGAAACAATAAACACTAAAATGCGATTACGAAAGCAAGAATAATACACGTGCGTCGGCGATTGCGTTGGCAACGGTACTGGATAGGCGAAAACGGGGCGGGGTGCGGGGAAGCGCCAGGGGAAGCGCATTCCAGCGAGGTTCGCAGATATTTCCGACGGCTTGTACCACAAGTGATGCTATCAGGGCGCCGCGGTATAATGTTGTTTAGTATCAGATGCAACACCTGGCATAGCTTCTACTCCGGAGTAAAATGTTGTATGAACAATATCTCCGCAAATAGACATATTACTTAATCTTTGAAACGCTCTACTGTAAATTTGCAGTTTTGGAGATACAACAACTTACGTGGGAGGTATCGATCTGTCTTTGAATTATAACAGCGACCTCTTCAAGCTTCTGCTAGAAGGTAAAATATGTATGATTGTGGGAGAACAAATTGACGTCAATTAGTTCCAGTGATTGCCAGTATGCTTCTATTGTTGTACACCAGATTAGTGGGCATTAAAATATGGATGCGATGCTAAAATATTATCAAAATGGAAAGAACACAGCGTCAGAGGCTGATGGACAAAACTAAAAAGACATTCATTTGATGTAAGTCATGATTCGTAGCTGCCTGCTTTTGTCTTTTGATCAGATTTTAGCCAAATCTTCCTATTATTTACTTATTATATAGCCAATTACATGAATTGTAGTCTTTCTTGTAGGTTGGGAGGTTGTTGTTAGTTTCTGGCGCGTAACTCGGCAAGTGACCTGTTGTATCTATAAACACATGCGCCAAAAATACTATGTTTACTCCTTCTTGTAATATACAAGTTTCGTGCCGGGAACTAATATTACAACATTAATTAATGGTAACTATAATTCTGTATAAAAGGTTTGCTGTTGACTTACCCGCCAACAAAGTAACTAGTACGAGTAAACTCATTCAACTAAGGTGGCTTCTTCTTCTTTTTCTCTCGCTATGGATCAGAGAATAGCGCTTTAGCACAGCACAGCAAAACGTATTAGGCGTGGGACTGTATACGTATACATATATACAAATACCTGTTCGTTTTTTATTGAACTTTACTTTCTAAAGTAAACAGAAGGACTTAGTCACAAAAATGACGACGCCTTGTCTATAAATAAGCCCAGGAAAGGGCAAACGAGATTAATGCCCTCTATAACGCAGTTTTCTGACCTTATCTCTTCATTATTTAAGAGATTTATAATATATACTAGCTGCCCCCGCGAACTTCGTTTCGCCTTAATAAGTTTTTTTTTTACTTAGCCCACCTTTTTAGTACCAATATATGGAATATTTTTCTATGCCCCATAGAGACTGTTCGCTTTTCCGGAATATAATTTATAAACCTAAGTTCTAATTTGGCAAAAGCATCTTCTAGGAGTTATATTCCGTGAGCTCCCTCTGACCCAAACATCGACATGAATAAACTTGCCTCCCTTTGTAAATGAAAAAGAGTAACCCTCCAAATGTAACTTTATTAAGTAGTAAAAAAAATTTGTACTTAACCAACAACGTTACCTATATAAAAAAAATTAAGTTATGAATGACAAGGTAAGAAGCTTAGATTTTGTTTATATAAAAGTTTAAGGTTTTACAACATGGTTGTTTAGAAACTACTACGAGTATATACGAGTGTTGGAAACCTCTTTAATTTCAGTTTAGCTGCTTTTCTATCAAGATAGAGAGAAATAAATGATATAATTAGTTAGTGACATTAATGCTAGTGAAAGGACCAGACGTTTACTTAGCATTTTGTAGTTTAAAATATTAGTCACACTTTTATTTTATTTTATTTTAAATTTAGAATCGAAAATTTTATAACATCAAAGTAGTAAGTATACCAATGTTGAATTTAACATTATCATAGTATAGTGGTAAGGTAATATTTATTAAGTTTACATGCTATTTTCCTCAACTGATAAAATTATAAAAACAGAAAACCTAATAAATATATTTCAATTAGTATAATTTCAAAGCTAAATATATCATAAGCCATCATTTGTAGGAAAGCTAGCTAAAGTCTACTTTATATTAAATATTCAAACCTTAAAAGCCCTAATTTTCTTAAGGCAGTGTTTACAAGGGCCAGTTATAAAAAACAAACCAAACTTACACTATTTTTAACTCAAAGGCTACGTTCTATCCCTAAGGATCTTTTTTTTATAAAAATATTAATACACTAAGCAAATTCTAGGCCAGAATTATTGAGTTACCTAACCTGACTCATTAACGTGATGTATTTTTGATAATTTTGGACTTACAGTACACAATAGCATTTTCAAACCGTTCTATATTTTCCGATATTTATTTTAGTTGGTATTTTTTGGTAGATTTGATAAGATTAGTATCGCTCCTATAAAAACTAGATCAGTTTTAACTCAAGGGCTGAAGCGTGTTTATCGATGAAATTACGAGTTAATAATTACAGAGCAGTGGTTTAAATAAAAAGTAATTTTATTTATTTTATCTTCGCCATTAAAATAAATAAAAATACAAGCTAACTTCTAAGCTTGATTTAAGCGTGTATATTACATAGTTATAATTTAAATAATAATTCCCACGATATGAATAATCAGAAAAAAAACAGTGATCAGTGATCACTAGACCTTATCGTGAGACATAATATTACGATTTCAATAATAGGCTAACAAATTACAGCTTATATGAGCTTCAAATCGTTTGGACCTTGTACGAATATTATATGTGATTTGAAGTATAGTTTTTACCCATAATAAGTACAATTTGTCATTATTCGTAGTAACGTTCGCAAATCAAATTAAAACTTCATTATGTCGATACGTTAGACATAACATTCACGTATTTAAAGAAAACACAACGTTGGAAAAATATATAACGTAATTTAAATTTCTATTTTTATATCGAAATGGCACCTCATCTGTCAAACGATACCGTACACTGGTTTATGAATGAATTAACATCAAGAATTGTTAGTCAATCAGGAAATCCGAGTGACAGATATCATCTTGGCAAAATAATATTACAAAGTTTGAAAGACTATCCTGACGCTATTATGCAAGTAAGTCTGAACAATAAAATTGAACTACTAAGCTTTTTAACTCAATATAAGATTTTTTAAATATACAGCAATGATAGATCTAAGTTCCGACCAAAACTTTCATATGTAACACTATACTTATCACAGATCAGTGAGATTCAGAAACGCCGACTATGACTCTCGAATGTCATCCAATACATTCGAAGTCAGACGTAGCGCTAGGTCCCGTATATTAAAATCACATTTGTTACCTACAAGAATAGCTCGCTCTAAGTTTCGAATTGAATCTTGAACTATAAGGAATTTTTTGTCAGCTTGGTCGGATAAAATCTAGGCGCTAATGAAATATTGATATTCCAATAAAGTACTATACTTTATTGGAATATCTATATAATATTTAATATAATATTTTCCTAATAAAATATCATTTCATTTCATTTCATTTCATTTCAGATAGATGGCTCAACGGGAGAAGAAGAGACGAATAGTTCAGCTCTAAAAAGAATAATTAAATGCGCTATCACCTTACGGAAGTTTGGCATAGAAGTTGGTGACGTTATTGTTCTTATGGCTCCAAGCCATTTGGACCTAGCGATTCCCCTCTATGCAGCCCTTTGTGTTGGTGCCATAGTATCAGCTGTTGATAGAACTCTTAGCGTTAGTAAGTAGCAATTCGTAGCTAAACATTCTTGTTTAAAGGCCAGTATGTAGCTGATCAACCTGTTCTATATACATTAATCCCTCCTATAACACGGTACATTTGTTCCGCGTTATAAGAAACGCCTTTTAGGAGTATTCTCGCATAACGCGCTTTGAAGACCCCATATAACGCGCTATATGTACAAATGATTCACGTTTAACTTTTCTCGTTAAAGGAGATTTAAATCGAATATTGAGAAAAAACTATGCTATGAACGAAATATGTGCGTACAAATTAATATAAATGTCACAGTACAGAAATGCGTGTGTTACCCCCGCGTTATATGGGGGAATACCCGTGATATACGAGGGACTCCAATCGCGTAATACGAAAATGCGTTATAAAAGTACCATGTTATAAGGGTTTACTGCACATCATCAATGCTTTGATCTAATGCATGTTTCCTCATGATGTTTGGACGTTCAATAATGTATCTAAAATAAATCTAACTCCTTATTTTACTTTTGCATTGATTTCTAATAGAGAACATCTAGTTCAAATGGGTTAGTGGAAAAAACAATTATGATTTTTCCCGCCTATTTTTTTTAATAATTCAGTATTCGGTATAAACATTTGGGTTCAAATAATTATTATCAATTTCTAGCTTACCATTCCAAAATTGTTAAATACGTCAAGGCGGTAGCGCGGGTTATGAAACAGCAGTGTACCATAAGTAATCTTTGATATTATCTACATGGCCGTGCAACTTAAAAAGATTTCGGTTTCAGATGAGTTAAGAGCAGCATTTCAAGTGTCGGAACCAAAAATCGTATTTTGTCAAAGTGAGAAGGCTACGGAAGTACAAATCGCCCTCAACGATATTGAGCGAAATACGGAAATTGTTACATTTGACAGCGGCGACTACTTGTGTTCATTCCAAGAATTTCTTACTAGATATATAGAAGAATCATCAATTGATGATTTTGAGTAAGAATTTGTATTTCAATTATTGTTAGAGAGTTTCTAGCTTTAGTATCAAGGTCACGCCACGGTGCGTCTTGATTCAGATCTATACCTAAAGTTTGTGGTTATGACCTTAAACCATCTATGAGCGAGGTGGAGACGAACTTTCTCAGAATAGATATAACTACATAATATAATGTTTTCATATATTTATAATTTTTCCTTTATTGCAAGCATTAATATGATTTTTTTACTTATACCTTTTAAGTAGCTACATACCAACATATGGAACATTTTGCTATGTAACCCCATAGAGACTGTTCGCTTTTCCAAAATAAAAACCTAAGTACTAAATAAAACTAAATTTTTCTCTCCATAAATACCTTCCTCATAATTAGAGGAAGAAATAAAAAAAATACCCTAATTGGTCCGGCCGTCTTCGAATTATGCTTTTTATTTATATTACTATGTGTTAATTATATTTAAAATAATACCTGCCTCAAAAAAGGCTGAGTTTATTTGTTACCTTGTGCAGAGTTGCCGAATTAGATACAGAAAGCGCAGGCGCACTTTTAATAGCGACGAGCGGGACCACCGGCTTGCCAAAAGCAGCAGTAGCGACTCACAAAAATTATGCCACCAGCCTACCCTACATATGGTAATATTGCTTTATTGTTCACTTTTAAACCTGCACGTAAAAATAAATTGCATTAAGTAGATTCCTTATAACAACTTTCAGATTTCTTTTCTATTCGCGCAAACTAGTTTCACACGATTCCTTGAATCATGGAAGTTTAAAAAAGATAGATGATACGAGTAGCAATCCTATGACCTTCTTAGACTTCCAGTAAAGATGCAACTCCTTAATTGAGACGGAAAATACTACATAAAAGAAATTGCATAGAAAAACAACGAATAGCTACTAAGAAAATTCTGAATATATTTTGTTTTATTCCATGTTAATTTCTATAAAAAATAGGTAACTATGTTTTAAAAATAATATACCTGCTGTTTTAATGACCACCATTTCGAGCCACTTATTCGATTTCAATTGAATCAGAACTCAACATTGATAGTAGAATATACATATAAGATTTCTATTTTAAGTTGTATAGACGCCTTTTTTTAATAGGTCCCGATCGACAACATTCCCAGGCCCCACGCGTATGGCGTTGGTTGGTTCACCGTTGCAATGGCTGACAGCCATCATGAGCTTTCTTTTATCACCAATTTTCAAATACATAAGACTACAGTCATCTTCGCCACTTACTCAGGAACATGCGTATTATCTCATCAATACTTATAAGGTTAAAGTTACATAATCTTTTAAACCTCTTTTATATGTGAAAGTTCTAGCTATTTTGATAACACTATCTAATAATTTTATATTTATATACGCTTTATAAACTACAGGCTATTATTTCCATTCTCAAAAAATGTAAGTAAGCTAATTATTAACAGCATACCTAAAGCTGACTGGAAATTGCTTTAGATGTATTTTTCATTTTCTAGAATGATTTTTTTCTACAGCCTTCATACGCAGTAATGAGTCCTACATTTATGACCACTTTGATGCGACCTGAAGACCGTGATCAGTGTGATTTTACGTGCTTTGAACTTTTACTATTGGGTGGAAGTGCAGTGCCAGTTGAACTAATTAATGAAATTAAGGTAAGAAAAACTAATGGTACTGACCTTCTATTAAGAGCCGTTATTATACCCCTCTATTTATTAAATTCTATAATAACCCTAGTACTTAATAAATTAGCTTTTTAGGATTATTAACTTTGAACTGACAAAATGAGTCTTTGGTTGGTATTTAATGTTTCTTGTAATATATACGTTAGTTAACCAGAAAATCGTGAGATGAACGTAGTTTTTTCTATAATTCTTTTATATTTAAGACGTTATTTTTATTTCAGAATATTACACCAGAAACTGAAGTTTTTAATATTTACGGAATGAGTGAACTATCTGGTGTTGGATTCCACGCTGATTATCCACCTCCCGGTTCTGTTGGGAGACCGATGGGATGCTTTCAATATAGGGTATTTTTTGAAAAAAATTAAATGCCCCCCGCGGGACAGGCTTTTTCCCGCTTTTTGGGGGTAACTCAACCGTCACTCAAGACACCACGCACAGAAATGGAACCAGCTTTTTCAACAGTTTCCAAAAAAAGATAACAGGAATATGTTTAAACTATAACTTATCTTTCATAATAAGTATCACAACATCAAACTGCTTTTATAAAGGAATTTTTTCACTCAAAAAGTCCCATAATCCCGATTTGGCAAAAAAAACTGGCAACGCTGATGTGTAGTGTGGACTCATCACATAATCAACCATAAGTGCCTATATATATCATTCTCATCAAGGACTTTTAATTATCTTCAACACTAAAGAAATGAATTTTTACGATCTAATTTCTAAATTAATTTTGCGATTCTTTTGTTTGCAAATGTATAATATTTTCTTGTTTTAGATTGTAAATGTTGATACACTAGAAGATATTGATGAACCAAATGTACCAGGAGAATTGTGGCTGAAGGGTCCTTGCATCTTCAAGGTAAAATATAAAATGTAGCCACAATTTTTTAGAGAACTCACAACAGTGATTTAAAGTACAACGACAACGCAACAAAATACACACATAAAAATAACAAATAATAAGAAAACACACACAAACATTAGTATAGAAATTGAACACATATATGTTTTTTCTATATAAAATAAACAATTCACAGGAGTACTACAAAAATCCTGAAGCCACTGCAGAAACATTTCATGAAGACGGATGGTTTAAGACTGGTGATATGTTCTATAGAGATGAAAGCTTTAATTACTACTTTTGCGAACGAATTAAACTTCTGCTGAAATATAAAAGTTTCCAGGTATTCGTTATATTTGTACTACTAACAAATATAATATTACCACGCCATGTGTGTGTGCGCAGTGCGTGTGTGTTCTTATAAATAATTGTATGAGTCATTTTCGGATTTTCTTTTATAAAAATGCTTAAAATCAATTTATTAACTATAATTACAGAAAGCCTAACATACTTATTTCTATTTAACAATTATTGTATTTGACGTTGTTTTTAGTATAACAGTAGAAACTTAAATTGGTCCTAGAGCTTAAATCTGGTTTATTATCGTTGAAATATTGTCGCTAAACATAGAGAAAACTATTTTGTATTATTATTTTATGATTTACATATAAAATTATAACGACGTTTTAGATTTCACCGGTTGAAGTTGAGAACGTGATTCGCCAACATCCAGGCATTTTAGATGTAGCAGTGACAGGACTACCAGATCCAGAATGTGGAGATCTGCCTGTCGCCTGTGTGGTGCTTCGTGCTGGACACGAAGTCAGCGCAGATAATATTAAAGATCTAGTACAAGGTGATTTTTTTCATACAATAATACATTTACGGCTGGACTTCTTTCTGAATTTTCTTTTGTGTTTTCGTTCCGCGACCGAACCGGAACTGATTACAGAGTCAAACGGCAGTCGTAGGAACGAGTGACTAATGATTACTTTAATATTGTTTGTCTTTATGTTAAGATTTTAAGTGCTAATAAATTACTTTTGATAATAATAATGACTATGGAATCATTATTACTATCTACTATTGAACAGTCATTAATTTATAGATATATCAACATTTGCAAATCAAACAAACCACTTGTAAAATAGTAATGGTTATGAACTGACTTGATTTTGTCGTTGTTTTTTATAAGCTCTGTGACATAATAATAACAATGACAGCTGACAGTAACGCCATTGCTCCAATAGATAGATGATGATGATAGATGCGTTAATGTCTAGTCTGAATAGTGGCCGAACTAGACTAGTCACTAGAGGATGTATTTATATAAGCGACAGTGTTGGTATTTGCATGATATATTTGCATCATATATTTGTTTTAGATTCGTTATCTGATTCGAAGCGTCTGCGAGGTGGAGTCGTATTTATGAATGAGATACCTATGACAGCATCAACAAAAGTACACAGGCGAAAATTAAAAGAAATCGTAATGAATCCGGACACTGTTATAAATTAATTTTCTTACGCCAGCACCTATACTCGTATATAACTAAACGCTAAATAATGATAACGTATAACATTAGCAGGCGACTCTCATCCCTGAGGTCGTAGGTTTGAACCCCGGCTGTGCACCAATGGACTTATATTTCTAAGTGCACTAACACTATCTTGTATGGTGAAGGAAAAACATCGTGAGGAAACCGGCTTTAGACCCAAAAAGTCGATATTTGTCAGGCGCAGAAGGCTGATCTCCTATTTACCTATTAGATAAAACAAACGATTACGAATAGTGTTGCCCAAATGCAAGACCAAGACGAGACTTAGACCAGTCTTGGTATTGTCTTGCGTCAATACACCTGGTCTTGGTCTTGGTCTTGGTATTGGTATTGCGATCTCAGTCTTGGTCTTGGTCTTGATCTTGCAGCAAGAGTCTTGCAAGTCTCGCGAGACTTGCAAATACCTATTAGCCTATTACTATTTGTGGGGGCTTGCGGGCTATCCTGGAGCATTCACCAATGTACAATGTTCATCAACCAATAATAGCAGGCAGGCTACAGGCAGAGATTGAGAGATTAGCAGATTTCATTACAGTGTGCGTAGGTAGGTTTTTTAGGCAATTTGTCATACTCGTGACTGGCGCGCTTTGCTAAGTAGGTACTGTCGTTAAAGTATGTGTAAGTAAGAAACGATGTAGGTACCTACTACAACAAAATTGTATTCCTTGGAAAAATTATCGTCGTACCTACACGACGATTATTTTTATTTATTTAGTAAATCATCTCTGAAGACAATAGTCGCTACTAGAGTAGGTACGATAGAAGTTGATAAACCGACACTGCAAATCTCGATTTTTGGAAGTGTGTGATTTTAAAACAAAATGCGTAAAGAAATATGACGTCGCTCATATTTGGAGCTTTTCCACGTTTTAAGTTTGTTAAAATCACCCACTTCCAATTTTGCAGTGCAATGTCCTTTAAAAAGGTATAATAGGTAATAATAATATAATCTAGGTATATTTTTATTACTTAAATTTTTTTTTATAAAATCTACCTATCCTTACGACTACATTCTTCCTTGCGAGAACAACATAATCTATTTGCGTCCGTTCATAGCACCCAGAAACTTATTTTATTCTTTAGAACATGGGCAGTGGCGGCGACCTTTGACATGAAAGCGACGGCGGCAACACAAAGTCTAGAAGCGGACTAAATTTTTACCTATTTTGGTGGGGTTGTCAATGTTGGCAACCCCACAATGTCAATGTTGGCACAGAAAAATAAAATAAAGTAAACACAACGTTTATCCACTTTTTAATAACTCGGTATCCACGATAGAATATTTTTTCTACTTATTTCCTAAGTACTCAGTCTAAATATCTTTTTCATAATTTTTGTTTTTCAATAATTAGTTGTGTGTAATTGAATGGTAAACTCTAAATCTTACTAGAGAGCTTTTTTAAAATAAACTTATTGAAAGCACTGACATGGCATATACACTTTTCAATCTTGCTGCTCACATTTTAGTACCTAAGTATCACTCACTATCTATCATTTACCGATATTAACAATGATTATTTCGAAATCAAAATATTCGCAATTCAATAGATGCAATACCTACTTAGTTATTAATTATCATCTCGCCCGACAGCTTTTAACGCTGTAGTGTTCGAATTCAAGCCAGGCAGTGTGAGAATGTATAATGTGTAGGCAGTGTGTAATAAAAGAAACACAGAGCATTCAATTTATACCTTCCTACTGCTGGGACATCTTCAAGGTCATTTAAGGCTAACCAACCCTACCAAAATAGGTAAAAATTTGTGTGCCTCTGTCCGTACTCTTTGTCGGCGAATGCGGCGCTCAAACAGTGTCAAATGCTGTGATACACTTGTTGCAAACCGCGGCGTCTTTGTCGGTAAATTATCAAATAAGTAGGTATATAATACACCGACCGACCAACAGTTTATTCGCAGAACGTCACATTTCCCCAATCAACTTTGAACCTTAATTCCTTAGCGATAAACTTGAAAATCTGTTGAAGAAATTTGATAGATTATTTTTATTAGTAGCTTGATGTGCTGGCGTCTGTACCATAATATTGGGTGCTGTAGAAACTGTTACTAGACCTACTCGACTCGCTGTTAGTTTTAATTTAACCTACATGATGTTTATATAATTTTGTTAGCTATAATTTTAAGCACATACCAACCTACGAGTACTAACATTAGATCTGCACATTAGACATAAACAAGCATAACATATTATTATAGGTAGATACCTACAAGGTATGAACTTTGCTATAAAGTTATTCTAGGTAAATTTTATCACATGGGATGGTGGGAACAGATTTGTGAGTATTAACACGCTACTTAATAAATTGTTGAAATATAATAAGTACTTACCTACCTAATCAATACAATACGTTTCAGGGTGCTTTCAGACGAGCGGCACGTTGCCAACTGCAGCCCTTAGTTTAGTGTTAGGATATGAGATACCTACGGTTTTGGTTTTTACGGTTTGGTTATTAATTTAAAAAAAAATATTTTTTTAAAACATTTCACCGGTATGATTATTAGATAAATTCTATACCAATCGAACGTATGAAGCCCATAGAATATGCAAACGTTAGGTTGTTTTTAATCAATTAATTATTTATGTGTATATTTTTTATGTGACACTAAAGTATATTTACATCTTTAGTATAAAAGAAGGTTATAGTGATACATATATAATACTACCCTGGTTAAAAATATTGATTGAAAAAAGTTCAAAAAATTTACTACATGCAAATTATAAAAAAAAAATTTTTTTTAATATTAATTAAACATACTCTGGACTGAAATTTGCTAGGCAACCCATATGGATTATATTTATTGACATATTAAATTAAATATAAAATAAGTTACATTAAATAAGCATCTCGGTGAAGGTCGTTGTATAGCGGGATCTTATACTATTAAGTTACTCTCTTTTAGCATTTTTCACTATATCAAGTAGCGTTTTTCTTGCTACCTTCCCTGTAGACGTCATTGGAAATTCATTCAAGAATATCACACCACCGCTTAGTGCCTTGTGTTTCGATAATTTTTCTGAAAAATATTACTATGAAATTAAATAAGCACATTTGAGAAGTCTCTTGTTAGATGGCGCGTTTAGCAATATACATTTTTAGAGGGAGAATCAGAGTAGGCTTATGTCAAATCAAATATGTTTTGATATATAGGAATTGTACGAGCCAAGACTCACTCAGGGTTTCTTAGTAATATAATAAGTGTGGCGATTACCTAAATCATCAGAGTTACGTCCTGAGAGTATAGCCAGACGCAGGAACTTTATTCAGCATTTACGAGTAAATGAGAGTACATGCATTAAAGTTTAATATAAAATACTTTACTGATTAAACTATTTTATATCCTTTGCATAACGCGGGTTGAAAATAAATAGTATTATTATATTTTTACATTGTTTAAAACATATTCTAATCATAAATCATAAAAACTGATCCAGGAATCATACTTTCGTAGCGTTAAGTCAAGTGTAAATTTGATTATATGACACTAATCGTAATTCTCTAAAAACTGAATAATTTATGTCCATAGGCTATATAATCAAATAAATCATATTATGTATTTTTATCTGTTAAGGAAATTGCATTAAAACAACGCAATATAAATGTATGTCTACATTATACCTTGTTGTAAAAGCCTAGAATGTAAGAATTTTTTAGAGAAATCCCGAATTTGTAGTTACCTGCCTACTCGTCTATATTATTTAATCATAGAAAGAATCAGGAAAAATACTCATAAAAATAGTATTTGCGTAAAACAAATTCTATATTACACATATATTTAACTTATACTGACCAGCGACGAGCTGCTTGATTTCCTGCGCAGTGACACAGTTTTTACGTCTAACCACGCATGCGACTGGCCTTTGTCCGTCCTCTCGATCCTCAATGCCAACCACACAGACATCGCTTACGTCTTCATGATTACGAATCACCTCTTCTAATTCAACTGGCAGGATCTAAAACATATAAATAGTCGTAGAGAACTGATCCCGAAAATTATTTTTAAACATATGCATTATATTGGTTTGAATAATCTTACAGCGTTTCGTTATACGCGAAAGTAATATTCATCATTAATATTTTGTGCCGTTAAGAGTTTAAAGATACTTGTACTTGCATACTAAAAATGCAGAAGGTCGACTACACTTATATTAAAGTGTCCCTTAGATTTAAAAACCCTTAAATAAGCCGAGTTAGTTTTTTGATCATTATATTAATTATAAGCTCTTGCTTTAAACAATTAAAGCCAGTAGCCACCCAGCTGCAAAGAAAAAGTTTCATTTAACGTTCAATGTTTACTATAGACTTTGTATTTTGATACCTGGTAATTCCTACACTTGATTAATGTTTTGATACGATCCACGAAGTAGAAGTAGTCATTCTCGTCCTTATATAAAAGATCTCCAGTTCTATAAAACCCGTCTTCTGTAAATAATTTTGCAGTTTCCTCAGGGTCATTGTAATATTCCTGGAAAACAAAATCAATAACGATGAATCAATAATTACTTCATAACTGGCTTACATTGGTGCTACTTAATAGAATCTAACGTCACTTAAGGGCGAAGACAAATTTTAAAGTAGAGGTACGCATACTTAGAGTGGTGTGGTACCTACGCAATTATTTTACAATACGAATCTTCACTACCCTTACATCTTGATATTCTTCTCAAAGAATAAAATATTATGTGTTTAAATTGTTTTAATGGTGTGAGAAAACATAAGACGAAACAATTGTGAAATAATGACATATATATATATATATTATATACCAAACATAAACTACAACAAATGTAATTACAATTGATTTATCATATTTAAAAGAAAAAGTTACTTTGGGAGGTGAAAATATTAAATGAAAGACAAGATTTTACTTTGTTATTTATGTGAATTAAAAGAAGTTTGTTAGCATTTTGCTCCTGAAATGATAAGTTAAATTTACACTGGTTTCTGTTTGGTTTATTTAATATCATCTCTATACGAATCAAGTTAATTAATAAATTTATTATTTTATATACATATGTTATAATTAAGTTACTTACAGAGAGTGATGGACCTTTAACTATTAATTCTCCAGGTATATTTGGTTTTGTGATTTCGTCTCCTGTATCAGGGTTTATTAGCTTAAACAAATATAAATATTATTTTGAAATCTATCTATTAAATACATTTAAAACTAATTAATACTTAAGTTTAGTGTCTAAAGACTGGTGCGCCCAGGTGCTCATAGTTATCAGACCACTGCCTTGCGATTCTGTAACTCACTTTTCGAACTCACACCGCGGTTTTCGCAGCGGCGGTCGCGCTCAAATCAGTCGTAAAGCAGTCATTTTACGATTTGACATTCTGATAAACAATAAACTACAAGCTCCCTCCTTATCTTCCTCGTTATCTAATATTTAACAATGATTGTCTAGACGATTTATACCGTGAAAGGTATAGAAAAGACAATTTCATTGTATGCAAAAGTTATTTTGAAATTGACCATCTAAGTGGCGTCGCGTTGAAATAATTTCCGACTGATACGTACTGGGAACCCAAAATAACAGCTTTCCTATTCTGATACGTACCGGGAACTCTCACAGCGGTTTCCCAGCGGCGTGTTCGCTCAACAATACATTAAGCAATTATTTTTTGCGGGCTTGGCATTCTGATAAACAATAACTACAAGTTCCCTCCTTATTAGAATGCCAAATCGTAAAAAACCGCAAGTTCGAAAAGTGAGTTACAGAATAGCAAGGCTGATACCGTAAAAAGCAAGTTTGAAGAAATTAGCCCTTAAGACTACGAATATAGTAAATACCTTAAGGATATAAGTGTCATAGGCCCGACCACAGCTCCCTACAGGTGTTCCAGGCAGCCCTTTGACGACAGGCCCAAGCGTCTCAGTTTGACCATAGGCGTCAACCAATAAAGTACCTTCCCTTAGTAATGACTGAAAATAAAAGCATCTACTTAAAGGATTGAGCATAAAAAATATTCTGGCTGTATGGACTGAAGGCGTCGAAATTGAAAATAATATATTGTGGCAAAATTTAAATACATATAACTTTCTTTAATTAATCTCATAAATTAGAATTTGAACCTGAAAATTGTAAATGTAACCTGTGAATGGCGCCAAACTCGTAATGCCAGCGTAATTTTAATATTCTACATTTAAAGTACTAGAGTAGTTCCTAATTCAAATATTTCAAAATAAGAGAGATAAAAATGCTCTGAAATGGCATAATTTTTATCTGTATTATTAAAAATAACACAACGAAACTATCTAGTAACACAAACGGATTTTTTAAAATGTTTTAATGCATACCTTGAACTTAACAAATAGATCGGGATAAACTTTTGACCCAACCAGTGCAATGTAAAAAAAGCATGTCATGTCCACTTCATCTTTTCGTGACAAAATTGATGTCGCTAATGATGGACTAAACAGAGAAACAACTGGCTGGAATAAAAAAAAAGTATCATTCATTGATTTGGCATAACATAAAACTTTATAAAGATTATTACAAAAATCCAGTTATTCGAACAGTTCGCGACGTAAGTATTTATTATTTGTCATCAGATCAATGACCTTATTTTAAAACTTGACTTCAGAATATTGTGAGGTACTAAATAAAGTATTATGAGGTACCAGATTGTGTCTCACAAATCGCAGAACAAACGGATTTTAAATATTAAATATCGAATTCAATTTTAAAGTAGTTGGTAACGGTGCGATAACGATGCACCCGAATCTGATGATACTGATTATGCAGGAGTCTTGGGGGGACCTTCATTGGAACAACTCCAAGTGATTTTAGCTGCCGGAAATGCGTCAAAGTATTTTTTAAAAAAATTTAAAGTTTTGTGAAATGTATTGAAATTTGTAAACAATCCACCATTATCTACTTTTCTATTGGTTATAAGTGATGTGACATTTTCGGTAAATTAATCGGATCGATTATTTTCTCATTTGTTATTTATTTTGACCCTAATCGAATATATAAACCTAACCTAACCGATCTAGATAATAATTGGTTTTTTGGACAGCTCCGGCGCTACGGGAAATGCAGCCCCTCCACCCTTGCGTACCAAAGCACAGGCATTTTATTCAAGCCTCCGCAACCTCGGCTTTATGGTCGCCTTCGGCGACGGCGACCAAATATTCATATGCTAACCTAACCTAACCGATCTAAATAATAATTGGTTTTTTGGACAGCTCCGGCGCTACGGGAAATGCAGCCCCTCCACCCTTGCGTTTTTCTTTAAATGTGTAAAGGTTATGTAAATCAAAGACAATACTAATGGTGGATTGTTTACAAATTTCAATACATTTCACCAAACTTTTTTTTTTTTTTTAAGTTGTACTTCTTTAGGCGCGTTATGAAAAATTGATGAGAGGAAATTTTACGATTGCGCGCGCACCTATGACACAAAATTGGCAGTGTGATATAGCGTGCGCGAGCGAGATGGGAATAAGACAAACTACAAGTAAAAGAAATAGAATATGCGTGAAGCTAACTTCACGCATATTCTAGCAAAGCACCTTAACAAGAATTTTGAATGACCATGACAATTGACATCTGACAATGACATTTACCTTTTAAACAAATGTAGGAGTTTTAATTATTGTAATTAATAATTATATACCTAGTTATTTTCATTATACAAAATATTTGTGAAATAATATAAAATATTTGTGAAAAAACTGTGCTAACCTTCCTGAGTGCTTCAATACAATTGAGGTTAACTATCCGTATGTATTATCGAGTATTATTGTTGATTAAAACTGAAACATGAACCATTATTCATTGCTTTTGTTTATTGCGTTTGTTACAGCAACTTTTTAGAAATATTCTACGACCCTATATATCAATAATTGAGAACAAAGATTTAAGCACGAATACTAATAAGGAGAAAATGAAGGCTTGGAGCGATATAACAGAGAAGTAAACATTTTAATAAGTACCTGCATCTCAAAAAAATTACCACATTATTTAATCAAAACATCAGATTTAATCTAGCAAATATAAGGACAAGAGACAAAAAACAATTGATGAATCAGTGGAAGTGCACTAAATTGAATACAAAAAAGAGTTGTCATCTTATCGCCGTGAAACATCAAAAACTGGAGGTGGAACAAAGCCACCATCACCTTCTCGAGACACAATGGTTTGAAGTAGATTTCAATGAATTTGATTGTGATGGTGTCGAGGTAGGAATGTTAATTATAAATATGATGTATGGTGATGTTCAAGGTTCAACCTTTCAAGCATAGGCATATGCTTACAACATTACTTTATTCCCCTACAGGGTAGTTAGAGATATTGTAATACCTCAAAACATCCATGTTGCACTTGTAGTACCGAAACTCTGTCCTGCCAGAAGTGAGCCCATTCCCACTTATAATGGACAGTGGGTATAATACACCTTAATACCTGAGTGCGAACCACTCACCATGATACTTAAATTAATAGATGTTATTTATATATTTCAGGTTATTACAAATAAAATCATTTTGGAAACAATTGATATCCCAAAAGCAAATAAAGCCAACAATGACAAGGTAATAAATCAGTTTTGACATAACTTGAATACTAAAAAAGCCAAACAAAGGTGTGCACAACAGTGACAACATAACTTAACAATTTCATTATTTTGTAGGATTAAAGAAAGGTTAAAGAAAATCATGTCGAACTGAACAACAAGAATCCCCAAACAACTCAAAAGAAACCTACAAGGAAGACACCGGTATTATATTTAAATTATCTCTATCTCTAAATAGAATAAAAGAAAGTTGCTATCCAGGTCTGTAGCATGTGCTACAAATTATATTATTAACACATTTATATAATTATATTAATATAAATGTGTTAAAAAATTTATAATATGAATTATAAAAATTTTTAAGTTTTGCATGGACAGAGCTTAAATTAATATTCTCTTATTTGTTGCAGAAAGCAAGTAGTTTTGGAGAAGCCTCGTAGATGCACAACCAAGTAATGATTAATTTAAAATTACAAACCGAAATTCTGATGAAGACATTAGAGTCACTTAAAAATAAATAGTATAATTAAATAAAAATGTTTTAAAGATAAATAGTGTTTTATTTGTTTAATGTAAGAGAATAATAATAAATATTTATTTAATTAATTTTTCAAATGTAAACTGAACTTTATTGACTTTAATGACTCCTTTTCCAGTCTTTGATTATTTAATTGTAATTAATTATTTGCATGCAATCAAAAACTATTTTTAATAATGCCAAAGAAGTATAACTTCTTACGCGCGTACATAAGTACACGCACCTTTTTTTTTTTTTAAATACTTTGACGCATTTCCGGCAGGTAAAATCACTTGAAGGTGTTCCAATTAAGGTCCCCCAAGACTCCTGCATAATCAGTATCATCAGATTCGGGTGCATCGTTATCGCACCCAACCCAAGTAGTTAATTGTCTATAAAATCGGCAGAAATCTAACAAAGTGAAGTGATTTTACAATTTATATTTATAATAAATGTTGGCAATTCCATTATATATATAGCATACTTTTAATATATTAATTAATTATAAAAAAATCCGCACAATCAGTCATATAAAAATAGGCATGCAAATGTAATAATAAGTAAAGTTATTTATAATTGATGTCAAACTTATAGTTCAAATACTCTCTTCTATACTCATATTATAAAGAGGAAAGGTTTGATTTGTTGTTTGTTTGAAATTAATAGGCTCCGAAACTACTGGACCGATTTCAAAAATTCTTTCACCGTTGGCAAGCTACACTATTCCCGAGTGATATAGGCAATGTTTCATTTTCAAAAAAGTTAGGGATGCTTACTAAAACTTGAATAATCTAACCCAAGGTGTAAAAATATAAACAATAAACTTCCTTCAATCGCGTGCGCTGCGAAAACTATTAATGATAGAACAAAATGATGTATTAAAATTTTTCAGGACACATCACTATCTATAAAAAATGTCGCGACAGCATGTCTCTAGCTTTTATAGTTACGTCACAATAAGCGTCCTTTTATTAATTTTTTTATTAAAATACCACCGCTAGAAAAGGCTCTTTATTCGTACCTAGGTATTGATCCTTATCAAAATAAATACCAACGTTTCACATAAGCTACAATTTAATGGCATAGCCACCAAAAAAGCATGGTGGATTGGGGTTCTCCTGCCGTTTCTCTTGAATAGTTTGCTACTATGTAATAATATAACAAAAATCTTAGCCACAGCAACGCTTGGCCGAGTCTACTAGTACGCTATAAAGGCATCCAGCCTGCCTTTACCTTTCCCTGGAAAGCATTATACAGCAATGATCATGGCACGGCAACTTCTAGTACGGCGATTAAATAATTTGAGAGCCATGGCGTAGCAATTGTTTCAATATATATCATATATTGAAACAATATTGTCTAAAAAGAAAATTTTTTACGTACCTTATATTTGTTGATTATATTAATGATAACATCAAGATTGTCAGGCACTGAGGATAGTACAAGTGTATGACCAATCATTGGAGCAGCTATGGTCATAAAATAAGTGGAAACCCAGTTTATGGGTGATATACTAAGAACTTTTGTTCCTTTGCTGAAAGAAGCACATAGATGAGGATAAAAATCAACGAAGAGTCTAACTAAGGAGAGTGTTGTTATGCTGTGCGTCTTTCAAATTATTACTAGCTGACCCGGCAAAATCCATACCTTTTAGCTAAACTCCGAAATATTTTCTATGATAATGATAAGTTGTTGTCTTTTGTTTTTTTATATTCGACTTATTCTATCTAAACTGTTATTCTGCTAATTAGAGCAAAGACGAATTAAATAATATTATCAACGTCGTTCCAGGAGTTCTCGGGTTATAAATGGTGTAACTATCCCGACTTTATTTTATATATATACAGGAACTAGCTGTTGCGTTTCTACTCCTACTACGCGTTTCTACTCCTACTACGCTGGGAGAAAATGTGTAGCTTAGAATACAGGGATTAAAGTAATTCAAATCGATTCGGCCACACTGATCTTTTTTGGGAGTTGTATCAAGCTCTCGTATTTTTAAACGAATAAAAGCAAGGTTTTCAATTCAATGTCTCATTCGTCCTATTCAGAGTTTGTCCTTGAATAACCAGTGCATATACAATAGTTTCTATTGTAAGTCAAGAGTGTCAAGAGCACTTAAGCCAGCTAATCAATAAAACTCAATTACTATACTGTTTGAATTAACAACAATCATGTGTCTCTTCTCTTCAATCAATATTCGATATTGTAAAAAACGGGACCAAAATAGTGGTTTAGTTTTTATGAATAAGGGGGTAATATTATGAATGAAACTGCTTTAATTGGTTCACGTTAAGATGCGCAACTCCTACATCTGCCGCTACAATCAGAACGATGACGTCATCTAAATATTTTTGCCGCAATCAACGTTACCGGACAGTTACTTTGGTCAGGGATTTTGTATTTATTTATTACAAAAATCACAATCTTGTCCTAACTTCTAGGGCTAACTATCTTTTAGGGCAAAATAGTAGAACTTTTGTCAGCTCACTCAACGGAAAGTAAAAAAGGTCCTTTAATATATTATGTAATTCGTTGACTAATATCGCATACAGCGATTAATATGTGCCCTTTTAAGAAGGTTAGTCCTAGCTATGGTCTGTGGGCATATGTTACCGTCCTTGCCATATAACAATATTATTAAGTACATCGGAAGCGTAAGTTCTCGGCGTACCCTGAGCTCGTTATAACCTAAGGAACCATGAATAAAAAAAAGATGTACGATATCCTAAGATGTGCCTCAAAAACTTGTATTACACCCGCTCCAACATCACCTTTTACATAGTTTCATAGGGAACCTAATTCGCGGAATTATGTTCCAATATACTTCTCACACTAAAACCCAAGTTTTTTATAGGATTTTAGACAAATCTGTCTTGTATGTTCATTAAACATCAAGTCGTAAACACAACGCCGAGATATCTTACTTGCGTCAACTGTTTGATTAATTCCAATCCTATTGTGAAATTGTATAGGCACGCTAGAGCGGGTAGAACTCATGATGGAACACTGTGCGGCGTTTTTTTTTTTTTAAATTTAAAACACCCTAATCAAAAATCTTTGAAATATCGCTCTGAAGATCGGATCGGACATGTTTTCTATTTTTTTTAAACATCTTCAGATCATCTGTAAACAATAGGCATCTAGGCAAGAACTCCGGCAAGCAAGCAAGTTCTACTTCGGCAAGTTTTTAACCATAAGCACGAATTCGAGTGGACCGATATTCAAACCCTGACTCACTCAAAATCGTGTACAATACGGCGCAGAATCATGGTTTTTATAATGATTTCTTTGTTACGTACCATTTTTCTTCTGTCATACATGAACCCAGAAATATAGAAGTTTTGTTGTACAGTTAACTTTTTATTTTTATAAAAAATCCTTCTTTTACCTTCGAGTAATAAACCTTCTAAACAAAACACTAGCTTTTAACTCTACTTTTGCTAAGTTTTAAATATATGTACTTACGGTCTTCCAGTCGTCATAAGTTCCTCCATTTTCGAGACTATTAACTTATGTGTGAAAGCGGCCAATTTAACGTTCCCAGTGGTACCACTTGTACTTATAAGAAAGCTGTATATTTTATTAATATCGAATTCTAGTACCCTGAAAGTATTTACCATAGAAATATAAAATTAAAAAAAATACTAGAAAAGATTGAAACGTCTTCCCTATAGTCCAGTCATTACGTCGGAAAAATCGGGTTAGAAATTTCATTTCCAAATGTATATAATGACTGGAGTAGGTACAACTAATAATTTAAATTTAGATTTTTTTACTGACGAAAATAAGCGTTATAAAAAATTTGTTTTAAAACATAGACGTTACAGTTTGACTTGAACTCGAGTGGCGTAACGTAAAGGTGGGAACTGACCAAAGTTACAAGGTGTAATGTAACACGTTACACAGCGAGCATTCGTGCAGTCAGTACATCGTGTTACGGAGAGCAACGAGCGGCTCGCTTTGAGTGCTCCACCCGGCTGTCGGTTTTTCAGCGAATCCTTTGACTGTTACGCGGTTCAGTCTGTACGCGTCGCACGTCGCGAGTGATCATAATTATGATTTTCTATAAATTGTGTCTTTTTTAAGTACTTTTGGTCCAATTAAATTCAAGATATCAACACGTCCTCGCTGTCGGCCATCTCGTGAACACTGGCGGCGAAAGCGGAGTACAGAGTTTTGACGAGCATGTTACGCCGATTTTAGTACACAGCGTAACATGCACGATGCGTAACACGCTCGATGCGAATGCTACATTACACCTCGTAACTTTGGTCAGTTCCCACCTTTAAAAGTCATTAAAAAATCAAGTTAACTTTTTAATCGTAAATACCTGAAACTGTCATCTGGTTCATCATCTTCATACATTTCAATGAACTGTTTCATAGAATGTTCTTCTTCTCCAAATGTGATGATTTTTGTGTCTAACCCTAACTCCTTAATAACTGTGTAGTATGTCTTGTAAAAGTCCTCATCGCAAAAGACCACTTTCGGTGATGATAATTTCAAAACTGATTTTATTTCGTCTGAAATAAATTTAAAGTTCACGAAGAAAAATATTAGCCGCCTTAATCGCTAGGTGTATGGCTTATAAAATAAATAAGATTAAAAAAAAAATACTGAACCTAATTTAAGTTAAAAGAAAATTAACTTAAAATTAACAAATATGTTTGTATGAATATAAATGAAAGTTTTATAAAATATCACTTGTAATATATATTTTCTTAGAGAATATACATTGCAAACATAATTTATTACAAATATTTTCCATATGTCTGTTTTGATATAAGTTATTTATTACTTAAATTATTTCAGTGATAAATATACTTTAAAAAATGAAGCTTTACACTTTAACGTATTTTTTTGTGGTTCTTAGGTAGCTTCCATCATCCATGTGTCCCGATCTAGATGATTAAGTTGTTATATATTTCAGATGACCAGCGAAAATCACATAGAAAGTATAGTTTTAATTCGGGTAAGTATAGTTTAAACTTACTCCACCGTGTCGTTCTTCGTTCGCTTATGAATCTGTGCTTTTGAGTGTATTGTGAAGTTGGTTATATTTTTATTATGTAAATTACTTAGAACTAAAAGGGACACTGTTGTATACAAATGATTCTATTCATTGAGGCACAAAACAATATAATAGGTGTCTTTGGAGTGCAACTCACCATGCTTATAATAAGGATCAATACACACCAGGGGTAAACCATTGAATAATGCACTAAAGAATGGTATGCGTATGTCAAAATGATTGACCCCACTGATCGCGAGTACATCTCCCGGCTTGAACCCACTCTTTCTCAAACATCTTGCCAATTTAATGGATCGGCTTAGCACAGATCCAAAAGTTTCCTTCTCTCCTGTTACTCCATCTATCTGATATAATTTGTATTTAAATACAACATATAGTAAACCATATTAATATGTGTGTTTAAATTTTCACTGTATATTAGAAATTTATTGATACCGTAATATTTATAAATGGAAGAGTTGTATATTTTAATGCAAAAAATCTGTGTTGTAATAAATCTCTGATAGGTTTCATCCAAAGTAATTTTAATAATGACGCCATGCTATGGTGTTGTATGGCTTGTTTGCATGTCGAGAGCTGCACTAATTATACTAGTTATGTGCAATAGTAAAACAACGATGATATAAATATAAATACATATACGCTAAAGTATACGAGTGTTATATAATAAGTAAACGAAAAAATATTATTATAAACAAATGTTCGCGCAATCTTTCGGGTAGGCCAAAGAAACACTTGCCTTGGGACGAAATTTATTGAACAGAAGCAGAAATATATGACAAATTGGATTACAGGTACTTGAATTATTTTTTTTTTAACATGTTGCGTATTTGCTATCAATATTTTTGTTCGCTACGACTTTACGGTGTGCGTGATACTTAATTATATAAAATTGAAAATCCCCTTCCATTAAACCTTGAACATTCGCTAAGTCTTTAACTCTACATTTATGTGCCATTGATGGAATAATGTTACAACGTGATAATGTTTTTTTAGATACAATCGTGTTTTTGCAATGTCATCGTTGTAATAAATCATGTCTGACGATATTATAAAAGTCCAAGGCCATAAATCCTTGATCGTTCGAAGTTTACATGTTATTAGACTCGTGACGTCGAACAATGACTGCGAAACTTGTGCTGGCGACCGTGTGCGCGTTATTTTATTCTTTTTCGACGTGTCAAACTTGAAACTTTTCATTGTCTTTTTATTGCTGCAGTTGTTGGCTAAAGCTCTACAAATTTTACAGCTTCCATGAGAGCTACTTTAGAAATGTACTGATACATATTAAAATGCATTTACACGAGTAAAAGAAACTTAATAAGTTAAAAACTATATTTTAAGGGGCTTTAAATAAAATTTTCGACTCTGCTTACACCACATCGTTGGTGAATCAATCGTAGGTTTTGCAAGCAGAAGGAAACATTTTATGAACTTGCAACCTCAACGTTGAAATTTAGTACATATAAGGATATAATTAATTGATGAGTAGAACATAAAGAAGTAATATTATATATAGAAATATTGATAAACAGTAATCCCAACTATAACACGGTAGATTGGTACCGCGTTATAGGAAACGCGTTGTAGGAGTATTCTTGCATAACGCGCTTGTATGACCCCACATAACGTGTTATTTACAAATGATTCACGTTTAACTTTTCTTGTTAAAGGGGATCAAAGTCAAATATTAAGAAAAATCTATGCTATGAACGAAATATGTGCGTACAAATCATTATAAATGTCACCGTACTGAAATATAACGTGTGCAATCCCCGCGTTATATGAGGGAATACCTGTGATATACGAGGGACTCCAATCGCGTAATTTGAAAATGCGTTATAAGAGTACCGTACTATAATACCGATTATTCTTCTACGTTAAAGATTATATTATCTCTGCGAATCAATTCGGTAAATCGTCATTAGTCAAAAATATCAATAGGATTTGTACCATTAATTATTATCAAGTCAATGTTTGTTTCATCTATACTTATATATTAGGTACTTATCTATTATTATAGTAACATATCTATTTGACACCTGAATACTTAATTTTTTTGCTATATGTATTTATTATTAAAATAGCTAACAGGTTCCTCTTAAATATACGTATTTTTACAAAGATACAAAAGTACAAGTTTTCAAGTTTTCAATAATTTAAAGATAACGGTGCAACTGAGCTACGAAATTTAGGTAATGCCCGTTTAGAACGAAAGGCAAAATTTAATTTCTTTTCTTTTCGTTAAATATTTTAAAAGCCTAACTTACTAAGAGGAAATATGATACACATTACACGCCACTTTTAATTTTATTATCTGTCTAGATTAAACAATTATTGCGTCATTGAAACGTAGTTTTATAGTAAATTGCATAAATATTGGCTACTTTTACTACGGCGAATTTTTAAATGATAGGCTAAAAAGCGCGTTAAAATAGTAGTAGTAATATAATATGTTTATATAAAAACAAAATCAATTCAGAACTGAAACAAATCATAAGCTGTCGCAGTGTGATTAGTTGTTCTTATATAGATAATAATAATAAATTACCTGTGCCACTATGTCTGAATTAAGTCGCATATTCTTCAACAGAATATGTCCAGCATGAAAGTCCGATTTTACTTCTCCCATATTGGCAATGCGTGCGATCTCAGCCGATTACCTTTAAAAACTGGTTAGATTCGTAAATCTTAAGGGTTTCTTGATGTATGTCGGACAGTTATATGTAGTGAACGATACAAATTTTATTTTTGAGAGCCCTTTTAAACTATAATATGTTATTGTATCAGACACAATTTATCCAGTCCGCTAATTGAACCGCAGACGGAAGAATTTGACGGAACAAAAATGTATAATCACGTTACAAGGTGAAGCTGTGTTTATATAGCAAAATGATATCTACTTTTTAAGTCCATATAGTATATTCTTAGCAATAAAAGCAACAACCTGACAATAGCCTCGCCGAAAATAGCAAAAAAAAATGACTGATTGCAAAGTATTCGGACCAAACAACATACCATATTATAATTGTACTGAAGGCCTTGGACCTTGATCTCTGCTTTCGTAATTGCACCTACTTTATTCCATGGGTTAGAAAAAGCTTGGCTTCAGGGTAAACAAGATTCGATAGAAACAAAAAAACCGACACGAAATATAGCTCTTTTATTGCTCCTAAATCGTAGTTTGTACCTGGGTACTTCTGTAAACTTTTAATTTGATTAAACAATATTAAGTAGACATAATATCTATGTAAATAACAATGATCTTAAGAAAATACTCAGTATATAGTAATAATCAGCTAGCTATAATCAGTCTTTACCAAGGACTAATAATAAATTTACAATTAACAAAAATATTTTTTAAAGCATAGGCTTCACATACATTTATTTTGCAATAAACAATTATCCGTTTTTATTAAAAACTTCTGAAACCTTAACACGTAAATACAAACGTAAAAGAAGTACTAGTCTCAATATCCCGAAGCACTTGGGTCTCAGTTTATCATGCTATCATAGTTGATTTTATGATAAATTTTAAAGCCGTGACTTGTTAGTTTTGCAATCAGATAGTTAATGTTAAAACAAGGAACCAATATATTCTGATGCAGGCGACTCGTGTCATTTAAATCTATTTTTCAGTTTAAATTACAAGTATCGAAACATCATAATCAGTATCGGTAACTTTTGTCATTACCGTATTTAGGGTTAATTTTCTCGGGCTCTGTCGGAACTATCTTGATCTCTTTCGTAATTGCACCTACTTTATTCCATGGGTTTGAAAAAGCTTAGCTTCTTTTAGATCTTAGATTCTAAACCCTAGAATTTCGAATTGGTAACCCGACATTCTAGGGTCCGTACATGACAATACTAACGTGGGTAAACAAAGGTTACTTTTAAGGGCCTTGGGGACAAATTCTTATAGCGTAACGCCTGAGGTTATCAGGTTCAATTCCCGGTTGAATTGTCAAGAGGAGAGGACTGCCATAGGAGGGATACAGGTCGTTGATGTATAAAAATATATATGGTGTTGGAACACAACTTTAATAATACATTGTTTTACTGAACTTGCTAATTAACATATATAATTATTTTGCAATTTATTAAATATGTTAATTAGCAAGATATAGAGAACTAATAATATTTTTTAGTAGATTAGTTTCACGTTATGAATTATTAAATACCAACAAAAAAATACATACAGTTAAAAATATTTATTGCTCATATACAATTTATTTCAACTAAAAACATAACATAATCACTTCAAATTAAGAACATAAATCATTTCCTCGACTTAAAATTAATATTAAAGCTACAAAGCTTACAACATCTTAAAAACATTGCTCTATTAGACATGTTTTCAAATGTATAAATAATAGAGTTAAAAGTACATATGTATATTTTTTTTATTACAAGGATTAAAAAATAAAGTACCTTTTGGATTTTGTAATTCTTCACAAAAATCAGTAAATATGAAAATTGCAATATTAACAAAAGGTTTTAGACCAATAAAAAGTGTAATTGGAAAAAGAAAGTACAGAAAGAGAGTTATTATGTAAAAAATACACATATCGGTTATAAAATATGTATTAGTATAACAATTTGAACAAACCAATCAGAAAATCCATTTAGAGCAAAGAGTTATTCCTTTTTAATATCGAAAAATCTATGCTTAATTTATATTTTAGAATAAGAACATAAAAATGCGATAAATTTTGTAGCAAAAACGTTTAAAATGTTTCGCCTACTTTAGGCGTTCGTCGCATCTTTCAAGAGTCCTCCATGCAAAAATATTATTAACACATTACCCAATAGCTGCTTCAATAATAAAGCCTAGAGTTGTAAATCCAACTTCGGTGTTTTGGACTCTTAAAAATTTTAAATTAAAATTCGGTAATCAATTTCAAATCTCACAATTCTATAAATTATAATATATAAAAGTACCCCGCCTTTCATCTCAGCGTTAATCAGGTGCATCAAATTTCAGGTGCTTCTACTACTAATATTTCCTTCTTCAAATCTCCTGAACCTATTTTACAGTTATCTCCTATTTGAAGTCCTTTGATACTGAAACAGTAATTAAAACATCAATAAATTGAATGACTATACTTAAGTGATAATTAAATTACTTTACTATTATTTCGCCCCAATAGATGGCGTTAATATGGAAAACATATCTCATGGCTGATAAGCACTCGAAACGTCTTATATAAATAATGTGATAAATTCCCGTTTCCGGTAAAGAGGTTTTATTGTAATGTTTAGTACTTGGGTAAAACAAAGACATATAATTTTAGGTTATGGGGCATGAATCACTGTCTGTCACTTCTTTAAGGTATGGTGGTCAACCTTCTGTAGCTTCCAATTGGAAACAATTGTTTCCTCGGGAATTGTACCCGTTTACAGGCCATACGTTCGAGCTGTCAAAAACTACCGAAGTTTCACGATGTCAACTATGTTACAAGTTATATAGTTAAACCCCTTTAAACTTTCTTGTCTATGTAAAAAAATTTTTGTTACCTTAGTTGGCAAGATACAATATTTTGTTTAATTTGTTTCATCAATAATCAATATAAAAGCCCTTGAATCAGATAATGCAATGTAAACAGTCTTGTTTAATAATATCCGAACTTCTCATATGTTTAACAAATGGCAAAGGCCTCACCCACTCTTCTCCATTTGGTTTAAACTTTTAACTTCATCCAAAATACTTCTTGGTATGAAGTTTTGTGGCTTACCTATTTTTATCCTTTGGGCAACTCTCCCCGCGAATGCATTGTTCTCTGCAGCTCTCTATTACTGTATCTTTCAACTGGACTTGACACTCCGGGTACATTTGAATACCAACACCACAATTACGAATAATACAGTTGTTCAGTTCAATCTGAAATTAAACAAAAGATATTTTTTACACTTCAATGACAATAAATAAATTAAGAAAACGTTCAAAACGTTCTATTGCTTTGCTTTACTTTCTTTAGTAATTGTAAAAAAAGTTATATACAATCTGTAGCGTAGTTAATCTAATCCCGTTGCCATGATAACGCTCAAGAGCTGAACGATCTTATACGAAATTCAAAATTTGAATTAAATCTGTTAAGCCGTTTGGTCAAACAATCTTTATTTGTTTCTTCAACAAACAACATATTGTATGTAGTAAAAATGCATTAGATAGTTGATTGACAATTTTTACAAGAGATGTTACCGTTTTGTACTGCTGTGCAAAAAAAAGAAAATTACTAAGAGGTTAAAGTGAAACAGCAGTAAGTTTCTTACTAAAACCGCAATATTGTTTTTGTTAAAAAGTGTATTTTATTCTAAAGACGATAACCTTTTATTTCACTACGGTTACGATTTTATTTACTAAAAGAACTCGTACGTCATAAAATAATAATTTCCATACACAAAATAATCCTCGTACATGCAACATAAAGTAGATCAACGATTTGAAAATGAAACAAATTTGAAAAATGCACAAAATTATTTGATATCACCGACAGCTCTAGTTCAAAGCTAGGTGCGCGCTTCGCACCGCTTCGTGGTTTGCACTTTTGTATAAAGATGGTTTGTTGATAGTGGTTTTACAATAAGTTTAATAACGTGAGTTAACCCAATTTAATCAAACGTAACCCTATTGAATTTATTACGATGATACATTTATCATAGGCTATACGGCACACATTAGGTATAGTTGAGTTTAATTGAAATATTCATACATACGACACAACTCAATACAATACATTTGTTATGATTTCGACAAAAGTAAACTACTAGCAATAATATTTACGTCCCGGTTGTAGGTATTATTTTGATCCTACCGGACTAGCACGCCAATACGGGGCGTTCCCATTTTTCACCGATGTCTAGTATGAATTAATTTGTAATGGTCTTGAATTTATCGACAATTTTTTTCTCAATTTGTTTGCATGAGAAAATAGGGTTTTTAGTTAGTTACATTTTCCTTGTACGAAAATATGAATATTACACCTATACCCTTGCACTATATATAAAAAATGTCATAACGTTTATCTACGTTGTATTATAAATATGCATTTAACTTCATTTATTTTATAGATTAATGAAATGGGAAACTTTAAGTAAAAAAATCTCAATTGAGTAAAAAAGGCTTACATTGTTTAGTGATAGTGTGATATTGGTTTATTGATCTTCTCATCATATAGAACAAAAACAATATAAATAGATTTAAAACAAATTACCTCTGAATTTTTGTGTACAACAATTCCAGAGAAGAAATTCTCAAGCACACAATTATTTAAAGTTAGTTTCGTCCCAGATTTTGCGACAATGCCTTGCGTCAAATCCATCTGGAAATATTTAAATATAAATAAAAAATGATTTATGCAAGTTTTGTATCCTAACCTAAGTTCAGTTTACATTTCCCAAATGTTAATGATAAACTTAATTTGTCTCCAATAAATTATACATTACATTTCACATTCTAAAGATTCTTAATCCCAGAAGTATAAAATATTTCAACATCAATTATATTACTTAAAGTTAACAGAGTCACTAAGTTTTAAGAACTATTAAATATATCAAGTTCCAATTTATTGTTCGTTCAGCATCGCAACCCCACCCTCAAATTTTATGTTAGTTCTTTTATGAACCATAAAAGGCAGTTGACATTTAGCTTTGAACAAAGTGTTTAATTTATTGAGCTAAGGCATACCACCTAAGGCATAATAGAGTAACATAAATTATTTTATATGAAATATACCCGTTGGCTGTTGATAATATTACAGTCAGTGACTTCCAATGTCCCGGCTTTCATCACTACTGCAGTGGACACCTGCCCACACTCCAGAGTCAGATGTTTTAGTCTGCATTTTTCTCCCAGCATTAAGAGGTAGGCCCGCATCTCTGACGCTTTTAGAGTTGCACCTGTAAAATCAATTAATATTAAGTAAAGTACTAGAACTCCAAAGCTAAAAGCTACCAACTTAGCTGTGTGCAAATACATTATAAAAATAATATAGTAAAAACACATAATATATTTTAATATGTTTCATATTTAATGGTTTGTCATACTCAATAATTCAGTTCAAATAAGTCATTCCTAAGCTTAGCATTTTGAATAGATTTGATTTAAATAAAGATTCTTCAGATACATCTTTTTTAAATACCAACCTTTCCAACTACATATAGATATATCTAATAACTGTATCTCAGGTATTTCACATTCTTGGCAACAAATGATTACTTCATCTGGATCTCGGGATAATCCATCCTCAGCAGTAGTTGTAATGGTTAGTGAATGACTACTTGTCAGGTGAGATTGAAGGATATTTGATATATCATAAAATTCATCACTTTGTCCCCCTGGCCATATTGCTATACACTGAAAATTTCATTTTCTTATATACAATAAACAAGACTCAAAATAATTTTATCAAACATCTATAATAATAGATTAGGGAACGTTCAAGTATTACGTCACGCAATTTTGGGAGATTATTGACGCCCCCCCCCATGTAACGCGCCTTCGAAAATAATATTAACAATCACGCGTAATTCAATCCCCCGCCCCGCATCGTAACTTTATACAAAAGGACCCCCCCAAAATTTGTTACGTAATATTATAATTAATAAAGGAGACATTAACAATTCCAATTATCTACTAAAATTCTGAAAGTATTTATCTTCACTTTTAGCAATAACCTACAAAGGAGCATTCCATAAATAAAAATCTTGTTCTTGCTGTAACAAGTACTGACATTTGTTCAAATAACAGACAAAATATATATCTTTGATCTTAAAGGGTACAATTGCAAATCATACCTACTATGTATTTTAAAAAGGATGTAAAATGTACTCTTACATATACATACATTTATTTTGTTTTTATCCTTTGCCATTTATTTCTCTCTTGTGCTAAATATTGCTCGTACTGTTGCATTCTCATATAAATTACTCCATTGTGCTTTAATTGACTCCAGTTTCGCATTTAACTCAGCACATCGAAATAGCATATTGTCTGCTGGTAGCATTGAATCTGCAAAAAAGAGATATTACTTTTTTTGATTCATTGAAATTAAAATTTTTATTGAATTAATTGAGACACAATCTGACAAAACTAAAGGTTTTGTTTGTTCATATGTAAATCAGTCAGTAGTATGACATTATTATATATATATATAAATAAGCACAAAATTTCTAAGTTACCAAGTAGTATGGAGAAAAAACAGGTTGATCAGAACTTAAATTTAGTTTGATAGTTTTACACAACTATTTTTACAAAAAGATTTAAGAGTAAAGACAACAAACCATTTTCATCACTATCTTCACTGAATAATGATTCAAGTTCTAATAAATCTTCGTGAGCTTTAATAGCACTGGTTCTTTTGAAATTTAATTGATCTGGCAACTCTACTATTTATAATACCACTATGTAGGTCAAACCACAATCCCATTCGATCTTCTATAGTTTTGGTGTTACTATTGAGCCATCTTGGTCATCCCATGGCATCCAAATGTTGCTGTAGAAGAATCTAGAACAGGTAATTTAAAATAATATTTATAAAATGATCACTGTAATATAATTAAACAATGTATGTTATGCATGTTATTTGTGACATGCTCTAAAATTATACTAATTGAAAGAGAAAATTTTAACCAAAATTAAGTTTTACTAAGTTCCTCATTTCCGCCATACTATGTAACAATTGAAAACTACTATTAATACATGTCCTTTTTGTTTTATTTCCATAAATACCTTAGAACATCAATGAACGATGCTGTAGTAGCTGCATTTACATAGTCTTCCCTTTGTTCTATTGTTGGCCATAGTTCTATGAGCGGAACATCTGGCACCACTTCGGGCAAAGACATTGACTCATGCTGAACACTTGCTACTTCAAGTGTAGCACTCAAATCTTCAAAAATACAGAGGTAATTGTTACATATGCAACACATGGAAATCTGAGTTCTGAAAAGACAAGATTTTGTTGTACCTTCCAGATAACGTTTTTAATGATTACCAATATCATTACAAGACCTTTACAGCGTAATTAGGTTCTGTTTAAATAATACATACCAAACTTTTACAGAAATCTTTTGAAAGCTTCCAAATTGCATCACATCCGGTTTCAACCAGGCACTCAGCAGCAATGCTCCATTTCTTGACAGAGCCTCGCCCCGTTCCTAGTACTCTAAGAAGCTCTTGAAGAATATCATTATCACCCGTTTCAGAAATGTATATACTGAAGGCATCTAAAATAGGTCGTAATGTTTGATTGTATCATATAACTAATTATTGGTATACAATGTTGATATAATATTAGCAGATCGTGAAACCATTAAATAAACGTGAAAAGTTAAATGCACATGTAGTATATTAGTCGAAATACTCTCCTCTCTATAAAACTTACCATTTTCATAAAAGTAAAATTCATAGATTGAAAAGTTTTTGATAATATATTCGTTTAATACACAACAGTCAACACTCAACAACAGTTTCCAACATTTAAAATTCAAAATTACCGATCAGCCATCAACGCGCTGTCTAGTAGTGACCACAGAACAAAAGAAGCAGATTTTTGACAGTAAAAGTACTTGACAATCTCGTCAAATGTCAAATTTCTTATCCGACAAAATAGCAAACGAAGGATCAAGGAATATTTTGGGATTTTATTTTATAATAACATCCTAATGCAAGAAAAGGAAATAAAACAATGAACAACATTAACATAAACGTACCTTTGAAGTCGTATCCATAAAGCTAGAGTCATCCATTGTTGATATTTATATCGCAAGAAAATAAAATATTGAACTATTTTTTTAACATTAAATGTTTTTTGTTTACAACGCATAGGGGGTGTTGAACTATATAATGAGGTAAGTAGGTGTTAGTGGGACTAATCAGAATTAGGAAAATACAACAATCATATGAGTTTTGTTTTTGGAAACAGTCCAGATGTTTTCTTGCCTACCACGGCGCTCAGATATGAGATACCGACAGAAGAGAGATAGAAGAATACAATATTGATGAAATCGAACGATACGCGAAAACGAATCGCTTTGATTTTGTCGCGATTTTAATACAGGAATAACGATGCGATGGCTTTAGCTTCTATTAGGGTGTCATAATGACGGCTTTGGATTTACCGCGTATTATCTTGAATGAAATATCATGCTTCGTCATTGAAATGCAATTTTAATTTCATAGGATTATTACTTCCTTTTATAAGGAGATGAGCGGCTTATTTCATTCTAAGTACAATTTGTTAAGTATTAACTGGTAAAATATAGGGTAATACAATATTCTGAACGTAGGTAGGTATATAGTAATCATAATATTTAAAAATGGTCTAAGATCCCGCTATACAACGACCTTCACCGAGATGCTTATTTAATGAAACTTATTTTATATATAATTTAATATGTCAATAAATATAATCCATATGGATTGCCTAGCAAATTTCAGTCCAGAATATGTTTAATTAATTTAAAAAAAAAATATTTTTTTAAACATTTCACCGGTATGATTATTAGATAAATTCTATACCAATCGAACGTATGAAGCCCATAGAATATGCAAACGTTAGGTTGTTTTTAATCAATTAATTATTTATGTGTATATTTTTTATGTGACACTAAAGTATATATACATCTTTAGTATAAAAGAAGGTTATAGTGATACATATATAATACTACCCTGATTAAAAATATTGATTGAAAAAAGTTCAAAAAATTTACTACATGCAAATTATAAAAAAAAAAAATTTTTTTAATATTAATTAAACATACTCTGGACTGAAATTTGCTAGGCACCCCCCCTGGTTGTTTTTTTTTTACAAAATTAATTAAAATAAAAAAAAATTTTTTTTAATAAAAAACCCGGCCAGGGGGTGTTTTTGGGGGGGATTCTTAGCTATTAAATTAAATTAGCGTTTTTCTTGCTACCTTCCCTGTAGACGTCATTGGAAATTCATTCAAGAATATCACACCACCGCTTAGTGCCTTGTGTTTCGATAATTTTTCTGAAAAATATTACTATGAAATTAAATAAGCACATTTGAGAAGTCTCTTGTTAGATGGCGCGTTTAGCAATATACATTTTTAGAGGGAGAATCAGAGTAGGCTTATGTCAAATCAAATATGTTTTGATATATAGGAATTGTACGAGCCAAGACTCACTCAGGGTTTCTTAGTAATATAATAAGTGTGGCGATTACCTAAATCATCAGAGTTACGTCCTGAGAGTATAGCCAGACGCAGGAACTTTATTCAGCATTTACGAGTAAATGAGAGTACATGCATTAAAGTTTAATATAAAATACTTTACTGATTAAACTATTTTATATCCTTTGCATAACGCGGGTTGAAAATAAATAGTATTATTATATTTTTACATTGTTTAAAACATATTCTAATCATAAATCATAAAAACTGATCCAGGAATCATACTTTCGTAGCGTTAAGTCAAAGTGTAAATTTGATTATATGACACTAATCGTAATTCTCTAAAAACTGAATAATTTATGTCCATAGGCTATATAATCAAATAAATCATATTATGTATTTTTATCTGTTAAGGAAATTGCATTAAAAACAACGCAATATAAATGTATGTCTACATTATACCTTGTTGTAAAAGCCTAGAATGTAAGAATTTTTTAGAGAAATCCCGAATTTGTAGTTACCTGCCTACTCGTCTATATTATTTAATCATAGAAAGAATCAGGAAAAATACTCATAAAAATAGTATTTGCGTAAAACAAATTCTATATTACACATATATTTAACTTATACTGACCAGCGACGAGCTGCTTGATTTCCTGCGCAGTGACACAGTTTTTACGTCTAACCACGCATGCGACTGGCCTTTGTCCGTCCTCTCGATCCTCAATGCCAACCACACAGACATCGCTTACGTCTTCATGATTACGAATCACCTCTTCTAATTCAACTGGCAGGATCTAAATCATATAAATAGTCGTAGAGAACTGATCCCGAAAATTATTTTTAAACATATGCATTATATTGGTTTGAATAATCTTACAGCGTTTCGTTATACGCGAAAGTAATATTCATCGTTAATATTTTGTGCCGTTAAGAGTTTAAAGATACTTGTACTTGCATACTAGAAAAAAAACTTAAAATATTATAGCGTCAGTTACTAAAATATATTTTAGTAGGTATTATAAAATGTTAGCAATTATTGCACACTTGAAGCCAAAATGAGCCCTTTAGTTATTTCCCACTCTCACAAATTGTAATATAACATTCTTGTTTCCGATAATGTCCAGAAGGTCGACTACAATTATATTAAAGTGTCACTTAGATTTAAAAACCCTTAAATAAGCCGAGTTAGTGTTTTGATCATTATATTAATTATAAGCTCTTGCTTTAAACAATTAAAGCCAGTAGCCACCCAGCTGCAAAGAAAGAGTTTCATTTAACGTTCAATGTTTACTATAGACTTTGTATTTTGATACCTGGTAATTCCTACACTTGATTAATGTTTTGATACGATCCACGAAGTAGAAGTAGTCATTCTCGTCCTTATATAAAAGATCTCCAGTTCTATAAAACCCGTCTTCTGTAAATAATTTTGCAGTTTCCTCAGGGTCATTGTAATATTCCTGGAAAACAAAATCAATAACGATGAATCAATAATTACTTCATAACTGGCTTACATTGGTGCTACTTAATAGAATCTAACGTCACTTAAGGGCGAAGACAAATTTTAAAGTAGAGGTACGCATACTTAGAGTGGTGTGGTACCTACGCAATTATTTTACAATACGAATCTTCACTACCCTTACATCTTGATATTCTTCTCAAAGAATAAAATATTATGTGTTTAAATTGTTTTAATGGTGTGAGAAAACATAAGACGAAACAATTGTGAAATAATGACATAATATATATATATATATTATATACCAAACATAAACTACAACAAATGTAATTACAATTGACTTATCATATTTAAAAGAAAAAGTTACTTTGGGAGGTGAAAATATTAAATGAAAGACAAGATTTTACTTTGTTATTTATGTGAATTAAAAGAAGTTTGTTAGCATTTTGCTCCTGAAATGATAAGTTAAATTTACACTGGTTTCTGTTTGGTTTATTTAATATCATCTCTATACGAATCAAGTTAATTAATAAATTTATTATTTTATATACATATGTTATAATTAAGTTACTTACAGAGAGTGATGGACCTTTAACTATTAATTCTCCAGGTATATTTGGTTTTGTGATTTCGTCTCCTGTATCAGGGTTTATTAGCTTAAACAAATATAAATATTATTTTGAAATCTATCTATTAAATACATTTAAAACTAATTAATACTTAAGTTTAGTGTCTAAAGACTGGTGCGCCCAGGTGCTCATAGTTATCAGACCACTGCCTTGCGATTCTGTAACTCACTTTTCGAACTCACACCGCGGTTTTCGCAGCGGCGGTCGCGCTCAAATCAGTCGTAAAGCAGTCATTTTACGATTTGACATTCTGATAAACAATAAACTACAAGCTCCCTCCTTATCTTCCTCGTTATCTAATATTTAACAATGATTGTCTAGACGATTTATACCGTGAAAGGTATAGAAAAGACAATTTCATTGTATGCAAAAGTTATTTTGAAATTGACCATCTAAGTGGCGTCGCGTTGAAATAATTTCCGACTGATACGTACTGGGAACCTAGCAAAATAACAGATACCAGCGGTCTTTCGAGCAGGTCGCCAAAAAGCAGTCATTACGATTTGGCATTCTGATAAACAATAAACTACAAGTTCCCTCCTTTTAAAAACCGCTGTGAAGAGTTCGAAAAGTGATTACAGAAAAGCAAGGCATGGGAAGAAATTAGCCCTTAAGACTACGAATATAGTAAATACCTTAAGGATATAAGTGTCATAGGCCCGACCACAGCTCCCTACAGGTGTTCCAGGCAGCCCTTTGACGACAGGCCCAAGCGTCTCAGTTTGACCATAGGCGTCAACCAATAAAGTACCTTCCCTTAGTAATGACTGAAAATAAAAGCATCTACTTAAAGGATTGAGCATAAAAAATATTCTGGCTGTATGGACTGAAGGCGTCGAAATTGAAAATAATATATTGTGGCAAAATTTAAATACATATAACTTTCTTTAATTAATCTCATAAATTAGAATTTGAACCTGAAAATTGTAAATGTAACCTGTGAATGGCGCCAAACTCGTAATGCCAGCGTAATTTTAATATTCTACATTTAAAGTACTAGAGTAGTTCCTAATTCAAATATTTCAAAATAAGAGAGATAAAAATGCTCTGAAATGGCATAATTTTTATCTGTATTATTAAAAATAACACAACGAAACTATCTAGTAACACAAACGGATTTTTTAAAATGTTTTAATGCATACCTTGAACTTAACAAATAGATCGGGATAAACTTTTGACCCAACCAGTGCAATGTAAAAAAGCATGTCATGTCCACTTCATCTTTTCGTGACAAAATTGATGTCGCTAATGATGGACTAAACAGAGAAACAACTGGCTGGAATAAAAAAAGTATCATTCATTGATTTGGCATAACATAAAACTTTATAAAGATTATTACAAAAATCCAGTTATTCGAACAGTTCGCGACGTAAGTATTTATTATTTGTCATCAGATCAATGACCTTATTTTAAAACTTGACTTCAGAATATTGTGAGGTACTAAATAAAGTATTATGAGGTACCAGATTGTGTCTCACAAATCGCAGAACAAACGGATTTTAAATATTAAATATCGAATTCAATTTTAAAGTAGTTGGTAACGGTGCGATAACGATGCACCCGAATCTGATGATACTGATTATGCAGGAGTCTTGGGGGACCTTCATTGGAACAACTCCAAGTGATTTTAGCTGCCGGAAATGCGTCAAAGTATTTTTAAAAAAATTTAAAGTTTTGTGAAATGTATTGAAATTTGTAAACAATCCACCATTATCTACTTTTCTATTGGTTATAAGTGATGTGACATTTTCGGTAAATTAATCGGATCGATTATTTTCTCATTTGTTATTTATTTTGACCCTAATCGAATATATAAACCTAACCTAACCGATCTAGATAATAATTGTTTTAGGCGCTATGAAAATTGAGAGAGGAAATTTATGACTGGCGACCTAAGACACAAAAATGGCAGTGTACAGCGTGCGGAGCGAGAGAATAAGACAACTACAAGTAAAGAAATAGCATATGCTAAGCTAACTTCACGCATATTCTAGCTTAGCAGCTTAACAAGAATTTTGAATGACCATGACAATTGACATCTGACGACTTACCTTAAACAAAATAGGAGTTTTAATTATTGTAAAATTAATAATTATATACCTATTATCATTATACAAAATATTTGAAATAATATAAAATGATTTGTGAAAAAACTGTGCTAACCTACCTGAGCGCTTCAATACAATTGAGGTTACTATCCGTATGTATTATCGAGTATAATTGTTGATTAAAACTCGAAACATGAACCATAATTCATTGCTTTTGCGGCCATTGCGTTTGTTACACACTTTTTAGAAATATTCTACGACCCTATATCATCAATAATTGAGAACAAAGATTTAAGCCACGAATACTAATAAGGAGAAAATGAAGGCTTGACGATATAACAGAGAAGTCAAACATTTTAATAAGTACCTGCATCTTCAAAAAATGACCACTTTATTTCAATCAAAACATCAGATTTAATCCTAGCAAATATAAGGCCACAAGAGACAAAAACAATTGATGAATCAGTGGAAGTGCACCAAATTGAACACAAAAAAGAGTTGTCATCGTTATCGCTGAAACATCAAAACTGAGGTGGAAAAAATCAGCATAATTCTCGAGACACAAAGGTTGAAGTAGATTTCAATGAATTTGATTTGATGGTGTCGAGGTAGGAAATGTTAATAATAAATATAATGTATGGGATGTTCAAGGTCCTCAACCTTTCAAGCATAGGCATATGCTTACAACATTAATTTATTCCCTACAGGGTAGTTAGAGATATTGTAATACCTCAAAACATCCATGTTGCACGTAGTACCGAAACCGTCCTGCCAGAAGGAGCCCATTCACTTATAATGGACAGTGGGTATAATAAACCTTAATACCTGAGTGCAACTCACAATGATACTTAAATTAATAGAAGTTATTTATATATTTCAGGTTATGTACAAATAAAATCATTTTTGGACACAATCGTGATATCCCAAAAGCAAATAAAGCCGAACAATGACAAGGTAATAAATCGTTTTGACATAACTTGAATACTAAAAAGCCAAACAAAGGAGAGCTTAAACAACAGTGACAACAATTTGTTGTGAAGACATTAGTTTGTAGAATTAAAGACAGGCTACCGAAAACGTCAACTGACTTTAACAAGAATTCCTTAACAACTGGAAAGCAACACTATTCCCAAGGAAGACACAGGTATTATATTTAAATTATCTCTAACCTAAAACTTGAATAATCTAACAAAGTTGTAAAAATATAAACAATAAACTTCCTTCAATCGCGTGCGCTGCGAAAACTATTAATGATAGAACAAAATGATGTATTTCAATTTTTCAGGACACATCACTATTTATAAAAAATGTCGCGACAGCATGTCTCTAGCTTTTATAGTTACGTCACAATAAGCGTCCTTTTATTAATTTTTTTATTAAAATACCACCGCTAGAAAAGGCTCTTTATTCGTACCTAGGTATTGATCCTTATCAAAATAAATACCAACGTTTCACATAAGCTACAATTTAATGGCATAGCCACCAAAAAAGCATGGTGGATTGGGGTTCTCCTGCCGTTTCTCTTGAATAGTTTGCTACTATGTAATAATATAACAAAAAAGCTTAGCCACAGCAACGCTTGGCCGAGTCTACTAGTACGCTATAAAGGCATCCAGCCTGCCTTTACCTTTCCCTGGAAAGCATTATACAGCAATGATCATGGCACGGCAACTTCTAGTACGGCGATTAAATAATTTGAGAGCCATGGCGTAGCAATTGTTTCAATATATATCATATTGTCTAAAAAGAAAAATTTTTACGTACCTTATATTTGTTGATTATATTAATGATAACATCAAGATTGTCAGGCACTGAGGATAGTACAAGTGTATGACCAATCATTGGAGCAGCTATGGTCATAAAATAAGTGGAAACCCAGTTTATGGGTGATATACTAAGAACTTTTGTTCCTTTGCTGAAAGAAGCACATAGATGAGGATAAAAATCAACGAAGAGTCTAACTAAGGAGAGTGTTGTTATGCTGTGCGTCTTTCAAATTATTACTAGCTGACCCGGCAAAATCCATACCTTTTAGCTAAACTCCGAAATATTTTCTATGATAATGATAAGTTGTTGTCTTTTGTTTTTTTATATTCGACTTATTCTATCTAAACTGTTATTCTGCTAATTAGAGCAAAGACGAATTAAATAATATTATCAACGTCGTTCCAGGAGTTCTCGGGTTATAAATGGTGTAACTATCCCGACTTTATTTTATATATATACAGGAACTAGCTGTTGCGTTTCTACTCCTACTACGCGTTTCTACTCCTACTACGCTGGGAGAAAATGTGTAGCTTAGAATACAGGGATTAAAGTAATTCAAATCGATTCGGCCACACTGATCTTTTTTGGGAGTTGTATCAAGCTCTCGTATTTTTAAACGAATAAAAGCAAGGTTTTCAATTCAATGTCTCATTCGTCCTATTCAGAGTTTGTCCTTGAATAACCAGTGCATATACAATAGTTTCTATTGTAAGTCAAGAGTGTCAAGAGCACTTAAGCCAGCTAATCAATAAAACTCAATTACTATACTGTTTGAATTAACAACAATCATGTGTCTCTTCTCTTCAATCAATATTCGATATTGTAAAAAACGGGACCAAAATAGTGGTTTAGTTTTTATGAATAAGGGGTAATATTATGAATGAAACTGCTTTAATTGGTTCACGTTAAGATGCGCAACTCCTACATCTGCCGCTACAATCAGAACGATGACGTCATCTAAATATTTTTGCCGCAATCAACGTTACCGGACAGTTACTTTGGTCAGGGATTTTGTATTTATTTATTACAAAAATCACAATCTTGTCCTAACTATCTTTTAGGGCAAAATAGTAGAACTTTTGTCAGCTCACTCAACGGAAAGTAAAAAAAGGTCCTTTAATATATTATGTAATTCGTTGACTAATATCGCATACAGCGATTAATATGTGCCCTTTTAAGAAGGTTAGTCCTAGCTATGGTCTGTGGGCATATGTTACCGTCCTTGCCATATAACAATATTATTAAGTACATCGGAAGCGTAAGTTCTCGGCGTACCCTGAGCTCGTTATAACCTAAGGAACCATGAATAAAAAAAGATGTACGATATCCTAAGATGTGCCTCAAAAACTTGTATTACACCCGCTCCAACATCACCTTTTACATAGTTTCATAGGGAACCTAATTCGCGGAATTATGTTCCAATATACTTCTCACACTAAAACCCAAGTTTTTTATAGGATTTTAGACAAATCTGTCTTGTATGTTCATTAAACATCAAGTCGTAAACACAACGCCGAGATATCTTACTTGCGTCAACTGTTTGATTAATTCCAATCCTATTGTGAAATTGTATAGGCACGCTAGAGCGGGTAGAACTCATGATGGAACACTGTGCGGCGTTTTTTTTTTTTTAAATTTAAAACACCCTAATCAAAAATCTTTGAAATATCGCTCTGAAGATCGGATCGGACATGTTTTCTATTTTTTTTAAACATCTTCAGATCATCTGTAAACAATAGGCATCTAGGCAAGAACTCCGGCAAGCAAGCAAGTTCTACTTCGGCAAGTTTTTAACCATAAGCACGAATTCGAGTGGACCGATATTCAAACCCTGACTCACTCAAAATCGTGTACAATACGGCGCAGAATCATGGTTTTTATAATGATTTCTTTGTTACGTACCATTTTTCTTCTGTCATACATGAACCCAGAAATATAGAAGTTTTGTTGTACAGTTAACTTTTTATTTTTATAAAAAATCCTTCTTTTACCTTCGAGTAATAAACCTTCTAAACAAAACACTAGCTTTTAACTCTACTTTTGCTAAGTTTTAAATATATGTACTTACGGTCTTCCAGTCGTCATAAGTTCCTCCATTTTCGAGACTATTAACTTATGTGTGAAAGCGGCCAATTTAACGTTCCCAGTGGTACCACTTGTACTTATAAGAAAGCTGTATATTTTATTAATATCGAATTCTAGTACCCTGAAAGTATTTACCATAGAAATATAAAATTAAAAAAAATACTAGAAAAGATTGAAACGTCTTCCCTATAGTCCAGTCATTACGTCGGAAAAATCGGGTTAGAAATTTCATTTCCAAATGTATATAATGACTGGAGTAGGTACAACTAATAATTTAAATTTAGATTTTTTTACTGACGAAAATAAGCGTTATAAAAAATTTGTTTTAAAACATAGACGTTACAGTTTGACTTGAACTCGAGTGGCGTAACGTAAAGGTGGGAACTGACCAAAGTTACAAGGTGTAATGTAACACGTTACACAGCGAGCATTCGTGCAGTCAGTACATCGTGTTACGGAGAGCAACGAGCGGCTCGCTTTGAGTGCTCCACCCGGCTGTCGGTTTTTCAGCGAATCCTTTGACTGTTACGCGGTTCAGTCTGTACGCGTCGCACGTCGCGAGTGATCATAATTATGATTTTCTATAAATTGTGTCTTTTTTAAGTACTTTTGGTCCAATTAAATTCAAGATATCAACACGTCCTCGCTGTCGGCCATCTCGTGAACACTGGCGGCGAAAGCGGAGTACAGAGTTTTGACGAGCATGTTACGCCGATTTTAGTACACAGCGTAACATGCACGATGCGTAACACGCTCGATGCGAATGCTACATTACACCTCGTAACTTTGGTCAGTTCCCACCTTTAAAAGTCATTAAAAAATCAAGTTAACTTTTTAATCGTAAATACCTGAAACTGTCATCTGGTTCATCATCTTCATACATTTCAATGAACTGTTTCATAGAATGTTCTTCTTCTCCAAATGTGATGATTTTTGTGTCTAACCCTAACTCCTTAATAACTGTGTAGTATGTCTTGTAAAAGTCCTCATCGCAAAAGACCACTTTCGGTGATGATAATTTCAAAACTGATTTTATTTCGTCTGAAATAAATTTAAAGTTCACGAAGAAAAATATTAGCCGCCTTAATCGCTAGGTGTATGGCTTATAAAATAAATAAGATTAAAAAAAAAATACTGAACCTAATTTAAGTTAAAAGAAAATTAACTTAAAATTAACAAATATGTTTGTATGAATATAAATGAAAGTTTTATAAAATATCACTTGTAATATATATTTTCTTAGAGAATATACATTGCAAACATAATTTATTACAAATATTTTCCATATGTCTGTTTTGATATAAGTTATTTATTACTTAAATTATTTCAGTGATAAATATACTTTAAAAAATGAAGCTTTACACTTTAACGTATTTTTTTGTGGTTCTTAGGTAGCTTCCATCATCCATGTGTCCCGATCTAGATGATTAAGTTGTTATATATTTCAGATGACCAGCGAAAATCACATAGAAAGTATAGTTTTAATTCGGGTAAGTATAGTTTAAACTTACTCCACCGTGTCGTTCTTCGTTCGCTTATGAATCTGTGCTTTTGAGTGTATTGTGAAGTTGGTTATATTTTATTATGTAAATTACTTAGAACTAAAAGGGACACTGTTGTATACAAATGATTCTATTCATTGAGGCACAAAACAATATAATAGGTGTCTTTGGAGTGCAACTCACCATGCTTATAATAAGGATCAATACACACCAGGGGTAAACCATTGAATAATGCACTAAAGAATGGTATGCGTATGTCAAAATGATTGACCCCACTGATCGCGAGTACATCTCCCGGCTTGAACCCACTCTTTCTCAAACATCTTGCCAATTTAATGGATCGGCTTAGCACAGATCCAAAAGTTTCCTTCTCTCCTGTTACTCCATCTATCTGATATAATTTGTATTTAAATACAACATATAGTAAACCATATTAATATGTGTGTTTAAATTTTCACTGTATATTAGAAATTTATTGATACCGTAATATTTATAAATGGAAGAGTTGTATATTTTAATGCAAAAAATCTGTGTTGTAATAAATCTCTGATAGGTTTCATCCAAAGTAATTTTAATAATGACGCCATGCTATGGTGTTGTATGGCTTGTTTGCATGTCGAGAGCTGCACTAATTATACTAGTTATGTGCAATAGTAAAACAACGATGATATAAATATAAATACATATACGCTAAAGTATACGAGTGTTATATAATAAGTAAACGAAAAAATATTATTATAAACAAATGTTCGCGCAATCTTTCGGGTAGGCCAAAGAAACACTTGCCTTGGGACGAAATTTATTGAACAGAAGCAGAAATATATGACAAATTGGATTACAGGTACTTGAATTATTTTTTTTTTAACATGTTGCGTATTTGCTATCAATATTTTTTGTTCGCTACGACTTTACGGTGTGCGTGATACTTAATTATATAAAATTGAAAATCCCCCTTCCATTAAACCTTGAACATTCGCTAAGTCTTTAACTCTACATTTATGTGCCATTGATGGAATAATGTTACAACGTGATAATGTTTTTTTAGATACAATCGTGTTTTTGCAATGTCATCGTTGTAATAAATCATGTCTGACGATATTATAAAAGTCCAAGGCCATAAATCCTTGATCGTTCGAAGTTTACATGTTATTAGACTCGTGACGTCGAACAATGACTGCGAAACTTGTGCTGGCGACCGTGTGCGCGTTATTTTATTCTTTTTCGACGTGTCAAACTTGAAACTTTTCATTGTCTTTTTATTGCTGCAGTTGTTGGCTAAAGCTCTACAAATTTTACAGCTTCTATGAGAGCTACTTTAGAAATGTACTGATACATATTAAAATGCATTTACACGAGTAAAAGAAACTTAATAAGTTAAAAACTATATTTTAAGGGGCTTTAAATAAAATTTTCGACTCTGCTTACACCACATCGTTGGTGAATCAATCGTAGGTTTTGCAAGCAGAAGGAAACATTTTATGAACTTGCAACCTCAACGTTGAAATTTAGTACATATAAGGATATAATTAATTGATGAGTAGAACATAAAGAAGTAATATTATATATAGAAATATTGATAAACAGTAATCCCAACTATAACACGGTAGATTGGTACCGCGTTATAGGAAACGCGTTGTAGGAGTATTCTTGCATAACGCGCTTGTATGACCCCACATAACGTGTTATTTACAAATGATTCACGTTTACTTTTCTTGTTAAAGGGGATCAAAGTCAAATATTAAGAAAAATCTATGCTATGAACGAAATATGTGCGTACAAATCATTATAAATGTCACCGTACTGAAATATAACGTGTGCAATCCCCGCGTTATATGAGGGAATACCTGTGATATACGAGGGACTCCAATCGCGTAATTTGAAAATGCGTTATAAGAGTACCGTACTATAATACCGATTATTCTTCTACGTTAAAGATTATATTATCTCTGCGAATCAATTCGGTAAATCGTCATTAGTCAAAAATATCAATAGGATTTGTACCATTAATTATTATCAAGTCAATGTTTGTTTCATCTATACCTATATATTAGGTACTTATCTATTATTATAGTAACATATCTATTTGACACCTGAATACTTAATTTTTTTGCTATATATATTTATTATTAAAATAGCTAACAGGTTCCTCTTAAATATACGTATTTTTACAAAGATACAAAAGTACAAGTTTTCAAGTTTTCAATAATTTAAAGATAACGGTGCAACTGAGCTACGAAATTTAGGTAATGCCCGTTTAGAACGAAAGGCAAAATTTAATTTCTTTTCTTTTCGTTAAATATTTTAAAAGCCTAACTTACTAAGAGGAAATATGATACACATTACACGCCACTTTTAATTTTATTATCTGTCTAGATTAAACAATTATTGCGTCATTGAAACGTAGTTTTATAGTAAATTGCATAAATATTGGCTACTTTTACTACGGCGAATTTTTAAATGATAGGCTAAAAAGCGCGTTAAAATAGTAGTAGTAATATAATATGTTTATATAAAAACAAAATCAATTCAGAACTGAAACAAATCATAAGCTGTCGCAGTGTGATTAGTTGTTCTTATATAGATAATAATAATAAATTACCTGTGCCACTATGTCTGAATTAAGTCGCATATTCTTCAACAGAATATGTCCAGCATGAAAGTCCGATTTTACTTCTCCCATATTGGCAATGCGTGCGATCTCAGCCGATCACCTTTAAAAACTGGTTAGATTCGTAAATCTTAAGGGTTTCTTGATGTATGTCGGACAGTTATATGTAGTGAACGATACAAATTTTATTTTTGAGAGCCCTTTTAAACTATAATATGTTATTGTATCAGACACAATTTATCCAGTCCGCTAATTGAACCGCAGACGGAAGAATTTGACGGAACAAAAATGTATAATCACGTTACAAGGTGAAGCTGTGTTTATATAGCAAAATGATATCTACTTTTTAAGTCCATATAGTATATTCTTAGCAATAAAAGCAACAACCTGACAACAGCCTCGCCGAAAATAGCAAAAAAAAATGACTGATTGCAAAGTATTCGGACCAAACAACATACCATATTATAATTGTACTGAAGGCCTTGGACCTTGATCTCTGCTTTCGTAATTGCACCTACTTTATTCCATGGGTTAGAAAAAGCTTGGCTTCAGGGTAAACAAGATTCGATAGAAACAAAAAACCGACACGAAATATAGCTCTTTTATTGCTCCTAAATCGTAGTTTGTACCTGGGTACTTCTGTAAACTTTTAATTTGATTAAACAATATTAAGTAGACATAATATCTATGTAAATAACAATGATCTTAAGAAAATACTCAGTATATAGTAATAATCAGCTAGCTATAATCAGTCTTTACCAAGGACTAATAATAAATTTACAATTAACAAAAATATTTTTTAAAGCATAGGCTTCACATACATTTATTTTGCAATAAACAATATCCGTTTTTATTAAAAACTTCTGAAACCTTAACACGTAAATACAAACGTAAAAGAAGTACTAGTCTCAATATCCCGAAGCACTTGGGTCTCAGTTTATCATGCTATCATAGTTGATTTTATGATAAATTTTAAAGCCGTGTGACTTGTTAGTTTTGCAATCAGATAGTTAATGTTAAAACAAGGAACCAATATATTCTGATGCAGGCGACTCGTGTCATTTAAATCTATTTTTCAGTTTAAATTACAAGTATCGAAACATCATAATCAGAATCGGTAACTTTTGTCATTACCGTATTTAGGGTTAATTTTCTCGGGCTCTGTCGGAACTATCTTGATCTCTTTCGTAATTGCACCTACTTTATTCCATGGGTTTGAAAAAGCTTAGCTTCTTTTAGATCTTAGATTCTAAACCCTAGAATTTCGAATTGGTAACCCGACATTCTAGGGTCCGTACATGACAATACTAACGTGGGTAAACAAAGGTTACTTTTAAGGGCCTTGGGGACAAATTCTTATAGCGTAACGCCTGAGGTTATCAGGTTCAATTCCCGGTTGAATTGTCAAGAGGAGAGGACTGCCATAGGAGGGATACAGGTCGTTGATGTATAAAAATATATATGGTGTTGGAACACAACTTTAATAATACATTGTTTTACTGAACTTGCTAATTAACATATATAATTATTTTGCAATTTATTAAATATGTTAATTAGCAAGATATAGAGAACTAATAATATTTTTTAGTAGATTAGTTTCACGTTATGAATTATTAAATACCAACAAAAAAATACATACAGTTAAAAATATTTATTGCTCATATACAATTTATTTCAACTAAAAACATAACATAATCACTTCAAATTAAGAACAAAAATCATTTCCTCGACTTAAAATTAATATTAAAGCTACAAAGCTTACAACATCTTAAAAAACATTGCTCTATTAGACATGTTTTCAAATGTATAAATAATAGAGTTAAAAGTACATATGTATATTTTATTTATTACAAGGATTAAAAAAATAAAGTACCTTTTGGATTTTGTAATTCTTCACAAAAATCAGTAAATATGAAAATTGCAATATTAACAAAAGGTTTTAGACCAATAAAAAGTGTAATTGGAAAAAGAAAGTACAGAAAGAGAGTTATTATGTAAAAAATACACATATCGGTTATAAAATATGTATTAGTATAACAATTTGAACAAACCAATCAGAAAATCCATTTAGAGCAAAGAGTTATTCTTTTTAATATCGAAAAATCTATGCTTAATTTATATTTTAGAATAAGAACATAAAAATGCGATAAATTTTGTAGCAAAAACGTTTAAAATGTTTCGCCTACTTTAGGCGTTCGTCGCATCTTTCAAGAGTCCTCCATGCAAAATATTATTAACACATTACCCAATAGCTGCTTCAATAATAAAGCCTAGAGTTGTAAATCCAACTTCGGTGTTTTTGGACTCTTAAAAATTTTAAATTAAAATTCGGTAATCAATTTCAAATCTCACAATTCTATAAATTATAATATATAAAAGTACCCCGCCTTTCATCTCAGCGTTAATCAGGTGCATCAAATTTCAGGTGCTTCTACTACTAATATTTCCTTCTTCAAATCTCCTGAACCTATTTTACAGTTATCTCCTATTTGAAGTCCTTTGATACTGAAACAGTAATTAAAACATCAATAAATTGAATGACTATACTTAAGTGATAATTAAATTACTTTACTATTATTTCGCCCCAATAGATGGCGTTAATATGGAAAACATATCTCATGGCTGATAAGTCTCACTCGAAACGTCTTATATAAATAATGTGATAAATTCCCGTTTCCGGTAAAGAGGTTTTATTGTAATGTTTAGTACTTGGGTAAAACAAAGACATATAATTTTAGGTTATGGGGCATGAATCACTGTCTGTCACTTCTTTAAGGTATGGTGGTCAACCTTCTGTAGCTTCCAATTGGAAACAATTGTTTCCTCGGGAATTGTACCCGTTTACAGGCCATACGTTCGAGCTGTCAAAAACTACCGAAGTTTCACGATGTCAACTATGTTACAAGTTATATAGTTAAACCCCTTTAAACTTTCTTGTCTATGTAAAAAAAATTTTTGTTACCTTAGTTGGCAAGATACAATATTTTGTTTAATTTGTTTCATCAATAATCAATATAAAAGCCCTTGAATCAGATAATGCAATGTAAACAGTCTTGTTTAATAATATCCGAACTTCTCATATGTTTAACAAATGGCAAAGGCCTCACCCACTCTTCTCCATTTGGTTTAAACTTTTAACTTCATCCAAAATACTTCTTGGTATGAAGTTTTGTGGCTTACCTATTTTTATCCTTTGGGCAACTCTCCCCGCGAATGCATTGTTCTCTGCAGCTCTCTATTACTGTATCTTTCAACTGGACTTGACACTCCGGGTACATTTGAATACCAACACCACAATTACGAATAATACAGTTGTTCAGTTCAATCTGAAATTAAACAAAAGATATTTTTTACACTTCAATGACAATAAATAAATTAAGAAAACGTTCAAAACGTTCTATTGCTTTGCTTTACTTTCTTTAGTAATTGTAAAAAAAAGTTATATACAATCTGTAGCGTAGTTAATCTACTCCCGTTGCCATGATAACGCTCAAGAGCTGAACGATCTTAAACGAAATTCAAAATTTGAATTAAATCTGTTAAGCCGTTTGGTCAAACAAATCTTTATTCGTTTCTTCAACAAACAACATATTGTATGTAGTAAAAATGCAATAGATAGTTGATTGACAATTTTTACAAGAGATGTTACCGTTTTGTGCTGCTGTGCAAAAAAAGAAAATTACTAAAAGGTTAAAGTGAAACAGCAGTAAGTTTCTTACTAAAACCTCAATATTGTTTTTGTTAAAAAGTGTATTTTATTCTAAAGACGATAACCTTTTATTTCACTACGGTTACGATTTTATTTACTAAAAGAACTCGTACGTCATAAAATAATAATTTCCATACACAAAATAATCCTCGTACATGCAACATAAAGTAGATCAACGATTTGAAAATGAAACAAATTTGAAAAATGCACAAAATTATTTGATATCACCGACAGCTCTAGTTCAAAGCTAGGTCGCGCGCTTCGCACCGCTTCGTGGTTTGCACTTTTGTATAAAGATGGTTTGTTGATAGTGGTTTTTACAATAAGTTTAATAACGTGAGTTAACCCAATTTAATCAAACGTAACCCTATTGAATTTATTACGATGATACATTTATCATAGGCTATACGGCACACATTAGGTATAGTTGAGTTTAATTGAAATATTCATACGACACAACTCAATACAATACATTTGTTATGATTTCGACAAAAGTAAACTTACTAGCAATAATATTTACGTCCCGGTTGTAGGTATTATTTTGATCCTACCGGACTAGCACGCCAATACGGGGCGTTCCCATTTTTCACCGATGTCTAGTATGAATGAATTTGTAATGGTCTTGAATTTATCGACAATTTTTTTCTCAATTTGTTTGCATGAGAAAATAGGGTTTTTAGTTAGTTACATTTTCCTTGTACGAAAATATGAATATTACACCTATACCCTTGCACTATATATAAAAAATGTCATAACGTTTATCTACGTTGTATTATAAATATGCATTTAACTTGATTTATTTTATAGATTAATGAAATGGGAAACTTTAAGTAAAAAAATCTCAATTGAGTAAAAAAGGCTTACATTGTTTAGTGATAGTGTGATATTGGTTTATTGATCTTCTCATCATATAGAACAAAAACAATATAAATAGATTTAAAACAAATTACCTCTGAATTTTTGTGTACAACAATTCCAGAGAAGAAATTCTCAAGCACACAATTATTTAAAGTTAGTTTCGTCCCAGATTTTGCGACAATGCCTTGCGTCAAATCCATCTGGAAATATTTAAATATAAATAAAAAATGATTTATGCAAGTTTTGTATCCTAACCTAAGTTCAGTTTACATTTCCCAAATGTTAATGATAAACTTAATTTGTCTCCAATAAATTATACATTACATTTCACATTCTAAAGATTCTTAATCCCAGAAGTATAAAATATTTCAACATCAATTATATTACTTAAAGTTAACAGAGTCACTAAGTTTTAAGAACTATTAAATATATCAAGTTCCAATTTATTGTTCGTTCAGCATCGCAACCCCACCCTCAAATTTTATGTTAGTTCTTTTATGAACCATAAAAGGCAGTTGACATTTAGCTTTGAACAAAGTGTTTAATTTATTGAGCTAAGGCATACCACCTAAGGCATAATAGAGTAACATAAATTATTTTATATGAAATATACCCGTTGGCTGTTGATAATATTACAGTCAGTGACTTCCAATGTCCCGGCTTTCATCACTACTGCAGTGGACACCTGCCCACACTCCAGAGTCAGATGTTTTAGTCTGCATTTTTCTCCCAGCATTAAGAGGTAGGCCCGCATCTCTGACGCTTTTAGAGTTGCACCTGTAAAATCAATTAATATTAAGTAAAGTACTAGAACTCAAAGCTAAAAGCTACCAACTTAGCTGTGTGCAAATACATTATAAAAATAATATAGTAAAAACACATAATATATTTTAATATGTTTCATATTTAATGGTTTGTCATACTCAATAATTCAGTTCAAATAAGTCATTCCTAAGCTTAGCATTTTGAATAGATTTGATTTAAATAAAGATTCTTCAGATACATCTTTTTTAAATACCAACCTTTCCAACTACATATAGATATATCTAATAACTGTATCTCAGGTATTTCACATTCTTGGCAACAAATGATTACTTCATCTGGATCTCGGGATAATCCATCCTCAGCAGAAGTTGTAATGGTTAGTGAATGACTACTTGTCAGGTGAGATTGAAGGATATTTGATATATCATAAAATTCATCACTTTGTCCCCCTGGCCATATTGCTATACACTGAAAATTTCATTTTCTTATATACAATAAACAAGACTCAAAATAATTTTATCAAACATCTATAATAATAGATTAGGGAACGTTCAAGTATTACGTCACGCAATTTTGGGAGATTATTGACGCCCCCCATGTAACGCGCCGTCGAAAATAATATTAACAATCACGCGTAATTCAATCCCCGCCCCGCATCGTAACTTTATACAAAAGGACCCCCCCCCCAAAATTCGTTACGTAATATTATAATTAATAAAGGAGACATTAACAATTCCAATTATCTACTAAAATTCTGAAAGTATTTATCTTCACTTTTTAGCAATAACCTACAAAGGAGCATTCCATAAATAAAAAATCTTGTTCTTGCTGTAACAAGTACTGACATTTGTTCAAATAACAGACAAAATATATATCTTTGATCTTAAAGGGTACAATTGCAAATCATACCTACTATGTATTTTAAAAGGATGTAAAATGTACTCTTACATTAATATACATACATTTATTTTGTTTTTATCCTTTTGCCATTTATTTCTCTCTTGTGCTAAATATTGCTCTCGTACTGTTGCATTCTCATATAAATTACTCCATTGTGCTTTAATTGACTCCAGTTTCGCATTTAACTCAGCACATCGAAATAGCATATTGTCTGCTGGTAGCATTGAATCTGCAAAAAAAGATATTACTTTTTTGATTCATTGAAATTAAAATTTTATTGAATTAATTGAGACACAATCTGACAAAACTAAAGGTTTTGTTTGTTCATAATGTAAATCAGTCAGTAGTATGACATTATTATATATATAAATAAGCACAAAATTTCTAAGTTACCAAGTAGTATGGAGAAAAAAACAGGTTGATCAGAACTTAAATTTAGTTTGATAGTTTTACACAACTATTTTTACAAAAAGATTTAAGAGTAAAGACAACAAACCATTTTCATCACTATCTTCACTGAATAATGATTCAAGTTCTAATAAATCTTCGTGAGCTTTAATAGCACTGGTTCTTTGAAATTTAATTGATCTGGCAACTCTACTATTTATAATACCACTATGTAGGTCAAACCACAATCCCATTCGATCTTCTATAGTTTTTGGTGTTACTATTGAGCCATCTTGGTCATCCCATGGCATCCAAATGTTGCTGTAGAAGAATCTAGAACAGGTAATTTAAAATAATATTTATAAAATGATCACTGTAATATAATTAAACAATGTATGTTATGCATGTTATTTGTGACATGCTCTAAAATTATACTAATTGAATGAGAAAATTTTAACCAAAATTAAGTTTTACTAGTTCTCATTTCCGCCATACTATGTAACAATTGAAAACTACTATTAATACATGTCCTTTTTTGTTTTATTTCCATAAATACCTTAGAACATCAATGAACGATGCTGTAGTAGCTGCATTTACATAGTCTTCCCTTTGTTCTATTGTTGGCCATAGTTCTATGAGCGGAACATCTGGCACCACTTCGGGCAAAGACATTGACTCATGCTGAACACTTGCTACTTCAAGTGTAGCACTCAAATCTTCAAAAACTACAGAGGTAATTGTTACATATGCAACACATGGAAATCTGAGTTCTGAAAAGACAAGATTTTGTTGTACCTTCCAGATAACGTTTTTAATGATTACCAATATCATTACAAGACCTTTACAGCGTAATTAGGTTCTGTTTAAATAATACATACCAAACTTTTTACAGAAATCTTTTGAAAGCTTCCAAATTGCATCACATCCGGTTTCAACCAGGCACTCAGCAGCAATGCTCCATTTCTCTTTGACAGAGCCTCGCCCCGTTCCTAGTACTCTAAGAAGCTCTTGAAGAATATCATTATCACTCCGTTTCAGAAATGTATATACTGAAGGCATCTAAAATAGGTCGTAATGTTTGATTGTATCATATAACTAATTATTGGTATGCTAAATGTTGATATAATATTAGCAGATCGTGAAACCATTAAATAAACGAAAAGTTAAATGCACATGTAGTATATTAGTCGAAATACTCTCCTCTCTATAAAACTTACCATTTTCATAAAAGTAAAAATTCACAGATTGAAAAGTTTTGGATAATATATTCGTTTAATACACAACAGTCAACAACAGTTTCCAACATTTAAAATTCAAAATTACCGATCAGCCATCAACGCCCTGTCTAGTAGTGACCACAGAACAAAAAGAAGCAGATTTTGACAGTAAAAGTACTTGACAATCTCGTCAAATGTCAAATTTCTTATCCGACAAAATAGCAAACGAAGGATCAAGGAATATTTTGGGATTTTATTTTATAATAACATCCTAATGCAAGAAAAGGAAATAAAACAATGAAAACATTAACATAAACGTACCTTGGAAGTCGTATTCATAAAAGCTAGAGTCATCCATTGTTGATATTTATATCGCAAGAAAATAAAATATTGAACTATTTTTTTTAACATTAAATGTTTTTTGTTTACAACGCATAGGGGGGTGTTGAATTATATAATGAGGTAAGTAGGTGTTAGTGGGACTAATCAGAATTAGGAAAATACAACAATCATACGAGTTTTGTTTTTTAGGTTTAAGGATACTATTAATTTTCTTCCAAAAGTAGGCCGTAACATAGATCGAATATGAAAACGAGATGTAGCTAAAATATAAATTACAAGTTCTTTATTAAAAATGTCAATGTTGGGCCTAAGTTAGGTCTTAGATGTAACGTAAAGCTGTCGGCACTGCGCCTAATATCACAATACACAGCTCTGGACTGTGTGGTAGGCCTACGGAAGCTAGGGTATAAATAAAGACAGATTAGTGAATTGGTCTTAATCTTCAGCCCAATAAAGTGGATACCGTAAACGACTCTACCCTGATTAAATTTCTGTCCTAAACATAAACAAGATCTATGAAACAGCACGGACGCCAGCTAATATCTGCGCTGAATGCGGTAGTAATCCTATCGCCTCGTTAAACTGCATGTAAAAGTAGTACCTACCTATATTATTTTGATATATTTAAAATAACTAGTTTAATATTTTTTTGTGTCGGCTTTAGTGCATGTAACTGAGTAACATATGAAATAGTTTTCCTTGATTAAAACGTAAATTCCAAAGTCGAGAATAAACATGTATATTATAAAATTTATCAAGCCATTCAATTTTATGTATGAAAAACACAAAAAGTAGAGTTTTCCTTTCTGAAAAACGTCATACGCGTGAGTGGGTTCAATCTTAATTTAACGCTAAATGTTCTATTATTTACTTTGGTATTTCATAAGGTAATTATACTTTAGCTTTGACTATTACGCCAAACGTTTGTCTACTACAGTCAGTGTTCACATTAAGTGAATGATTTTACCTCGCATTGTACACACGCGAAGTTACGTCTTTTAAATTTTATAGGTATTTTTTCTTTGTAAAAAGTGAACTTAACAACTAAACAGTTAAGTATATATTTTTACTACGTATATTATATTAAAAATAAAGTATGTGTCTCAAAAAAATTAAATAATGGCGTAATTATGATGTAGCTATATAAACGAAGCGCAATGCATTTTTAAATGTTAATTTCATCCATTGGTAATGTTTTAAACAGAAAAAAGTCCTTTTCAGTGTGACGTAGCATTTTCTTATGAAACGTTTAAATTATTATTATTAAACATTTCACATTTGTTTCTTAAAATAGAAAGTTTAGTAAAAATAATAACTACTGAAAACATTTAACAAACCAATCACAAACGTTTGTTATTGCTACCATTAAAATTAATAGAAATATGTGAGTTAGGGAAATATTATTCTAATTTTCGAAAGCATAGGTTTTTATAAGTAAAAAAGACGTAAAATGAGTTTAAAACTATTAGAAATAAAGAAACATAAATAAAAATATAATCTATCTATATATTTGAAATAGGTATTTCATCCATAACATAGGTATGTTTTAAGGTTTTTGGTTGTAATTGTAATATTTAATGCATTCGCGCTAATTAACTAAATATACATGATAAATTGTTTCGCGAAAACAAATAGAACTTGTAATTTATAATTGCATTTGTTTCACGACTCGTCAGTTTAAATTTGCTTATGTTGAAGACGTCTATATTCTATGTTATCAATACTTTGAAATGTATAATTTTATATATACATAATAAACGCAAGGATAATAAACAAAGAATCATCCCCTCAGTGCCTACAATTTGAAAAGCTATTTCATAAAACATGTTATTAATTGAAAAAAATTCTATAGTTCATTTATGTAAATTTATATGTTATGATTTTATAATATGTTATTATTTAGATACCTTCAACACCAATTACAATTATGTAATTATACCGCAGTCACGTTTTAATTTGTTCTTTATTACAGAATATGGATTTATTAAAGGGGTTTATTTTATCTCTAGTGCTAATAATTGTGTATTGGTTGCTATGGAGATGGCGGAATAAGCGCGTGTTAATGTTGGCAGCGCAACTTCCCGGTCCCACGGCTTTACCAATATTAGGAAATGCTTTAATGTTTATGACGAAGCCTGAAGGTAGGTCTAGTAGGCAAGAATGTAAAAGGAAGAATGTATGAACACAAACGTCATTAACGTGTCGCTTGATAGTGTCTTGTGTTTCGCGTGTCTGTGATTGGCCTAGCGGTCTTGACCAATCACATTAAAACGACATTCTCACTTAATCCTCATCATATGCCTTTATACTTCGTTATTCAGCTACGGCATAAGAAGAATATTAAGTTATTTGGTTTTAGTTGGTCTTCCATGATGTTATTAAATATATTAATAAACTATATAGTAATGGTACCTATAATAAATTATGTGTTGTTCTTAAAAATAAATAAAAAGTAGCGGATGTAGTGGAGGAGAACCTTCGTGTGGATAGTGGCGATGTACTATTTCCTCTAAATTTATTTGAAATGCTGCAACACCTAGGATAAATTTGAAAATCAAGTATTGTTAACTTCTGTAACAACTTTCAGAACAATTAAAGAAAATTGCAGCATTACTCGAACAATACGGTGACTACATCAGGTTCTGGCTTGGACCGGACCTTGTAATAGTCATTAAGGATCCAACTGATATACGGGTAATATAAACTTATCAATTTAATATATAATAAGTAGGTATATATATGTATATAAAACCATAGGTTTTTTTATTTTAAAATTTTACTGGAATTTTGAAGATTAAATTTGTTCTCCTCTTTTTTCGGATGGTGACGACCCGATCCGTACTACAGTGGACTATAAAAGAAGTAGGTATACCGGACATCAGCCATTCCAAATTCGGTTGTATCACTTCTGACCCCTCAAAAAGTCCTGTGTGGGCTACCCCTTTTTAGATATGTACTAAATAACAATGTAACTGAATTACGATGACACAATATATAAAAGCTGTATTAGCCTGCTGAAGCTAGGTATGTCATTCTCAACCCTGAGGACGTCTGTGAAACCAGACTGTGTACAAATATATTGTATTTAAATCATCGTAGACAGCAAGATAGAGAAATCAAAGACAAAACTAAGACCAAGGTTAAAGAGCCGTTGCAGCAGTTTTTTTTTAATTACCTAAAGGTACTATAAAATCTCGGACTAAATGCCGGTTACAATATGCAGATAATAAAACTTATCCAGGTCTTTAGTCGCGTTCTTCATTACTGAAGTTCGTGTTGGTATATAGCTTCCTCCATTTCCCTCTGTCTTCGGTAAGTCTGTAAGGACTTTAACTTAGTCCAGCGAATTGAGAAACGGCATCGGGTTCTCGCGCCTTTCACTCTACCGGTCACCATAAGCTTCTCAAAGTGATCGGGACCCCTGCGTGCCATAAAAATGCTTAGAAAATTAATTTCCGCTTACGTGTTGTGTTACCTGTTTCCTGTGTTCTTAAACTTCCATATTATCGACACCAATTTAGTGGCATTTATTTTTTCCAGTGCCTACTAACGAGTAATAAAATTAACCAAAAAGGTCCAGCATATGATTACATGACGCCATTTATTGGAAAGGGAATTTTAACTGGAGGTGATATTTATAGAAATCATATTTTTTTTATTAATCTATTACAAATTACTTTAGAAAAATGTGAAAACATATAAATGAATAAAAACAGTTCAAGGATTACACATTCAAATCCACACTCGTTAATATTAATAGTATATTATAATGTCATTAATGAATTTAAAGAAAATAATCTAAAAGCGTAAAATGTCAAAATTAAAACGTTTCTAAAGTTTTCTAAGGAAGTCAGTTCACGTTAAATCTCGACTTTGACGGTCACCGTTTACATGAAATTTATACCCTTTGGCAGAATTGCTGAATTGTATTCCGCTAAACTAAATGTGCCCAAAGATACATATTATCATTCATTTATTAGAAAGCTTTAAAAATAAATAATCGATTGAGTAGCTGTTATATCTGTTTCTTTAAATTTTGTATTTTATTTAAGGACCCAAATGGCGCGTTTATAGAAAAATCGCAAATCCGTCGTATAACAAAAAATCAATAGAGACATTTAGTGAAGTTTTTAATGAGGAGGCTGATGCTCTCACAAATGTCTTTAGACGTCGAGATAATAATATTTTTAACGTGTATTATGATGTATTACAATGTACTACGCGAGCTGTGTGCCGTAAGTATGATACTTTCATAATAACTTAAAATATACTAGCTTCTTCTAGTATATAAATTCAAGTTTATATCCGTTCAAGATGTGTAATTGAAATACTTGCGTAAATCAGTCAATTTAAATACCTTAAGTATATAGTAAATATTTTGTCCTTATTACTCTCGTGTGCGCAATATAAATAAATGCGACGAAACATTCTTTACGGATTTAGTACGTTTCATAAAATTATTTCTTAAAGGTACATTGATGGGGTTGTCAAAGGAAGATATCGTGGAACTGAAACATCTAGACGAAGTTATACATGAGACGCAAAAGTAAGTTAATTATATAATTATTTTTTAAAAAGTAATTATCAAACTTTAACAACACAAGGGCCTTCAAGAAAAGAAGTACCTATAGTCCGCGCCACCACTCATTGCCGACGGGAACCCTGGAACTAAATTTGTCGTTACATTGAAATATTATTTTATTCGTTTTAAGGTAAAACATTAGAAGCAAATCTTGGAGACTAGTTCGCGAATTTCGTATTAATTTATGTTACGTTGGGGTAAAATAGCCTTGCACCTAGCACTAGCAACATAATATTACTACGCCGCGCTATTCGCTGGCGCCGCGTCTATCAGCATTCAGTGGTGGCACGGACTCTAGTAGTTAATCTGTCACTTTTTAATAAAGTTCATATTCTTAATCGTATCTCCGTCACAATCTCGTCTTGAGCACTGTCACACATGACAAACTTCATAATAATATAGACAATTGGTTTAAAAGAAATGCTAGAAAGCGGGCCTATAATATCGCTGTTCAATTGAGTTAGTTTTATTTTTTCATTTAAATAAAAATTATATTTGCAGCATATACTCACTTGTTTTTACAAAAATGACTCGTTGGTGGCTGCAAATACCTTTAATATATTGGTTAAGTGGAAATTATAGAAAACAGCTTTATTATCAAAGAATTGTCGATGGATTGATTACCGATATAATTGAAAAACGAAGAAAATCGCTAGGTAAAGAGGAAAATTATGGTATGGGCGTTGTCGACAGATTTATATTAAATGGTTTATCGGAAAATGAGATTAAACTGGAGTCATTCGCTTTATTTACTACGGTAAGTTAGTAGTTTGTAACTATTATTATTATTATTAACTTTACAGTATATAATATAGATCAGAGAGGATTTAGGGACTTGTGTATTAAGATTAGTAGGTCAAAATATATAGGTTTCTAGATATTTATTTATTATATTTCTAAAAATAGACATGCATAAAAAACACAAAAAAAATATGACGTTACAAATTTTACACACATACACATCCATTTATAACGTAAAAATTTCAAACTGGCAAGAAAAGGGAAACAGAAAAAATAAAAAAGCAAATTTAAATTAAAACTTAACTAAAACCTGAAATCCCTTAAAAATAAATTTCATAAGAGCGTTTTTTTTGGAAATTCGACCTGTCTCCATGTACGGTTTAAGCACTCGCCTGGCACACCAACCCCCCCACAGAGGCCGAGAAAAATTTTATATAATTTAAAATTTTCCCCCCCCGGGGGGAGGGCACCCCGCCCCCCCCCCCCCCCCTTTTAAAAACCCCCCCCCCCCCTTAAAAATTTTTTTTTTTTTTTTTTTTTTTTTTTTTTTTCCCCCCCCCACTTATTTTTTTTTTTTTTTTTTTTTTTTTTTTTTTTTTTGGGGGGGGCCCAAAAAACACCCCCCTTTATAAACAAAAAAACCCCCCCCAAAAAAAAATTTTTTTTTTTTTTTTTTTTTTTTTTTTTTTTCCCCCCCCCCCCCCCCCCCCAAATACTCTCTTCTTTTTTTTTTTTTTCCCCCCCCCCCCCCCCCCCCCTCCCTTTTTTTCTTTTTGGGGCCCGGGGGGCGGGGGGGGGGGGGGCCCTCCCCGGGGGGGGGGGGGGGGGCGCCGCCCCCCCCCCCCCCCCCCCGGGGGCCCCCCCCCCGCGCGGGGGGGGGGGGGGGGGGGGGGGGGGGGGCCCCCCCCCGGGGGGGGGGGGGGGCGGGCCCCCCCCCCCCCCCCCCCCCCCCCCCACCCCCCCCACACCCCCCGCCGGGGGGGGCCCCCCCGGGCCCCCCCCCCCCCCCCCCCCCCCCCCCCCCCCCCCCCCCCCCCCCCCCGCCCCCCCCCCCCCCCAAATGTAAGATAAGTTCAACGGCGGTCTTGGTAGAAATAAATTAAGTATGTATTAATAAATAAACGATAACAGAGGCGGTAAGTATAATTGTAAATACATGGTTGACATAATAATTTGTGCCTTGGGAGTTTTAAGAATGCTTCCGTACGCTTAGAAAATAACACGTAAGCTAATAATCTATATAATTATGTATTAAAATGTATATTGCTTCCACGTAATTAAACTTTGTAATATATATATTGCGTATTTCTTACGAATATATCAGACAATATATAATTATTATAGAACAAAAAATGAGCACATACAATTTTTTAAAGTGTAATAACATAAAATATAGCGATTACAAAAATATCCGTGTTTTGAATTAATTATGTTATTACGGAGTTACGAGCCTGTTTTGGAACTGGATAATTTAAATAATATGTTATAATATGTAGTAGGAGAGCCCAAGCGGGGATTTCGGGGTTTACTAAAGCGCGGCAGATTAATATACAGGGGGATACCTTGTACCCGGTTAAGTACCTCCACAAAACATGAGGCCCATATTTATAAGGCCGCCCGTGAAGAATACAGGATCAGATTAGTAAAAAAAATTGACCATCAAAAATTCTCGAGCGCGTCAGATTAAGGTAGGGTGAGTTAATTACATCCTAAAAAGTGTATATTCCACTAATCTGACAATTTGAGAGTGACGTAAAAAAAGGGGAGGGCAACAAAGTTGTAAAAAAAAAACGTCATCTCGACATTCTCGACGTAGCTAAATTTTTATTTGAAGAAATAATTCAAGAAAAATAAATATATAATCTGACGATTTCCGCAAGCCGAAATAACAAAAATTCGTCGATAAAGTTAAATGCGTGCAGCTGCGTGATGCCTACATTTCCTTAAACCGATCGGAATCTACTAAATGGCGTTCTAAATATTTCCCTCAAAATTACATTTCCTGTGAATTTGAACCGATTCGGACCGATAGATTTTGAGAAATTTTGAAAAATCTAAAAAAAAATAAGTTTTTTTTTTTAAAGTGGTTTCTTTATCGATCAACTTCTTAAAACTAATCTGCCTTTGAGCTTGAAAAACCACGTTGATCGCCACCAAGCTGGTCAAAATCGGTTGATTCGTTCGAGAGATATCGTGAACGAAAGAAACCCGAAAAAGTGTTTTTTCGGGATTACTCCGAAATTTGTGGTTCGATCAATTAAAATTGCTTATGAGGATGATAAAACTGCGTCGAATGCCGCCAACCGCGTGAAAATTGCATGATCCATTCAAAAGTTATTGCGGTTTGAAAATTCCAAAAATAGTGTTCTATGAAACTTCTATCAGACTTTCGAGCTGGGACTGCTCAAATGCATAGAAATATTTTTCTTTGAACTCAGCGCGCTCAAAATATCAATTTTATGCGCCCAGGAATGGAATTAGCGGGAAGTTGCAGGGATGGCCTTAATTAATTAAATTTTTTTTGTCAGATCAGGCGAATCCCTCTAGATAATCGTCAGATTATGAGACAGTACGTTTAGAACATAAAGATGAACCATATATATCTTAATCTGACGCGCTTGAGTATTTCAAAATGGCGAATTTTTTGGACTTTATGAAAATGGCCGCGGGTTTGCGTCCCATCGAAATCGTCAGATTAGTGAATGAGAGCTTTTTTTGGTGCACTTAACACTCTGTTAGAAAATCTGACGCGCTCGATAAAAAATTTTTTTTTCATTTTCAACCACTTAAAAAAAAAAATGAACCACCAACCACCACCCGCATCATGCAAACGATCAGATTAACATACGTACATTATTAAAAAGAAGTAGGGCATTGATGCTTTCAATATCTGACCCGCTCGAGGATGTCCATGCAACAGTTTTTTTTTACATATTTAAAAATCCATAGCCGCTTCCCCCACCGATGTAAAGGTATATATCATTTAACTATTTCTTCTTATCATCTAAGCTTTGCATCCCAATAGGTCTCTACGACGCTCGAGTAAATCCCCATTTAGCATCGTGGGCTCCCCTACTATAATATTAAACTTTATTGCCTGTTGACACGACAAAAATTTAAATAAGCTGAACATCAACTTTTTCATTTCACTTTTTTGTGGAAATAGTTCATTTGTTTGATTTAAATTTTTACTTTTTAGAGTCAAGAAGCATCAGCAAAAATTGCATCTGGTGTGTTGCTATTTTTGGCTCATTTACCGGAGTGGCAGGTAAGATCTGTTAAAAAAAATTACCTAATTATTGGTTGATCTTATGATAAAAAAATGGATAGTATCGGGCCTTACATTTCTTCACTTACTCTGCTTGTTTAAAAATTATTAATATTCTCTCGCTTGGTACCTTATTGGATAGTATGTGTTATGTATAATATTGTAGCCAGGCTAAGAATTTCGTATCTATATATATAAAAATGTTATGTTGGTTTGTGTACGCTTCAAAAACCCAAAAAGTTCTGCACCGACGAGCATGATAAATAATCAGCATTATGGATTGTATTTTCTTTTTTTTTAATTTTTTTCCACAAGTATTGCAGAATTAAACTTATACGAAATGTTGTTCTTTGTTTTGTTTCTCATTTCTCAAACATTCAATCACAATGTGCAACAGCGAAGCGTGGCAGTGAACATTTAGTTAATTATAAAAATAGGTATTTTAAAGTCGTAGTTGATACAATAGAAAAGCTCTATATATAATAGTAGTTTAGCTACTACTGAGAAAAGTAGGTAGGTATATTCTTATATTATTTTTATTTAATATATGTGTTTGGTGTGGTTTTTAATTAATGTATGGTTTGATCGCCAGTGCAAATGTTCATAGCACCTTTAAAAGAACTCAATTACTTAGAATTTAGAATAATAATAGTTGAAATAGTGTCTTGTATAAATCACCTATTTCTCACCTATTTCAGTCAAAAGTTTACGAGGAAATTATCCAAGTTATAGACGATGATTCCGTCTCGGATGACCAAATAAGAAGATTAGAAAATCTTGATATGGTGTATAAAGAGGTTTTGCGTTACTTGTCTATCGCGGCGCTCATTCAAAGAACTGTTGAGGAAGATGTCACTATTAGTAATGGTAAGTTCTTTTTCTTCTTGTTGTTACATAATTGGATACTACAAGTACTGAATACGATTCCTAAGGGACATAGTTTATCAATTATTTCATTCCTAATTGTATAAAGCAAAGTATAGAAACTAAATCTTGGCTGGTTCTTGCAACATATGAATATAATAATATTGCAACAACATTGCTGCAACATTATGAATAAAATAATATGGAACAGAACCACAAATTTATAGCCTAAAGGTACCGTAAGTATTTACAACCGTATTAAATATTATTAAAACTAGTGTTCACAAAAACACAAACCATTTAATCTCTAAAAATATAACTAATCCTAAAAATTTTTTTACATACGAATCAACTCTGAATAGCCTTAAAGAAACATTAACACAAATTTTTACAGTGCTTTAAATAAACCTGTTATTTTGCAGGTAAATTCACTCTCCCATCTGGTACAGTTGTGGCAATTCCAATACACGAAGTCCACAGGGATTCCCGATTTTGGGATGAACCGTTGAAGATAAAGCCGGAGCGATTTCTTCCCGAAAACCAGAAAAATAGAGATCCAAATGCTTTTATACCGTTTAGTTTGGGCGCTATGGATTGTCTAGGTAATGTTACTGTGTAATTTCTTCTGTTTATTATTGAACTATTGTTTTACTTTATGTCAACGGTAAGAATATGTCTCAGCATTTTGTAAGTTTTTTAATGGTATATAACTTATGTCTTCACATACACAATGCTCTGATGACTGATTCTGCAATAACATAATATTCGCGTTTTAATAATTCCAATCTCTACATTTTATTAATGTAAACTAGTATTTTACTTACAACAAAGTATTTGCTAGTTCCATATATTTTAGGACAATCTTAAATTTGTTTATTATTATGATATTTTTTACCACATGTTAAAACAGTTAAGTAGCTAGATTTTAATCATGACGTAGGAACGTTCTATAGACGCCTTTTAGTTAACCACGCACTCTTTCAAATTAAATAAATTTCCCTTAAAGTAAACAATTGTTTATCGCGGAAACAGATACAAACGAAAGTTGCGATTATTTTTATTACAACATAAAATGTAACTACAGTCACAAGCTTCTATCTAATACTGCTTATGTATATTTTGATGGAAATAAAATAAAATAATATGATTTTTACACACACACATTAACATATTATCACATTATACTCATATTATGTAATAATGCCTATCCTAAACTTCATAAACCTTAGTGAAGCAAAACAACTTTTAAGGCATGGCCATCATTATTAACACAAATCGTATACTTAATCTACTTTACGGTCTATTTAAAAATAAAATAAATATAAACTAAATGTGTCTAAGTAACGGGTACGATATGACAATAACTCAATAAATGAATAAGTTCCAATATAGGTAAGCCATAAAAGATGTCGGGCACTTTCGAAATGTTTAGTGTTTTTCTAGAATATTCTATCTGGAACAGCTCGAATGTATACCAAAAAATACCTTAATAGAAACCTTTTCAGGACGAGTCTACGCAACAACGCTCATAAAAACAATAGTAATCCGAGTTTTGAGACATGTCGAACTATCTGCGGAGGGAAAGCTTGAGGATCTGGATCTGCATGTTGCTATATCAGTAAAGTTCGCTAAAGGATATAATTTACGTGTACGACCAAGAATGAATAAATGATTAATAAATTTGTATATGGGTTTTACTATCTACACAATAATCCAGTGACGTTACAGCTCCAAAACTCTTGTTTTTTTCCGTTTCTTAGATCATTTTTATTTCATAGACAAGTAGGTGATCAGCCTTTGTATCTGACACAAGTCATAGATTTTTGGGTTTGAGACATGCCCGTGCCCTCACAATCTTTGCCTTCACCGTAGAAACAAATGCTGATGGTGAACAAACAAAGAAAATTCCAGCGCAGCGAGATTCGAACGATCTCAGTGTTGGACCTTAAAGCCAGTAGGCCAACAGTGCCCTTCATGTGTTTTAACGCCTAGTCAATATTATATCAGTTTTTTACTATATATAATAATTATAAACTTATATTTAATTATAATTATATAGCCATAGTATAATGCCACATCATGGCGTAGTCCGGCAAATAAAATTCACAGAAAAGAAATAAAGCTCATTTTAAGCGCTGATGAAGGCGTTTGTAGACATTTTCCTACATTCCGGAAATTACACGCCGAGAATCTGGGGGCACGTCAGTGCGCCAGCTAGAATGAAATTTATCCACACGAAATGTTACCAAGCAGGCATTGTATAAACACGGCACAAATATTCCAATTTCATACAATTTGAACCAGTAGTTAAAGAACTATAACTAGTCAAATTACTTAATTTTATCACTCACTCACTGTCTGATCGATCATTAAAACTCTAAGGCACTTCTAGCAGAGATAGAAGCTTCAAATTTAAAATACAATTATTAGTTTTTAGTGTATAAATCGAGGAAAAAATGATTACTAAACAATCTAATTTAATATAAAATGTATTACTTGAGGGATATTATGCGATTGCCAAATCAATCGTTTTATTTCAAACATAAAAGATTTATAATATTGATAAGATCACTATAAGATGTTGTTAAGTTAGCTAATTACGTAATAACTTTAGACAGAAGGTCCATTAAGAAGAGACTGAATAAATTATAATCCGGTCAAATTAGACTAAAAAATAGGGGTAAGGTTACAAAAATTCCTACTTGGCTGAATGTTGGTAGGATTGTTCAATACACTATTATAAAGGAAATGTGAAAAGTCCTCATCGATCCAGCACGTGCAAAAAAATTTACTCCGGGTCAAAGATCACAAAAACGGGTGTTTCGCGATTTTCAGCAAAATGGTAAGTTTTATCATAAAATTAGTTTAGACAAAAATTGTAGATCATCTTCTTCATTCTGGGTGTTAATAAATTGTCCCAATAATGATACATCGCATGTCTCTTCGTCACAACAAATGATGTATATACGTGGTGTACTTATACATATTCTGCTTGTTTATTTAACGAACCTATCCAAAAACACTTAGGAAAAATATTCAAAATTTTTTATAGATAATTTATGACAAAGCTTTTCTACACTAATTTGATTAACAACTACCATTTTGCTGAAAATCGCGAAAACCATTTTTGTGATCTTTAACAGATATTTTTTTTTGTGTAGTCTTTTTCCGACCGATAATAAATTTTAAAGTGTATTGAGCAATCCTACAAATATTCAGCCAAGTGCGAATTATTGTAACCTTGTCAGGAATACACTGACTGTGTTTGCTAAGTCAAGCAAATGTTTACGGTAGATGATGTGTCGAAAATTTTTTTCAAGTATAAATTTATTTCATAATTCTACACTATAAAAATGTAATGTATTCGTTTTTATTCAAATTGTTTGTTCTGAAATACTGCTACTTTTTACAAAAGTCTTACTGGTGTTGTATTGGCTATCAGACCGAGTTTTTAAAACCGCATTGAATCGAAGTCTGCACGGGTGCTATAATATATATACCTAATAAAATGTTATGGATGAGGTTCGCGCATGTAGCAGAAAACCTAGAAACAACTTTTGCAGTCCTAACCACGTACTGGGGACTTTAATTACTACACAACTGCTCGGAGACCTTGAAATTTCTTTGAATGTATTTTCCTATTGTATCCTTGCGTTAGAATACGTGTCTAGTTTACAAAAAGATCTTAAGACCATATTAGGCTTTTATCTATTTTATTAACGACATGCGTTCTACGAAATACATACTAAGACTAAGTCAAGACACGTCGCGTGAAGGCTCGAAAGTTACACGTAAAAACAATTTCGGAACGATACCAATCTTGGGGTCAAATTTTCGGTTTCTAAGCAAAATGTAAAAAAAACCTACGCTTCTACGTTCGCTATTTGTACATTGATATTTTAAGTGATATTTCCGCTTGCAGTCTTCTAACTGAAAACAAGTATTTTTTTGCTGGAATTCTAAATTGAGACTGGCTTAATCACTAGGCCTGGAGGGCATTATCTAATCTGAAAGTGGCTATCTAGAGGTCATAACGAGTAGCTTTTTAAAGGTTATTTTATTCTAAAACTAAGCGAACCTTTACAAAATCATCATAAAACTACATACACTTTTGTAAAAAAAATCATCATAAAACTACATGCTATTTATACCTTTAGCTTGCGCTATAGCACTTCGGTATAGGCACACTCTACTATTATAGGCTCGATTTTCTATAACATTTAACAGTAGGTAACATTCGAAAAAAATATTTTAATTGGGATTAAATAGAGATCTATGATATCTAATGATAAAAGTATATGGATGAACGGAGTATGCGTTCACACAGACCCTGATACCTGTATCGCTTTGTGGCTGTATCATTTATTTGCTGACTGTCCTGGTGAAAAAATCTTATCGCGAGAAATGAAGATTCCCGCTAGGCTCTGTCGCGTATTATAAATATAAAACAAGGTCATTCCCTATCAATCTTTACAATTAGAAACAGTGGATCGATCAAAAGGCTTTCTGTCGCGATACGCAGGTGAAAATAACAGAAATATCCTCTTTACTGATGAAAAATTTTTCACGATTGAAGAACACTACAATAAGCAATATGATAAAGTATACGCTCACAATGCTAAAGAAGCTTCTCAAGAAGTCGGAAAGGTACAACGTGGTCATCAACCTGCGACAGTGACTTATCAATGAGTCACAAAACTATACGTACATTTTTGTGAAAAAGGAGTGAAAACTTCAGCAAAAGTGAATCAAGGTACCGTCTTGGATCATATTGTGAAACCTCTCAGCAATACACTTTTTAAAAATATAGCGTGGACTTTCCAGCAGGATTTATAATTATGGTCAGTTTTAGAAGGCCTCTTCTAGACGACACCACAACGTTGAGTCTCTTGAGTGAAAATCTTCAAATTGGTGAAATTTCCCTTGGAAACAGTGTGTAAATCCATAGATTCGAGGCCAAACAGATTAAAGGCCAAGATGGCCATTTCGAATATAATATTTTTTTATTTTTTGCTGAGACTTCAATAAATATGTAGGTATAAATTTAAATAATATTACATTACTTAATTTAAAAAAAATGCATTTTCATTTTTAAAAGAACTTATGGTTGGATTATGTGTACTATGGTATGGTGTATATATATATATATATATATAATATGGTATATCCAACAATTAGAACAATTATATATTCCGTTGCTTTGTATCTATTTTTTTAGTTCATTTACCTCGATGTGTACAGTCATAGCTCAATGCTATACGTGTTATGCTGTGTCGCTTACTTGAAAAACAATAGGTGAGTCCTATATTTCTATTATTTTTGTTTTGTTTTGTATGTTAAATAGTAAAAGTTATAAATAAATCTCTCACCTTGATCAGAACTAATATGTATATCAAATATAAATAATATAAAATTCTCGTGTCACAATGTTCGTTCCCATTATCCTCCGAAACGGCTCGACCGATTCCTACGAAATTTTTTATGCATATTCAGTAAGTCTGAGAGGCTACTATCTATCTTTCAAACCCCTAAGTGATAAGGGGTGTCCACCCCCAAAAAATTTTTTTTTCAATTTTGTGCATATTTTTTTAATTATGTGGCATTAAAAAATACATACAACCCTTAATTTTCTTCCCTCTACGATTAAACCCTATGTTTTATTATAGATAAAGATATAGAGATAGTTATTTTTATTGATCTAAAAAATGTTTCCTAGAAATAATATACATGGCAAAACAACGTTTTCCGGGTCAGCTAGTTATAATGTAATAACATAATAACTTGTACATTGTACTAGTGAATGGGATATGCCGCGATAATTAAAAAATAACACAGACCCTTGCCATAGAAAATATGCTTAATGTTATGTAATAGAATAAATCTATAACCATAGATTGAGATGTTATTTATTTTAAAAATATTGTCTATAATTCTCATCTTGTGGTAAAGAAGAAGTAGAAGAGCGGTAAAACTTTTATTGATTCTAAAAAATATCCCATTTTTAGACAAGTTTCAAGATCCTGAATCAATCAAAATGTTCTCCTATTGTCTAGTAGCAGCCATGACGTTTCTATGCATGTCGATTTGGTTCAGTTGGAGGTACAAAAACAGAAGATTGCTATTGATGGCAACTAAAATACCAGGTCCCCCCGTGGTCCCACTATTTGGTAATGCTTTGAAGTTCATGTGTAGATCGGAAGGTAATACTTTCTCTGTATTTATCTGATTAATAATTATGTTAAGCCCGATAAATTTTCATTTTGTGCGCACCAACAGTTTGTGGAACCAGCTACCCCACTAAAGTATCTTCAAACCAATTCGACTTAGGGTCCTTCTGGCTAGAAACGAGCGAGCCTTCTAGCAGTCTGAGTGTTCATGCCACTGCCATACAGCCTTCTAGCTGCGGTATCTTGCTTGCATGCTCTATATGCTTAACATCAGATGAGCCTTCTTCCCGTTTGCCCCCAGTACTATAAAAAAGAGCAGTAATAGCATCCTTCAGGCACTTCAAACGCACCATCACTAACCGTCTCATGAGAATAGATGAAGAATGAGAGATTTTTGAGGATCGTAAGGGAAGTGATTTCTGATCTTTGGGAAAACGGCATGTTTTTATAATTATGTATTGACATGTTTGCGCATAAAACAGAATTGATACAAAGCAATCATGGAATGCAACTGGTGGCTTTAATAAGCGATCTCTTCCAGTTTTAAAAGGATTTGATTTACAAACATGTGTTAATGTGGTTAATAAAGCTAAAGTGCCTTGTAAATTGTAATACAACATTACGTCATCAATGTACTAATTTAACAATATAATACAAAGTAATAGCCAGAAACCAAAAGTTTTTATGGCGAATTTTGATTAAATAAATATAAATGAATGTATATTATTATTATTATTTTTATTAAAAATAATATAAAATAATAACATTTTGCGGATCCGAGTGGTACACAGCACGCCGGGTGCCGAATACTCGGATTCGAGAGTCGAGACCTAGGGATGGCAATGGTTTATTCACTAATATCATAGATATTTGTTCCGCGAGTGCGTTTTTGCGTAGGTACTAATCACAATATTTTGACAAACCCGTGTTTTTTTAATCAAATTCCAGGGTCTTGATCAAAATCAGCTAAGGAAAGTAATCAAAACGAGTTATTAACTCATTTTACTTTCCTTGACCAAAATCTTGTAACATATGACACACAGTCCATACAAACACAGGATACATACATAGGACACACACACAGGACAAAGCCGGAGGGGCGTCATTATGCTCTGGCGACAAGTTCGGAGTGTTCGTATTAGATCTCAGAAGCGACACGCTAGGCGCGAATAGATTCTCTGGTATATCAGGCAGTAGGTCTCCATAATCTTGTACGATAGATGGCCATGAACGCCCATTATTTTCGTAGATGTACTCATAATTACCAAGTCTGTTAAATTCTAGTTGGCGAGGCGCAGGCCTCGATGCTGAGAAACCAATATCTGAACCTGGTAACGTTGAAGATTATGCTGATGTATCACGCGTACCTGGTATATTCGCTCCCTTGCGGCCATTACAATTATTACTAACCAAAGCTTTCAATTGCTTAGGTCGAATAATAGGGCTACCGCCAAACTCACTCAATCCTCGCTTTGGTGCTTATGACCTTGAAGGTTGAGCTGGTAAATCACCAGCGCGTGGTCTACGACTGGTCGTCTTCCATTTCGATCTTGTATTCGATCGAAGTCAAGAATACGTAAATCACTGGCTCCAGATCCTTCTGAATTTGAAGATAACTCCTCTTCATGAGCTCCTTGCGAATACACTTCTTCATCACTATATTCTTCAGACCCTTCCGAGTCATAATCCCACGAAAACGTGGGAGCTTGTAGTTTATTGTTTATCAGAATGCCAAATCATAAAATGACTGCTTCACGACTGATTTGAGAGCGACCGCCGATGCGAAAACCGCTGTGTGAGTTCGAAAAGTGAGTTACAGAATCGCAGGGCTGGACGTTCACACGGATCCGAGTGAGCGGCACTGTTACTATAGCCCCGCACCACTTGGATCCGAGTAAATGGCAATGTGTTAAGCATATAGTTATAATATCCACAGTTGTAGGTTCGTAGTCACATCACTTACTTTTATGGGATTGAAAATCATGATTAGGAAAACCCTCATGCTGTCGTTTTGGTCAGAAGTTCCGTCAGAATGCTAATCACTCACTTATATTCGATGAGCTTGATCTATTCTGTTGTTGTGTAAGACAGTCATATATAAAAATTAATTGCTGTTCTTTTGTCTCGCTAAAACTCGAGAATGGCTGGACCGATTTAACTTCAGAGACATGTTTATATCGATAGAAACATGTATAATATCGCTTCCCCAGGGGACAAAGCCGTAAAGCACTATTACGACTGGTTTAATGTTTTCTCATTTTTGACACCCAATGATGTAATTTTTTTCTGAATTTTTGCAAAACATTTTAGCTCAGCTACTGACATATATGATCTTCTGTTCACGTTTTTGAAATTAAACTCCTAAACGCCTGGATTTTGATTAATTTTTATTTTGAGTGGATTCGAGAATAGTTTAGATTTCGAATTAGATTAGTTTTTTTTAATTTAATACATGTGGACAAGACAACGTCAATCGGTTGTGTCCGCTAATTTCTATATAAAATCCCAGCTCTTCAAGTTCTTTAGAATATATGCTTGATCCTAAAAAATAAAGTAATTATTCATGCACAAGTATCAAGTACCTATTCAATCGCCAACACCAGTCGCAATTATATGTAGGTATTAATCATATGTCCGCTGTGAGAATTATAGATATATACATTCTTCGTTAAGGAAAAGTCATAAAAAATTATATAACTTCGATGAACACTAACGATAAGTTCCATTATCCAATGGCGCATTCAACAGACAGGACACATTCGTATAGCGATATTTTTTTAAATTAATTCAGTATCAGTCGAATGAAAATCATTGTGACGGATCTCCACTTGTCCGGATAGACTCTCGTTTCATCCGCTTTCATGATATTCACCATGCATGCTCGACGGTTATGGAAACTTAGTTATTCTTTTCTATCTCTTCTCTAGTTAGGGATCGACTTATATATCCATCACCCCAAGGGTTTCCAGTGTAGTGGAGTGAGTGGCACCATTGTGTGTATCGTTTGGCGCAAAACCACTGGGAAAAATCTGAAACACTGGCGAAGTCGAACTGGTCAGCTAGGGACCCCCCCAGGAATCTCGGACTTTTGATTTTTGATATTAAGGGGAGCGTGGTGTGGTCTTTTTTAAAATGTGGTGACTCTATTTTACTCTACTCCAGCGCTCTCCAGCCGCGCAAAACTGATTTCGATGAGTTGCCCAAAAATTCGAGAGAAACCTTCGGTGCAACTATATAGCGAACGGAATGGAGATTCCATTGGTTATAGTTCAAAGGTCTCTCATCATCATCATCAGCTCGACACCAATGGCCTTTGAAAGTGGTGATACTTAAGGGTAGTGTTCGATCAATTGTCGTTCAGTGTGTGAGTAGTTGATGTTGCGATTTAGCGCGTTCAACCGAAAAAACCCGTCAGCGGTCACATTAAAATAGTAAAGATATAAAAATGCTTATTTGTATAAATATTTAATATCATTATCATTTGTATTTTTGATAAATCAAATCAAACAAATTGTCCTTATAGAAAATAGAAAATTATAGAAAATAACATTTTTGTACTCTATTTTATTAAGTCAACAAGGAATTTTCGAAAGGTGACTATTTATTGTATTTTACCAAACCAAACCTAAAAACAGTTGGCTTGAACTATACTCGTAATTGTTTTTGGACAATATTTTCAAAAACACACCAAAAAATTTCTAACGGTGACTATTTATTTGTACTTTTACTAAACCAAATAAAATAATAGCCCAATAGTTAGCCTAAATGAAAATAGCTCAATTCATTGTAACATATAAGTCAACAGATTGGGTTTTTCTTAAAACAATTTTATTGCAATTAAAGAATGATTACAATAATTTATACATTTTAATATTATATATCTAATGGTTCAGGTTATAATTACCGCGTTAAACCTTTGACCCGGAAAATTATATTTTATAAGACATATCATTTTGTATAAAATATAATACAATAAATAGTTGTTATTTTATCCAGGCATAGTACACATAGTAATGCAGTGTTAGCAGTTAGGTGGAGAAATTCGTGACGCAACCCATCGCGGGCGAGGGGCGGGGGGTAATAGGGACTCCCAAATAGCAATCTGTCTAACCCCATGGCGCCACCAACAGTCAACACTCGCTCTAACCTATCCCCCACGTGATCGTTGGTTCAAAATCTAAAAAATTGCATTAACAAATCAGCAAAAATAAAATAACAAGTAAAACTGAAAATTTATACAAATACCAAAATTAATTTAAAATAAACTAAAATCTACATATAGATACCGGCAAACTTCTTGAGCGTTAAACAAGGGAGTGGGGGAAAGTTTGCGCATCTGGGACACAAACGTCAACTGATTTACCAATCACGCGAACGACACGTCACTTTCCCGCCGCTCGCCGCCCTGCCCCACCCAGTGATACCTAGAAATTGCATCTGCGCAGGCAATTGTTCAAGACCCCGCGACGGCCCAAGCCGAGGTTCGAGTCTCACAGGAGACGCCCTTGCGCTAGTCGCGGGAAAACCGCCCATTCAGGCCGAGCTACGCTCGCCAAAACAGCCCAAGCTGAGCTGTAAAGGCCCTTAAGGCCAACAGCGAGATTCCTTTCAAAAAATTAAATTGTTCAAAATGTTTGCTGTCTGTAACAAGAATTCACGTGTGTCAACATTTTGAAAATTTTAAATGTATTTTCCCCTTGTTTACAGATTTAACTACAATCATTAAAGACATCATACATGAGTATGGAGATGTTTTGAGATTTTGGTTGGGTCCAGATTTAAATATTGTAGTCAGTAACCCAGATGATGTGAAGGTATATTATAAACAAATTATACAGTATTGACAATTTTCTTAACCTACAAAGTAATAATAAAAAAATATAAATAATAAAAAAAAATTAAACAAATTTAAAAAGTTTGGTCCCTGTAGCAGTGTACCTTTAACGCTGCTTCCTAGCTGTATTGCGATGCTTATTCGTTGAGCCAGGAAAGCACCAGCTCTGGGGCTATCTACCAGGCGCCAACTTAAATTTTTAATAAGCGGCCTGCCCTGCGATTCTGTAACTCACTTTTCGAACTAACACTGCGGTTTCCGCATCGGCGGTCGCTCTCAAATGAGTCGTGAAGCATTTATTTGAAGATTTGGCATTCTGAAAAGGTGGGAGCTTGTAGTTTATTGTTTATTAGAATGCCAAATCATGTGAGTTCGAAAAGTGAGTTACAGAATCGCAGGGCTGCTCTGCAGCCGCCCCAGCTTTTTTGCTTGTTCGAGACGGGGGTGGTGAGACGGGGCAAGCGTATCCTTACAAGTAGCATCCCAAAAAAATATATAAATATAAATGTTAGAAATTATTTTTCACAAGCTGTAAAATATGAATATAATTTAACGTAAGTGGTATGTTAGTGTAGATATTATTAATTCTATTTTAATATAAGAATTGTCTATGTTACCACACAAGATTTATTTTTACATAAATGTTTTTGACTTTGATTTTCATATCGCTTTATGTGAAAAATAAGCTTTTACATTATTTCAGACGCTACTTACAAGCGCCAAGACTAGCATGAAAGGTCCTCAGTACAAATATATGGCAGACATCTTAGGAGGTGGTATACTTAGTGGATCAGGTAAATAAAAAATAATAGTAGAAATGCTATATCTCACATGCTCCACTTTGAAAATGAATCTAGATAATTGTCAGGGCTAACTGTTTTGTTTACTATTTTGTTTACTTACTACCTTATAAAACCTAGAATTAAGATTACTCTTATTATATATAAAAAAAACTAATGACGATACCTATCCAATTGTAATTATGCATTGCTTTATTTTATATTCCGTAAAACTTATATTATTTTAGGTAGCGTTTGGCGAAAACATCGAAAAATTGTAACACCAAACTACGCAAAACGTTCCGTCGAATGCTACTCTAATATTTTCAATAAGGAAACTGATTATTTGATTCAAAATCTACAGAAAGTACCCGAAGCAAAGGAAATTGACATCTACAAGTATATCATACAATGTACTACAATGGCTGTATGCCGTACGTAATATATGTATCTTGATTTGCACATCACGAGTCAATGGGCCAAAGGCCCTTTTCTATTTTTAATGTAATTAGTTAATCAGTCCGTTATATATCCGTTAGATAATTTAAGTTCGATAAAAAAATAAAAATATGTACTGAAAAGTATGCAATAACAATATCACTGTATTCTGATGATTGGTCTTAGATTGCAAAGATAATTAAATGTATAAACGATAATATTTAATAAAGAAAAAACAAATGTCTATGTTTGTCACATAGCTATAGAAATTACTTGCTAAAGTGTTTCATTTAAATCAAACCAAATAGCAAAACGTGTTGCTTAAGGATTATTACAAGTTGTGCGTTAGCAAAATCTTGACAAAACCATCAGTCAGCGAGAGCGGTCTACCTCCATTATAATATAAATTATGTTTGTAAGAAATTCTCAATTAACAAATTTAAATGTTTCAGAGACCTTAATGGGTTTGACTAGAGACGAGTCAATAGGAATACCAAATCTTCAGGAAATAATTGAAATAAGTCCAAAGTAATTATTTTTTGAGTAATTTTTAAGCTAAGTTTTGTTACGAATACTGCCGTTATGTATATTTATTATTGTGACTTAGTTAACCTTTTGATTGGCATTTAAATCTTTTGTTTATACATATTTTTATTTATTATTATTATTTTTTTTTCTTTAGATTTTACTTTATTTTATTTTAGTTATAGTTACGTGTTATTTTGAGTATTTTTGTTAATTCTGGATGCACTTCTTGTACTGTACCCTCTATAGGTGTTTCTTTTTTATTGCTCCACATTAGGGTTGCCTGAAAGAAATCGCTTGTTAGCGATAAGGCCGCCCGTTGCCTTATAACTTATGTAACCTGCCTTAATTTTTGAAGTGAAACTTCTTTATCGAGGTTGGAAAAAAATTTAGTGTAACATTTTTTCTTTCAAACTTCTTTATCGACGTATGGGAGAAATTTTGTAGCAAATCGTCACGTTTTTCAATGATAGTAATAATTCTATTACAATTAATGAAATTCTTTAATAATCTTCGTAGTAATAAGGTAAAATGAAATATTTGTATTCATGTCTATGATAATAAAAGCCTTTTGTTAAACTTTATCTAATTTAACAAATTTCTGTAAAGTTGCATATAGTAGATCATTTTTCGAAAAATAAGATCATAAAGAAGTTTCACTTCTTACGTGTGTACACCTAGTACACGCACAATTTATTATTTATATGTATGGATTTGTATAAGGTAATAAAGTATAAATAAATAAATAAATTTCTTGCGACACGGTCTATATTTCACGCCTAGAACCACTGCGATGTCGTTATACCCGGAAGTTATTGAGACCGTTAAGGTTATATAACTTTTTGACCGTAGCCAACGAGACATTCGGGCCGACCAGTGAGAGCTTAGACTGGTCGAGTCTTCTTTAGGTCCAAGGAAGGCACCTTCCTTCCACCACCTACTAAAAACTAACCTCCGTTAATATTTATTAGCATATTCTACAATGTTATGAATTTTACACTTTAACTCATTTTAACTCTTTTTAACATGAACACAATTTTTTTCAAATAAATTATAACATTTATAAAGCTATTTCAAGTCTTAAATTCAAAGTCAATTTTTATTGTAATTACTGTTTTTTTTTCAGATTATACGAAACAATATTCGGTAGAATGACAAAATGGTACTTACAAATCGATCCCGTATTTTGGACAACAGAGTCTTATAAAACTCAAAAACATTTTCTAGCATTGATGCCTAATTTTGCGAAATATATAATCGATGTCAGAAAATCTAAATTAAGTGCAATGAAAAATTACTTGTGGGAAAACCCAGATGAAAATATGGAGGAGACATCTCACTTGAGTGTTGTCGATAGATTTTTACTATCCGAACAACTGACTACTGAAGAGTTAATACAGGAAATATTTACTTTATTCACTTCTGTATGTATAATGTTATAAGTAGTCTAAATTATAAAATAAATGGACAATATGTTTGTACATCGCATCTATAATCTTTTAAAAAAGTTATATAGTATGGAGTTTCTATGTAACCTCACGTGATTTATAAAGTTAAAATTCCTAAAACGGCGAAATTAACAAGCCAAGACTTTGGTTAGTTTGTCTTGTTGTATATAAGTACAATGTATCGTTTCCTTTTTGCTTCGATATCAACTCATTATAATGCCAGAAATCGCCATATAAAGTTTACTCTAATCCATTGAATAATTTTGATATTAAACTAACTAAGCCGTGTTAAAAAATAAAAATAAAATAAAATATGTTTATTATGGAACATAAGATGCAGCCCTGCGATTCTGTAACTCACTTTTCGATTTCACACAGCGGTTTTCGCATCGGCGGTCGCTCTGAAATCAGTCGTGAAGCAGTCATTTTATTCTGAATAGGTGGGAGCTTGTAATTTATTGCTTATCAGAATGCCAAATCATAAAATGACTGCTTCACGACTGATTTCAGAGCGACCGCCGATGCGAAAACCGCTGTTTGAGTTCGAAAAGTGAGTTACAGAATCGCAGGGCTCGTATCACTTATTCCACGTCATTAAATTTGAAGCGATAGACACTAGACATCCCTACTCATCGGCAAAGAAGACAGAGGGTGTAGGCTTTTAAAATAGCAAATCATCAAACAACTTATTTTAAACCAAATATCGCAAATTAATTAGAAGTAGCCTGTCTAGCACTAGTCCCAGGCCCTTTTATCAACTAGATAATCCTTAACTTTATAGTAAGACTTTTTACAACGCTTTTATTTAATACATTTCTTAAATTTATTAAAAGGAAGAGATAAAAGAGCCTCTGGAATTTTATTAAAGAAGAGTATCCCTTTTCCCAAAAAAGAATTATTACTAACTTTAGATACTCTAGTACGGGTAAATTAAGTTGAGTACATATTTATATTTTATGAGTTTGCAGAGTCAGGAAGCTTCGGGAAAAATTTGCTCTTATTTATTTCTTATGATGGCATTCAATCCACACTATCAGGTACTAAGTTCACTTAAAATATATCTTTGTGTTTATTATAAATTATTTTTAAAGATTTTTTACACTATGCTCGATTTTAAACATGACTCTCAGCCGGCGTCGGAATCTTTACATATTAGATATTATAGATAGAGGAGGCCTTTGCCGAAAAAGGGCACACAAATATTTAAAAGAATGAATGTTAGAAATATAAATGTGTTTAAGTGTAAATGTATCAAATAAAAGGCTATTATTATTATATATAATGAAAAGGAACATTTGAGTTCTATTTCATCTCTTGCAACGTAAAATACATAATGTTTTCAATCTGTCAAAACAGGAGATAATTTTATACATCTCTTTTATTTTTATTATTTCACAATGTTATTTACTTCCGCACAACGAATTTTCACTTTGACAAGTTTAAATCATGAAGTGCTTACAGGAAAAACTGTATTTAGAGATAAAAAAAGTTGTCGGTAATAGAGACAGACTACTAACAGATGAAGATTTTAAACGAATGCCTTATCTGGAAATGGCGTATAAAGAAGTATTGAGGCTTTTCCCGATTGGCGCGATGATTCAAAGGACAGTTTTAGAAGATATTCAGATAGGTAAGTAAATGTTATTTTTGTTTAAATTTAATTATTAGTAGCAGCAGTAATTGTTATGTTATTTAGGGTTCTTCCCAGCTCTAATTACTAACCAATTAATACTGAATATAGAAGGAAATCACTTAAATTACGTGGTATGCTTTCTGGAATTTGACTTAACTCAATGTATTGGATAATTACTGTATTATTTTTGACGTGACAACGTCTTATACTTCGCTAGAGCCGGCTGCACGCATGAAAAAACATGACGCATGCGGCGTTACTTCGCTCTTGACGCATGCGGCGTTACCTCGCTCTGAGGCGTTCCATTTAAGGTCAAACGCCAAACGTCACGCATGTCGTTAGTAATTTTGTATCTGCTAAGCTTCTGTTCAAACTCACTTTGGCAGTAAATATCTTCAAATTGGAACAAAAATATATATCTAAATGAAACTAAGACTAGAAATTATTGAAGACTGCAATAATTTGGGCGCTTAACCAAACGCTGCGCTTTAAGCTACTCATTGTAAACTGTATATTAAAAGACTAAAACATTACCGAATGTTATAAGATATAAAGGTTTCTACGAGTATTATTAATAAAGACTTTCTGTTACAGGAACCTGTACTATTCCAGCCGGTTCATCGCTGGTAGTTCCTATATATCACATACAACGTGATGAACGTTTTTGGGAAAATCCAAATGATTTCGATCCAGATAGGTTTAATGCAGAAAATACAGAGCACAGACATTTATGCTCTTATATCCCATTTAGTTTGGGTCCGATGGATTGCTTGGGTGATTATTACGAAGTTAATGAAAAAAATATTTTTTCACCGAGAAATGCGAAGTAGCATTTGGATTTGTACAGTTCTATAGATTTATGTTTTTTATAGATTTGCATTTAACTACGGAACTTTTTATCTACTACTTTATTTAATTTAATATTAAACATGAATCCTTTCGAATTATTTCCTTCACCGTTTTTTTTAATTTTCAGGAAGATTTTTTGGAACGAAATTGATAAAGACAATAGCAGTACGAATACTTCAGAACTTTAAACTCAGTTCACGAAATTCCTACAAAGACTTGCATCTGGCAATAAAAATTTCAGTGTTCTCTGTTAACGGATATCCCGTTATATTGACTCCAAGAAATAGAACCTGACGTGTATAGTTCTACTGGAATCTCATGGCAAATAGGGAAATAAAAATTTGTCGTGGGCAATACCAGAGAAATTGGATTAAATCATCTGTTTAAGTTTTATTTACTTATGTCTTTAGTATTAATGACCTTTAAGAATATTAGTTATTTGTATGAAGAATGTCGTTATACATCGGGTTCTTAACATAGGAAAATATGTCATGAAAAATAAATAAATCGTAAATTACTTTATGTACTAATTTATTATATATCATTTCAACCATACAAATAACTTCAAATCTCATTCAGAACTAGAAAACGGTTCCAATAACTCCACTTGCATTTCTTGTTCTTCATCAGATGATGAAGATAAAGAGGTGATTATTATATCGCTCTTCCAGCATTTTTATCAGCAATTTTTTGCTTCATAATACCCCAAACATTTCTATGGGATTCAATGTGCAATGATAAGGTCTTAAAACTTCATGACCTTGCGATTTTAATACTTTACCTATCTTATATAAGGGCGCAGACATGTTTTGTTTCACTATTTCAAGTAGTTGACATTTACGCCAAGCATCATTATTATGTAAATCATTTGCACGGAGCCATTTATTTATATCAGCGATACGATTGGCTTGTGCGTGCGGTTTGTTCATACGTACGGAACGATACATAACAATTAATTAAGGTCTTGTTAGATTTGGAATAAGCTTCTCTGTCACATATTTTGTAAAATTTACTTTATTGATATCGTGTGGTAGTCAGCAGTTAACATGTGTTAACCTGTATACCAGTCAACAATTTGGTACAAAGCCATTTCTCCACTAGCGTTTACAATGGTCCACCTCGCTCTAAGTTAAATACTTTAGATGGACCGGCAATATCTTTGCTTTGCCAGCACTTATTCACAGAACATGAATGTGAGTCTGGTATAAATAAATCACATCCAATTTATTATGCTCTCCAGCTTTGCGGTTTTTAAGTATAAGTCTGTAAAAAATAAATAACATTTATCATGTTACTGAAACGATAGCTTAGTCATTCATCAGTCTGTACATCCCACTGCAGGGCACAGGCCACTAACAAGTAAGAGTACTGTAGTACTGGAAACCCCTATAAAGATGTCACAATTAAGTACCGAAGAAAAATATAAAATAAACTAAAGTACATGGTACGGAAAGTATCAAAACCACTAAATCCAACAACAAGGAGTAAATCAAAGATTGAGTTTGATTTACTCCTCCTCTTCTTTCTTTATTTTATTAAACATGGAAAAAAATATTCTGGCTTGAGGTCGAAGTGGCTTTTTCGACATTTTGACAAAAACAACAAATTTCAAGAAGATAATCACAAAATCCCAGCAGCGGTTGATAGATCTCGTACTTTGATTTGACGGATGCCACTTGACATTGCCGTATAAAAGTATCATTTTTGTTTTATGTCATGAGATTCCGGTAGACCGTAGATAGAGTATAAAACTAGATGAGCTTCTAAAATAACAATAATAACTAAAGAGAGAAGGCATTAACGTGAAATACATAAGTGCGAGCGAAACAAAGTATCAGTTTTTCTGTCTCTATTTGTGTATCAGGTTTTATTTGTTTACCACCGAGCCCTTGGTGGTAAACAAGTTTTCACCGCTTACTGATAAATCTTTAAAACCTAAGTCAAACCCATATTTTAAGACTTTATCCTTATAAGATGTGTATGTAAAGTGTCAGTCATGGTGAATTGTTGCATAATTGGCTGTAAAAGCTATAGTGAACGTAAAGAACCAAACATAACCTTACATCGGTAAGTAGCTTATATTGTCACGACTCAGTAACTTTGTCCAAGAATTATTCATTCGAATGTGTATTTTGGTCAATAATAAGCAATCTTCAATGAATTAAAACTGTAAATACGACATATTATGTCGATCATTCGCTATCTCACACGCTGTACGCTGATGCCTGGTCTATACCATAGTCCGTCTACGCGGTAGACCTATAGAATAAAAACTTTTCAATTAAATAAAAAATACAACTCTAAAGCCTGAGTTACATTAGTTTTATTTACCTGACTTAAGTGATAATGTGTAATCGTGTATTATATCATAATATGTGTAAATCGCAATATCATTATATAATTTTATATGAATGAAAATAATTCACGTTTTAGCAGATCACGGTTACCACAAAACGTTTGTTCCGGACCCTAAAGTATATGCCTTACGTATACGTTAACTTCAGTAGCGATTTCAGTAAGAGTCCTTTTAATTAATTTAAAAAAAATCTTAAGAATGGCAACAACTTAACCTTATGTTAAATATGTAGTTTTATTAGTTAAATGAACTTGAAATTTCTTGAAAATGAATCTGAAACTATGTAATTAATCTTGCTGTCCATAAGCCTGTTAGATACAGTAATTAGTTGATTAGGTCCATATATTAAATTACGAAGGTAATACAGTGTTATATAGAAATCTATAAGAGTGAGCGCCATAAATAATAATTATTTATCCTATTCGATGTTTATTTTGCGTATTTTTTCATCAGAAATTGGCAACACTGGTCACTGCCGTGTCCTCTCCGTTACAAGATTCCTAGTTCCTACTATTCTGTGACACTTCGTTGCTATTTGAGTTCATACAGTATTGAGTATACTATAATGAATAATCTATATAGATTATAGTATATATTATATATCTGTGATTATAAACGGATTGCGGTCACCTAGATTCTGAAAAGTAAATTTCTTACGAAAATATCATTAAAGGATCAGTTTAATGAGGTCAACATAACAATTAGAAATCGTTGTTACTATGGCTACTTTCTCCAGATTCCATAAAATTGCACTCATAAGTTTAGGAGCAGTGGGAGGAGGTTTTGCTTATTATCAATTAGGAAGTAATGAAAAGAAATTCGGTGTTCAGAACTCGTGGACAACGAACTTTACGCCTAGTGTTAAATGGGAAAAGAATTGGGACCAGTAAGTTTCATTTAATCTATTTAATTACTTTTTACTTAAATATGAACTATAGCAACCTCAAATATTTTCAGTCGAGAACCCGAGTCTATAGTGAAACCGGCAAAAAATGGGAAGGCCGAGGACGACAATAGATACAATGAGCAAATCGAGAAGGCTAAGAGTAAAGCTGTGAGGCATTTGTTTTTAATTCGCCATGGACAATACCATGTTGATGGTAATACTGATAAAGAGAGAATTTTAACAGAATTAGGTGAGATTCATTAAATTTTAAAAGCATTTTAATATTTAATTGACTACTAGTTTTAATTGTAATTGATGAAGATGTATGTAAAGATGTATAAAGCTATTTAAATCTGTAAAATTGGTGTGCTAAGGGAAAATATAAAATAATAATTCCATAAATACCATTCATGTGTTTAAATTGTTTATATTATATACAATTTTTTCAGGTAGGCAACAAGCAGAGCTAACTGGAAAGCGCCTTGCAGAGCTTGATATAAAATGGGATCTACTTGTTAGATCTACTATGACTCGAGCACAGGAGACTGCAAAAATTATTGGAAAACATTTACCTAGTGATATTGAAATCAAAGATTGTCAATTGATAGAGGAAGGTGCTCCTATTCCGCCTGAGCCCCCAGTAGGACATTGGCGACCGGAACCAAAAGTAGGTAATATCAAATAATATTTGCCTTGTTCTTAAGTAAGTCATAAGAAAACTCTAACAGCTAATAACTGTGAAACTAAAAAATGGTTTTTGTTACTTACATTATATGTTATGTAAAAATAATGATGTTTTGTTTCGCAAAATCACAATAATCATCATCAAATCATATGTATGATATAAATAATTGTTTATTATAATATACAATGTAAACTCTTTATAACGAATTTCAAGGGGCAGATTAATTTTTTTCATTAAAGGGAGTGAATAGAAAAAAAATCTAAATTTAACCGATTACAATAATTTCTAATTTTATTACTATCAATAGGTAAATTATTCTAAACACATAACGCTTTTCTTTTACTGGCCAACTTGACTGTTTCAAAGTTTGTTTATGACTGATAATACACAATAGGTGACAGTGGTGCCTTTAGTAACTGAGAACAAAATTTCCTACAGGCAATGTAATCTAAGAATGGCACACATGTTAATGCAATTAACAATAGCAAAGGCGAGACGGCTGTTTAATATCTCAGGTGTCTTTCTTAGAAATTTCAGCATATCAAAAGTATAGTTTTGTAAGCTGATTATAAAAATAATTACACTAAAGTATGTTGTTGATGTCTAAAAATGAAAATATTTCTTTGTTATAGACAATGGATGTTGCATTATAAAGAGTGAATTAATGTATGGGTTTTGTGTTAAACCAAACAAATGTGACTATTTTTTTTACCTTATTGAGAAAAAAAAAGTTATAGTTATAGTTTTTTGTTATAACCAATGACGTTATAAAGAGTTTACACTGTATATGTATCTTTATAAGATTGTCTTTAATACTCCACTGTATATCATTTCTTAACTGACCAGTTTTGCATTACACCCATATAAATTCATTAAATTACTAACCTCCTATTAATAATTAATTAATTATTTAAAAGTAATGTGAATTCATCTGTCCATCCTTTTAAGTAGTATTGTATCAGTAAAGTATAATATCATACTTAAGTATTTATTGTAAATTTTCAATAAAATCTGAATTTATTAATAAATCATAATAATTAGCAGAAGACATGAAAAGTATGAGCTGTTTGTGTAATTTTTAATAACCAATGCAAATATGAACAAGACCAACAATAAATCCCTTTTTTTATTTATAATTTCGAAAAGCAATACTGGCCAGTTTAATAATACAGTATGGTTTGGTATGTGTAGCAGTTCTTCCAGGATAGTGCTCGGATTGAAGCTGCCTTCAGAAAATACTTTCATCGGGCATCTCCAGAACAAACACAGGATACATACACCCTGCTAGTATGCCATGCAAATGTAATACGGTTCTTTGTTTGCAAGTAAGTCATTTTGGTGGGAATATTTGTATAGAATTAAGCAAACAAGTTGATACAACCAAAATGCATTCATTGTAACTTTTTATAATTTAAATATTTTTGTGACATTAATTGTGTGATACTACAAGACTACATACCACCGAAATAAGGATAGAAGTTATATTAACTCGAATACTGAGTCACACAACAACACCACAAGATTTACAAGATTACAAGAAATGCAAAAAAAAAATTATAGAACTGTGGACAAATGGGCAGGAGGCTCATCTGATGTTAAGTGATACCTCCGCCCATGGACACTCATTAAATGTTAAGTACTAGTTCTGTTAAAAATGCACTTCTTTAGACTTAAGGCCACTCCTCCTCCTCCTAGAAAGGCTACTTCCCACATTGTATACCTAAGTAGAGCTTACAGTCCCAGTCTCCCACTTTAGACTCATTAGCATTAGTGGTAAATTACAGCCGGTACCCATATTTAATTATCTTTGTGTCATATGCAACAATGACATAGGTTCAGGCAGCATCCTTCTTTTACACTTTGACAATTTACTTGAATATATTTATTATGGAAGAATTCAAGTAGTAGATACTTATATTAACTAGTTTATTTATATTAACGAATATTTTACTTTCAGGGCATTGCAATTCCCACCTGAAGGCTGGCTTAGAATTTCGCTAAGCCATGCATCGATAACGTGGGTCTCCATACTTCCCAATGGCAATGTGGTGCTAAGATCGCTCAGTGATACGGGACATATGGAGCCTAAATACATCACCAGTCGGTAAATAAGGTGCTATATAGGTTTTGATTTTAAAAGTGTTGTAGCTTAGTTATAGCAAATGTAAGAGTAAGTATATGTTCATCCGAAAATTCTTAATTTATAATAAGAAATGAGAAGCCCTTGTCGCCGCAATGAAGTTCTTAGGGCACAATTAGAGTTTGTAATGGATGAGGAATTATCACTCAAAATGTGACGCTATTTCGATTATAATTTTTGTGCTGTTTGGTTAAATAATAGCAATATTAGTTTTGGAAGCGATAAGCCATTCGCCATTTTTAGTCTTATTATGATTTCTATGTTATACATTTCGATTTTATTTAAAAAAATGCTCTTAATTTTTTTTATCTGATCAATTTATAATAAGGTTGTGAGTAGTCATTTCTCGTGTACTTCAACAGGAATTGTATACATGTAAGAGATTTCCGATAAACGAAGGTTATTCAAGTATCAAGATTGGATTTTTTTTATGTTCAAAACGAAAACTTAAATGAAGTGAATCTGTTGTTATAGACTATGGGTGTGAAAATTTTAATATGTACTGGTATAACTTGTACCATTTTCCTGTGTTTGAAACGCATCGTACTGAATTTGTAAAGTTGTCTTGTTTAGCTCCGAGAACTGTCAAAATTTCGGAAATGCTAAGTTATCAGATATCCATAGCCTGGTTATGACAGTGCTTTGTACTTTCCTTCTAGAAACCTAGAAAGCTTGGTAACTAATAAGGACATTCATATCCATATATAGTCATATAATTTCGCCATGCATTTTATCTCGCGATCGTGTTAATTAATACAATATTAGCCATGATCGAAAATTTTGTCACAGTACAGTGTACTGATGATGAACGTCTACATATTAATATGCGAGTAGTATTTAATCAAATATAAATAATCTATTAAATCAAGGGAAAAAGAGACACTAGGCTCGTGTATAACAAATGTTCAAAGTTATGCCTAACGTTAGCAATTGGTTTGAATAATCACTGCCACCATATTTTACTTAGTACTACTACTACTTACTGTAATAAAAGCTATGTATATACATTATATACCCAAAATACCTCAAAATACTTAAAAGTGTACCAATATTTTTATTTATAAGTGTAAAATATATGGTTTGATATTAAACTGGTTTATGTGATTTTTTGTTTTATTGTACATTATTATCCCAATTTGACAATTATAAAAAAAAGTATGCAAACTACTACAGCAAAGTTAACATTGATTTTGCATTACCGTACGTATTGCTCCACGGTAAGTTAATTTTTACACGTTTTTCATACTTAATTTTCTTTGTCTTAAGAAAGCGATTGACCTTTATCCATCAGCGCGAAACAATATTGTATAGGTGAAATCAAATCTGACCTAGGTCTATACGCATGATTAACTTGTTGCTAATATTGCAAATATTTTTACTATTTTTTGAAGGAAATTCAAACAGGTTTATAATTATTTTATAATTAATTTGTGTGTTTTTATAGGTTTATTTTCAATGACTTTAATACAATAATTATTTATATATGTATATAAATTTTAGAACTATTCATACTAATAAAAATCGGATTAGTACATGTTGATTTTTTAATTAAAGAAAATGTGTCTCTCACCATGCTTACCGTCATCGTAGAATGCACGCCCTCAGGGTTGACGGTCCCACACTTGAACCACTTGGCCTATACTAATTAATCCGAAGCTTACGAGTTGAATTCCTGAGGACACACTGCTTCCCTTTTTTCCTAAACCAAAAGATGATGGCAGCAGAAATAAAACACATCCATAAATTGGTCAAAAGTTTATTTACATAAAAGTTAAATGACGTATTGTAAAAGTTATTGAAACCTCTAAGCAGTTAACAAAATATCAATATTAGCTTTTAGTTATTTTATGTTAGATGTTAATTATAATGTAATTGTATAAGTCTACATTTTGACTTGTTAATTTAGTTATGCACTTTACCCTTAGTGTTTCTTTTCCTGACCTTGCCTGGAAGATATCGCTTGTTGCCTCCTTAATAATTTGTTATGTGATTGTAAGTATAAGTACTATTAAAACAACACTCTTAATAAATAAATATGAAAATTGAATCAATATTTACGTCATAACTAAGCTACCACGTCATGTTAGTTGTTCCGCCTATAAAGCATCATAAAATGAACAGTAAGATGACAACTTTTACAAAACGTCTAAAGCATTTAGTAGGTAAAAGAATCAATGATATTTTCTCTTATGTACTAATATGCATTCGTTGTTAAAATTTAATATATTTTAAAATGTATTATGAATTTCATAGATATAATACTAAGCAGGTCTTAAAGATAATATATTCTATACATTTAAATTCTCTTTGATTTTGATATGAGAATAGTATAATATATTTAAAGATTAGTTGTTTTCACAACCGACTCACAACTTGATAATTTAGTGGTAGTTATACGTACGGTCGTGTCTGAATTAATATAGAAAAGTACAATCCACATATACAATATTATGATTATGAATTATAGCAATAAAATTGAGAGAAAATACTACTTTATATTGTATAGTTATTTGGCCTGTATAATACCGATGGTATATAAACTTCTAATAAAGTCAAAGATATAGACAAAACGTTACATAGTTGTAAATTGTTTCATTACCTACAATTTTTATGCAGGCAATCCTAGCCAGCCTAGTTATTGATTAATTGATCAAATATTGAAATTGGTTGAAATGAGAAAGGTAGCTTCGTGTAAACTAAGACAGCAATATATTTTTAACGAAAATACACTCAAGTAATATAAAATAGCTGTCATTTTGATTTTGGAGTAAATATGATTGATATTTCAGTTATAGCCACGCTTTGGTTGGGTTGGGTTCGAGACTAAATATAAATTAAATAGAACGTGCGTTATTTAAATAAAAAATATTCTTGAATAAAGTAACCTGGACATCTTGATTTCCCTGAAATTGGGGGGGAACACCCCAAGTTGGTATGATTGAATTATGTGACCAGTTTCTGTCAGTTCACCAAGCTTTAAAATTATGTATTAACTTTGCTTAACTTAAGAATTTCTCCACTTCATTTACCCCTGCGCTAGGATGGGTGAAGTGAGTTCTAGTTCGCAAATGATTTCATTATTTGAGATGTTCAAATACTGTTTACGTGTGACTTTACATGCCTCCGACAAGATTTCCCTAAAACCCACTGATTTAAAAGCAATTCAAACAAATACGTTTTTTGTAGTATCCGATTTAAAAAGTTTAACTTTATACAGAGTGAAATTCATATGATAGGCATATATTTAAACTTGCACTATAAGAATTTAAAATTACACCAAAGGCCTGGATACAAATATGAAATTTTAAGAAGCGAGAACCGATCTCGGTGATGGCACATCACTGGTTTCCAATATATCATCATCCTCTTCATCATCACACGCGTCTTCTGGCTCACCTAGAGCTCTTACAAATTCTGTAATTTTTTAAAGCTATATCTATGGGATTGTTACACAAAAATATTTTATAAGTAAACTAGCCCTAGATAGCGTAATAATATCCCAGTAGTGTAATTGGCGCGTTTAAATAAACAAAGAAATCTTTTTCATACGGATTTATTTGTAAAGTTGGCCCCTGTATATTTAATATTACAGTTTCAATTTAGGGATCTAAATCGCAATTCGGAATTACAGCTAATGTTAATGTGACAAGATTCCAGAAAGAAACATAGGTACTTAATACAAGTATCGACTAAATTCTGGTTTAGTCTATAAAAGGAGGTTTAGTAAGTTGAGATTTTATTTAAAAATCCATCTGCTTCAGGTTCAGAAACTCATGTACACAAAGAATAACATAAAAGCGCCACTTACGAATCATCAGCATTTATAAATAGTCATACTAGATAAATTAATGTTAAATAAACTTTTGAATACCTTTATCGAAGTGCACTTTGTGACTTACCCAAGAAATCTATCCGACCGTCGCCATCAGAATCAACTTCTTTAATCATATCTTCGACTGAAAATAAACATAAGATTAAATCTAATATAAAATAGCACGAAATAAAAATTTAAAGATGTAAGATTTTTAATATTTACAAAACGAATAGTGTTAAGACAAATACTCACTCTCCTCCTCAGACAAGTCTTCACCTAAACATTGCAAAACGGCTCTCAAATCTGAAGCGCATATGTACCCTCTATTATGCTTATCGAAGACTCTGAATGCATCTCTGAGTTCCCTCTCTTCTTGTTCGGCAGAACTCGTGTTTCCACCAGCACCAGACATGGATTTTGATAGAATGTTCACAAATTCTTCGAAACTTACATTGCCGTCGCCTATAATCGAATACGTATTTATTTTCGTTTTAAAATTAGTTTATTTTTAGTAATGGACTATGGTTAATGAATAATATCTTTTTTTTTCAAATTTTTCTAGAGTTTCGTTAGTAAGAAAATATGCCCAGATTCTGATTGCCTAGAGTTACATATACGTAAGATAGGTACTGAGCATTGTTGGTCTAGTCACTAGACTCTAGTGGTTTCAGCGTGCGACCCTCATTCCTTGGGTTGTAGGTTCCATCCCCGGCTATGCACCAATAGACTTTCTGTCTCTGTGCGCATTTAACTCTCGCTCGTACGTACAGTGAAGGAAAACATCGTGACAAAACCAATATGAAAAAGGTGACGATGTGTGTCAGATACAGAAGGTTGATCACCTGCTTGCCTATTACAAATGATCACCGAACAGATACACAAATCTAAGGCCCCAGACCTATAAAGTTGTAGCTCCAATGGTATGGTATATGTAATTACAAATTAAAGGCTTCTAACTCAAAAAATGTACAGGTCGATCTGTAAATCTCTTTCTTGGTATTTTTGAAGTCGGTAAAAATAACAACCCGATACTAATTATAAATTTATAGGCTAGTCGATCTAGATATAAGTTTAATTATCTGTAACTCAAAGTTGGAACACATTCACCGCAACATCCTGCAAGTCCTCGAACTTGTGTATACGTCCTAAGTATAATTTACTTTCTAAATTCTTTGCCTTGTTATTATAACATACATAATATACATTTAATATTTACCTCAAGCACGAAACCACCAAGTAAAAAAGTTAGAAAAGGCGCTTGACCGCCCATGTGTATTAACAAACGATTGTTTTCTAATCTATACCAAAAATCATCAAGTGCTCTACGGTTTATATTTAATAGCATAATGAGAATAAGGTATAGAACATACCGTCGCTATCCACCTCCTGCAGCATATCCTGTAACTCCTCAACACGCGCAAATTGTCCGAGGCTACGCATCACCCGCCCTAACTCCTCTTTGGTAATCGTCCCGTCGCCATCTTTGTCAAAAAGACGAAAGGCTTCGCGGAATTCTAAATAAATAGAAAAGGTATTTAGTGTATTATAAAAAGAATGATCACTATGAATATGATGTATTTGCAAGATTTAAAAGTAATGAACTCCAAAGTGCTTTGAGCAAACGTATAAAATAGGATTCTCTATGGTCAATTCTAGTACTTATGTGATCTTCATTTGTTAACACAACTATGAATATTATCGTAAGTAACAGAGCTGAACAAGTAAACATATTTTAAAAATAATAACAACAGTCTACTTGTTATATTATTGCAAATTATTAAACTCTATAAAAATTAAATAGGTTTGAAGGTGCTTCTCACCTTTCATTTGCGTGCGAGTGATACCAGTTGTCTCATCAATGATTGATGCTTTTCTATCAAGTGCAGTGTTTGCCGCTGGCTTTAGGAAACTCACTTGCCTCTGCGAAGGCGGCGAGATTGATCGCATTGATGTTTGACTGCAAATTATATTTTTTAAGAATTAATAATTACAAAACTGTGTAGGGAGGCCTGTGAATGGATACACAATAAAAATATAATTATATAAAACAAAAAGCATAGCAACATTAGTAAGATCATAGATAACAAAGAGGGAACTAAAGTCATAATTGCCTTCGTCTCACTGTAATCTAAGCTCAATATAAATAATTTATTAGCTTGCTACAGGAAAAATTACACTAAGAGTCGGTAGGACAGTTTTTTCGCAATCACTCATATAGGGGTGGTGCCGAGTAAGTAATACCTAAGTCTTCTACCCAGATGTCTTGAATTATGCAAGCGTATAAATTTTAAAGAAAAGTAGTAAATAAGTAAAGTCTTAAACGTATAGGAAAAATGAATACTGCAAAAAAAAATATTTAAAAAAAAATTAAAAAACTTGTTAAATTTTCAAAATTGTTTCGGAAGAAATTACTAACGAGCCTTAAATCAATTTAATTATAATTGTTATTTATTTAAATAGGTAACTATCATCCACTCTTTTTTAATCGCCATATTTCGTCATTGTCATCGCCAAGAATGTAGGAGCTATTACAATTATGTTATTACAAAATTTATAACTTTACGGAGGGGGACCCAAATTACAGAGTGGGGGGGTAATTTTAGTGATTATATTTACTGTATTGTTATAACAGGCCGATTATTGAGCGGGTAGTTGCAGCCCGCATTGTAAAACACGGGCACCTGCAACGCACGGGCTGGACTTGGCCGATCCTGAAATCGGATACCGGCGCGCCCGGTTTACCATCGCCGCCGTTGCAAGACCAGCTCCAATACCAGAGCCGATTGCGAGGAGGAGTGATGCTGTTGTCATTAGTCATCGCAAACGCTTTTAATACGCATTTAATACTACGATGACGTTCCAGTATATCTCCGGTGCATGGTAAGGTTTTACCTTTCGGCCCGAACCGTCAGTTACTCGGGTCAGGAAGGTTGGAACGAGCATGGGGAACATTTGATAAAACTGCGTGCTTCGTGGCTCACTGCTGCAAGGCGTCAGCCTAATAGGTATGTTATGTCGACGACAAACTTATTATGGCAAAAGGTCGAACATACAGAGAAGCTTGAATCTCCGCAACGGCGGGGGAGGCACAGGTTGTGGCGCAAATAAGGCGCATTGGCCTCCAAGTCGCCCTCGAAAAATCAGGGGAAGGTCTGTTTCCACGGTCCAAGACCTCCTCGGTCCTCCTGACGGTACACAATTGATCGTATGTGGTGTGCCCATAAGAGTATGCATCACCTCAAAGTACTTATCTCGGAATTGTCCTCGAATCTCGATGGACATTTAAGGATCCCTTCGCGAATAAAGTGATAACCACCGCTCATGGACACTTGCATGGGGGCTAGCGGTTGTGTTGCCGACCTTTCAGGGAATGATAAGCTCAAAGAGGAGACTCTTTGAAGGCCCCCAAGTCATATTTGCTCTTGATAAACAATATATTTAAACGAAAATACATGAAAGGTGAAATGGGTTTATTAATTTATTACAGTTTACGTTTCGCGTGCTTTTCTGTCTCCAACCTCTCCAGACTTAACACGTTCGATACAATCCGGAAAAGTTATATATAAGTACAACGAAAATGTAACAAATGCAAAAAAAATTAATCACATCTACATTATGTATGGTTTTTTTTAATGGCTTTTATTTGTGCCTATGTATGGTTAAATACACTTCATAGTTGACACTGTAGTTAAACATACCTTTCCGAAGGGCTGACAGCGAGATTAACCGTAGGTGGTCCTCGATTGTCATCTGGCGGTCCTGGTTCAGTATTGGTTGTTTGTCGAGTCTAATAAATTAAAAGTTAATTATAGAATATTTAAAATAAAATTATTCGTCCAAAATATAAATCAAAAATAGGCCTTGACCTTAATTCCAATTTATAAAAGATTTTCGATTGTACATATACAGAATGATTTTAACATTGTTTTCTAGTTTTAATAAATAAATGTTTCATTAATTATAATTAGCTAAGCCTTGTCTTATTATTTGTTTGAAAATTTCTGCGATCCTTATACGTGGCACTACAAATAAAGCGAAATATTTACCATAATGCCTTTGAGCTGATTCACCAAAGGCGAATCAGCGAAGAAATTGTTCACTGCGGAGAATATGTTTGCACTCTTAGTCGACGTTTCACGGCAGGCGCTCGGTCGCCCGCCAAATGATCCTTTTAGAAATGGAAAACGATCGAATAAAGACAGCTTCTTTAAATATTCGATTTTTAAGTTTAAATGAAAAAACTCAGACAATACAAACTAAACTAAACAGTATCATATTAAAGAATTTCGGCCTCGATCTGCATGCGCTTGGAGGTAGGTACAGTCTAGTTACACAAATACGAGTATATTATTATGTTGCTTATCTAAAAAAACCTAAAAAACATTTCGTAAACCTTACACAAATGTAAAGGAAGGTTTAGGTTTATGTTGTACATATATATTGGTATATGTTCAAAATTATTTATATATTGTATTTTTTCAGTATCTCAATCTTAATTAAAAAACCTTAGCGAGTTAATCTTAGAGTAGGTTTAGACTTGATACTAAGAAGTTATGGATTAATGTTGAATATTTTAACAAGAAATACACTAATAAACTTAAATATACAGAATATAGTTAAGATAGGAACAAAGAGCATTTCTGAAGACCACTGCAACAATTCGTTGATTTCTAAAGCGCAGTTATGCATGTTTTAAAAGGTTCCTAAGAATTTACGATGGAACAACTAAAATATATTATTCGATGCGCTCCGATAGATATCATTCATATAAAATTATAACATATGGTTAATTACCAATTACTAAATCCTGTAGCGTTGAAAGTGAAACTTAGATGAGTATATTAGATTAGGTAGAGATATACATCACAATGTAAAACTCTCTCATTAATTCAAATGTTTCTGTGATTTGCAGTGCATCGACTATTAAAAAAAAACGTAATTCGTTTCCTATACTAACAATAGGTATCTGTGCTAGTAAATAAAAGATTTATATCTCAAGACATATTAACAAAAAAAAAATAGTAATACAAAGTCCTATTTGAATCATACCTGTTGGTGTATTTGTATCTTGTGGCATTCGCCTACCAAGGCACAGTGCATTCATGAGGCACCTCACAAGAACTAAATGGATGCTGGTCCCAGAGATGAGATGTGACCCCAGATTTTGATTTTCTACCGCGCATGCGTACAACCATCGACTTTAGGTTGGTAAGTAACTATTCTTTATAACTACAAATAGATACACTCCTCTATTCTTCATCTGTTTTGTCGTTGACTGAACATTTACTGTAACATTGCAGTAGGACTAGGTAAGGTCAAGCCTGGTCATTATAGTAGTATAGTAGTATTTTATTTTTGGTTTATTAAACAATGAAATAAATTAAGAATACTATCTATATATCTAGTTTAAGGTAACTGTCGGAACTTTTACTTGCTTCAGGAGCTAAGCTTTGCTTGGATATGCAATTACCGTTGGAAATGTAAACTGTTAAATAAAAACCTACGTAACAAATTTAAGTCGGTTAAAAATATTTAATGTTTATTTAGTCATGTGTTTCCGCCATAAAAAAATATAGCTTTATTATTTCTCAGAGCTAAGCAGGATATAAAACCAAGGAGAAACTCAATTTGTTCAATTAAATAACTGTAATGAAATTTATTACCATAATACAAGGTAATCTAATATTGATATTGGATTATAGTTTCTTTCAGTTAGTGAATGTCTATGAAAAGAAGAGTTTAAATCACATAGCCAAAGTGAATCTGTAATCTATGGCTTAATAACACGTCACTGTTAAATGACAATTGTGTGGTGTTGCTATAACTCTAAAATATAACAAAAATCGGGGTGATTATTTTAAAGCTTATTTGGTATGTAGGGTTTATTCCGGATACTAGGTTCCTTGAGACGTCTTTTATTAATTGATTATAAAAAATTCTTCAAATTATTTTAGTATGATTGATGTCAATGGGTCATCATTTTTATAACATTTCGTAATTTGAATTTGTGATATTTTTTTGAATGAAAATATTTCATGAATTCTAGGTAAAAATCCTCTGAAAAATGGCAATATATTTCAGTTTTCGATGATGATTGTTAAAGAGTGCTGTGTTATGCCATAGAATTTTTTTATATTTAGTTTCTGTGTTTAAATAGCAGTTGTATTAGAGAGCAACAACACAATTTTGATATAATTTAATAAGTGAATTGGTTTGTTGATGTGAGTATATTTTTATAGTTTCTTTATTTTTTGTTAGGTTAGAAATTGCATCAATAACTGCTGACTGTTCAGAATGAGACTTCTAATTTATTAGGCTTATTTTATTAGGGGCTGACAGCGGCTTATATAGCATTTCATAATTAATTTCCTATTTATGTGAATAGCAACTATTCAAATAATTTGAACAATCATCAATAGATACACATCAGCGAAGTGTATAAAATCGATATCGAAAGGGTAATTTTAATTATTACTGAGTGGTGGCTTACGTTAAGAGCCCATTCTTGATATGTATATTATTTAATCAATTTATGTCTTATTTACCATAGAATATTCTCTATCTCAAATTTGTTTTAAGTATATTTTTATTTACTTAATCCAATAAGTTGTTGCTTTTGTGATGCATATGCAAACTACACCCAGGAAAAAGTGCTAAGACTATAAAGAATGAGGATACATAAATAGCTTAAGCTTAGTGGATTTGGAAAGAAATAATGACAAAACTAGCCAGCACTCGTCGGGCACGTAACCAAGCTGCATCCTTAGCTATACCCCGCCAAAACTCTGTTTCTGACAATGGCAAGGTGCGTCAAAACCTCAGTCCAGAAGCTCTAGCATCTATGAGCAAGGATCAACTTCGAGCAGAATGTAGGAAACGTGGCCAACGGACTTCAGGCAACAAAAATGAGCTGGTATATTATCAGTTGTATGTTGATGTGTGAATTTATTTGCTTGTTATGTCTTTTTGTTTAAGTTTTGTTTCACAAAAGCATTGCTTGAGATTATGATTTTGTGTAATTATTAGGTAGAAACCTTTGTGTGTTTTAATTCACAAGTCTTAATATACAAAAGACATTCAAATTTTAGCAAGGATCAAAATTATCTCTCAACTTCTACAGCAGATAAGTAATGTTGCAATATATTGAAATAGGTCATGATGCATTTCAGTCACCTGTGTGAACAAGAAAATATTGCTAGTAGCTAACATTTTTCAACAACACATCAGTTAATAGTTTATTTGTACAATTTTAGTAAAAGTTGAAATTAATAAAAACATGATGATTAATAATTAGCTATGCATTTGAACTATATTAATTAATCAATTTAAATTATAATTAATTAGTCATATTATAAATTTAAACTATTAATATTAAAATGTTTAAACTTATATGCAATGACAGAGTAATTATTATGGAAATACCTGGATAAATTTAATTTGTAGACTTGTTTCAAATATTTAAAAAAATAATGGGCTAGAGTAAGTGGTACACAAGTTTGTAAGTGAAATGAGGCCAAAACATTTATCAAGTATCTTCAATTTATTACATTGATTTATTCATTATTTTTTTCAATTGATCAACTGATTACATTCAAACAGCGCCTTGTCATTTATTATCTCCTATTTTGGCTTACTTAGTTGATTAGGTCAATATTTTATGACTGTTATTTGTAGATACTAGACTGATTAGTCTGCATGTGTAAAGTAAGACTAATATGTGCTTGCTGCTTTGCTTGCTAAATCTAATATATATCTTCTTTGTGTTTTTTTTTATTGCGATTAGTCAAAAGCCTCTTTATTCCAATTATTGATAGGCAAGAAATTCCATAGTGTTATTTAAATTTTAAAATTACGGTGGTAAAATGATAAAGTGAAGAGTTCAATGCCCTAAAAAGCTCCAAAAATCAAATGAATATGTTTCTATATACATTAGATTTTTGGAGTTACATTGGGTACGCGATTTGCTCTAATAACTTTGTTGACGTCGTTTAACCGGCTGCGGCTAATGGAATGAAAAATTGGCTTACGTTAGCGGAAGAGCCTTAAAGTCATACTTGAATAGAAACTGAAAACTACAACTACTCATATGAGTAAATAACATAATTTACATACGTTTTTATAAGTACTAGCTTAATGACAAAACAGTAAGATAGATGCAGTTTTTATAAGGGATATACACTTATGTAATACAATAACAACGAGAATTGAAAGTAAAACGGAAGGTGAAAGTTCTAAGACGTCTAACTCAAGCCTATAGTGGGCAGAGTTTCAATTATGACGTACCTATTATAGTCGGTCTGTTGAAAATAATTTTTGGTAAAAGAAGAAACAGACAAAATTTACAATTTATATTTTTTTGTAAATTCAATGCCTACAGAGATTATTTAAAATATCACAACACAGCACATCTCTGGTGGTTATTCAGATTCTTATATGACCTCAATAAAAAATGCTACCTGAAACAAAGGAAACAATAGAATATGTGTGTGATGTGACTTACGAGATTTATTCCAAAGTGTGTACGTTGTACGTAATTACTCACACACAGGTCACTGGCTGCGCTCAGCGCTGGCACATACCGCACGCGACGATCACGCCACTTTATTTTTGCATATTAAGACTCGGTCTGTAACTTTTTATTTCAGTAATCCATTAAGACTGAAAAGAATTGTTTTTATTTGAAATTAATTAAAGAGATATAATAAAACATATAATAGTTAACTTGTCTTATTTTAATGTCTACCTCTGGAAAGTATCCTAAACCTAATCCGGGTCTGACAAAAAACAAGAAATACTGAAAGAGATTCAAACCGAAAAATAATAATTTTTTGTAAGATTCAAAACTGAGCTTGAATTAATCAACATATACGAAAACAAATACCACACAATCATCTTTCAAAATGTTTGAACTTGTGAAACCTGATATGTTGCACATATGAACCTGTATATTAATGTATCAATAATATAAATAAAAATCACTTTATATCCTTACGATTCAATTGTAGTGATGTTACATTGTTATTAAACGGGAAACAAAGGCGCGTTGATTGCGCGTTGGAGTATTGCCACAACAATCAGCTGTTTGCAATTCGTTACCTACGATGATAGCATAATTAGTGTCGTCTTGTATCGCTAGCTTTTAACTCTAGTTCCTATCCTCGGCCATTGGTTTATCATTAACTATTTATATGAATGTGTTGTGTGACATGTTCAGAATGGCTTTCTTCTCTAAACGAGAACCTTGCAAAATATTTTTTTTTGGTCAATTTCTCGCGAACTTTAGATGCCAAATCTTTCTCCGAGCAATTGTCATGAAAGTGTGACTACGGTCCTCAAATGAGAGTGAGCGTTGTTGCATTTTTGGAAAGTGAAATGCTATTTTGTATTCGTGATGTATTCGTCAGTTCCGACGACGGTTGCGAGGTAACCAGTCCAGTATAAGATTTCTTGTGATAAGTGATATACTCTTGTAAGTATACATTACTGATAACAATTTTGTTGATATTGCAGATTTATGCTGAAGAGCAATTTTTAGCCCCAATTTCTCATACAGACTTTCCGGGTAGTTAAAAAAATTATTCAATTCTGATTATTACTTAAAATACATTAAATTAACTAAGTACTTCAAAGTGTTAATGGGCTAATGAGGTCCATGTAATATTTACTGAATTGTTTATAAAATTAATTATTTAGTATAAAAATGTTATATATTATGTATTTTAATAAATTATCATATGTATTTGGTCGCTTAAATTGAGCAATTGATGATATTTGTCAGATCTTTTATAAGTTCATTTTATTTCTACCTTGACGACTCGAGACTAAGGTCAATGCTCTTTACATGAGAACTACATATTTTTTTGAATAGAACATTAATCATCACCACTACCAAATATTGTTTCATCAATTTATACTTCACGCTTTGTCAATTCATTTTGCATGTAGTGTAGAATATTGTCACGATTTCCTACCAATTACTCGTAAATGTACCTATTATGTGTAATTGTCAGATGTTTCTAAATAAAATTTTATTTCATGCACAGAAATTTAATAGGTAGTTTTTACAAAGGTAAGAGTCAGAATTTTAGTAAAATGGTTTATTTGATCCGAGACTACCTCATATTAAGATAAAAACTGTTACACCGTGTTAACAAAGAATCATCAATCAAGTATCTCTTGTTAGCGAAAGGAAACAAATGAGTACTTTCGTGTACTTAATTATTGTATTAATTGAATTGAATTTAAATTTTTATATTTCTATGAATTTGAATAGAACTGAACCTATGTTATATGTTTAACGTTAAATCAAGGTTGATCTATACATTACGTTTTGCGTTAATTTTTCTTGTGCTATCTTATTTTTTAATATTATATCAATTCCACAGTTTGGAGTCTCGACACAAGATAATTTACTCATATTTAAACAGGTGCTCAGTATAAGCGTAATAATAATGGAAATTCTCGAATTTCTGGCTTTCGATACACCGGCTGCCGAATCCACGGCTTTCCATCCATGGTTACAATAAATTCATAGTCCATTTAATACATTTTTTCTAGCTCGCCCGCTTAGGGTACTACAAGCTGGCGGCTGCAGTGCAAACAGATACGGAGCAAATACAGCGTCCACGCAACGGGCTGCATCACGCGCCTTCGAAAGAGATTAAGTACGTAGTTAAAATATTACCTTTGACTTTGTACTCAAGTCTAAAGTCTTAAGTATTTCTAGACTTACCCTTATTTAAACGATTACATCCTCAAAAAACTAACGAATATTTTGATTATATCACTAAATCATAAGTAAATTTTATTTAACTGACGCTTGAATGTGGGAATATTTGACTAAGTTTAAATATCTTCCATCGTCTTTATTGTCACATTAGAAAAATCTTTTTGATATGTATTTTATGGCGTGTAGCTTGTCGAACTTATCGAAGAAACTGGATTTCGGGTAGGAAACTACAATAGTCGTGCAGTGATTTACCCTATACTTTTTTGTTTCATGCACTGAAAGACTGAAACGACTTCACTGTTCACATATAACTAAATATTCGCTTATGAAAGTTAATTCACACGATTAACATTTTAAAATAGTGCCTGCTCCATCGTAGGTATTGTTTGTCCTCAAATCGGGAACACGCCCCTAATTGCTCTCTCGTAAAACAATGAAAATATTTTTCATATGCTATATAAACATATATAACGCTTGTAAAAATACAAAAGCTATTAGACACGGACATTACTGCGGTAGTTTTATTATTTTTCTCACATGTGCAGGATACACGGCAGACATATTTATGGACCAGATTTATCTATAATTTAATCGATATTATAATGATTTTACGCAGATTATATTGTCAGCCGGGCTTTTTCAATATTTTCTTTTTCCTCGGAAATTTATACTATTTATTATGTAACCATCGATTAAAGATCTAATAAATCCGCATTGTCCGTATAAAGGGAAAACATTCGCGAATAATAGAAATAGTAGTACTGCATTTAGCTCTTCCTAAACTCTGATACAATGGTATTATGTATATATATATATACCGAGAATGTACGGTACAATGATTTTGTGAATTTTATATTATTTCAGAACTAAAGCAGCCCCTATGGATACCGACAGTTTAGTGCTATGGAGGAGACCACTCACAACTTTGGAGTACTTTTTTCGGGAACTATTTATATTATGCTCAACGGGTTTACGAAGGTATATCTTATGTATTCTTTTATAACTTTGACGTATAGGGAAAGCTTTGGAACTAGTAAGGTAAGTAACCTTACTAATTCCGAGGCTGGACACCAAATAAATATATGTAGTTGAATGAGTTAAAGGAATTTGTTGAATTTTATTTGTAAATGTTTCTAAAAAGTTTTGAGTGACCCAAATGATTATTGTTTTTAAAGTTTGGGGTTTGGAGTTTTTTTTTAACAAAAGCTTAAATGTTATCTAATAATTATTGATATAATTAATTAATTGATGAATTCGATTATTTGACTTTATTTATCAATCGTGGTTAAAATAGTAACGTTTTAAAACATTTTTACTTAGTTTCTGCGGAGTGGTAAGAATTATCACTGAAATTAGATTTTTATTGCATTCTGAGTTACCAGTATATGAATTTATAAAATAAATGGGGCTACAGCATCGTTGTCCAAATGTGATGATTTTATTAACTTGAAAGTTGCATTCTGTGTAATTTGAATTTTCCGGGCTGTCGTATTAAAAGCATTTAGATACATTAATTGTCTTAAACGATAAGACAATACGCCTTTCTTATTAATCTAATAAGTGAAAATTAACTATCTATTTATTTATTTTTCAGACTGTTCGCGTACAAGGGATTAGTAGTATCACTAATCGTTCTAGTCTGCGGTGTCGCCGCCTCATTTTATGTTGATGGTCCTCATCAGCCCTTTGTGCAGGTATTTCTTACCCTGTTAGTTAGTTTCAAAGTACCTTACCATAGACATAATGTGTGACTAAAATATGATATATCTATAATTGATTTTGTAAACTAACAATTATTATTTCGTCAATTGTATAACAGTAATGACCAAATCCTTGTGAACCGGGTTCTCGTTGCCTAACCGACAATTTCAATTGAACACTTAATTCATACTCTTGAATTTTGGTACAACGCTTAAACGTATGTAAATATATTATTAAAAATATCGCCAAACATCTAAACAATAGCTATAGACAGAAATGAGTAAGAGTAGAATTTTTCGTTAAAAACCAAAACTTATTCGGGAATTACTTGATATTAATATTTTTTACTTTAATAAACAAAGTCTGACACAACTTTATGTCTGCTCCGTTAACCAATGAACTAATAGTACGGGAGGTAGCAACGTTTGAAAAGAAATAATTTTAGGTCAGCTGATTTTGTGATATGTCTTCCTTCTTGCACTTTCGGTTAGAGTCTGGGCAATCTGGCTGGCGGTAGCGGTTGCGTTCATTAGTGCGCATCCTATCTGTCCGGTAATAATCCTGGATTTTAAAAGCATTTTAAGAAGCGTAATTTTTAATTTTTCGTTTTAAAATAAGTCTACCTGACATACTTTTTTTATTGCCAGACATTTTTCACATTGCTAACTATGTGCCAGACGCGATTTTAAGTTTTTTTTTATAAAAATTTCAAAGTATTTTAGAATGTCTGTAATTTTAATATTATGTTCTTTAAATATAAGAAAAACTAAAAATGAATTTGCCAGACATTAATTCGGTTGTTAAGTCTTGAATTAAAATGAAAAAGTATTGCAGTATGATGAAGCATTGCATTTTAAGAAGCGCAATTTTTAATTTTTCCTTTTTAAATAAGTCTACCTGACATACTTTTTTTATTGCCAGATATTTTTCACATTGCTAACTATGTGCCAGACGCGATTTTAAGTTTTTTTTTATAAAAATTTCAAAGTATTTTAGAATGTCTGTAATTTTAATATTATGTTCTTTAAATATAAGAAAAACTAAAAATGAATTTGCCAGACATTAATTCGGTTGTTAAGTCTTGAATTAAAATGAAAAAGTATTGCAGTATGATGAAGCGTTGCATTTTAAGAAGCGCAATTTTTAATTTTTCCTTTTTAAATAAGTCTACCTGACATACTTTTTTATTGCCAGATATTTTTCACATTGCTAACTATGTGCCAGACGCGATTTTAAGTTTTTTTTTATAAAAATTTCAAAGTATTTTAGAATGTCTGTAATTTTAATATTATGTTCTTTAAATATAAGAAAAACTAAAAATGAATTTGCCAGACATTAATTCGGTTGTTAAGTCTTGAATTAAAATGAAAAAGTAATGCAGTATGATGAAGCGTTGCATTTTAAGAAGCGCAATTTTAATTTTTCCTTTTTAAATAAGTCTACCTGACATACTTTTTTTATTGCCAGATATTTTTCACATTGCTAACTATGTGCCAGACGCGATTTTAAGTTTTTTTTTTATAAAAATTTCAAAGTATTTTAGAATGTCTGTAATTTTAATATTATGTTCTTTAAATATAAGAAAAACTAAAAATGAATTTGCCAGACATTAATTCGGTTGTTAAGTCTTGAATTAAAATGAAAAAGTATTGCAGTATGATGAAGCGTTGCATTTTAAGAAGCGCAATTTTTAATTTTTCCTTTTTAAATAAGTCTACCTGACATACTTTTTTTATTGCCAGACATTTTTCACATTGCTAAATATGTGCCAGACCCGATTTTAAGTTTTTTTTATAAAAAATTCAAAGTATTTTAGAATGTCTGTGATTTTAATATTATGTTCTTTAAATATAAGAAAAACTAAAAATGAATTTGCTAGACTGACATTCGGTTGTTAAGTCTTCAAAAATAACGCTTCCTCAAATGCAATGCTTCATCATACTGCAATAGTTTTTCATTTTAATTCAAGGCTTAACAATCGAATTTATGGCTGGCAAATTCATTTTTAGTTTTTCTTATATTTAAATAACATAATATTAAAATTACAGACATTCTAAAATACTTTGAAATGTTTATAAAAAAAACTTAAAATCGCGTCTGGCACATAGTTAGCAATGTGAAAAATGTCTGGCAATAAAAAAGTATGTCAGGTAGACTTATTTAAAAAGGAAAATTAAAAATTGCGCTTCTTAAAATGCAACGCTTCATCATACTGCAATACTTTTTCATTTTAATTCAAGACTTAACAACCGAATTAATGTCTGGCAAATTCATTTTTAGTTTTTCTTATATTTAAAGAACATAATATTAAAATTACAGACATTCTAAAATACTTTGAAATTTTTATAAAAAAAACTTAAAATCGCGTCTGGCACATAGTTAGCAATGTGAAAAATATCTGGCAATAAAAAAGTATGTCAGATAGACTTATTTAAAAAGGAAAAATTAAAAATTGCGCTTCTTAAAATGCAACGCTTCATCATACTGCAATACTTTTTCATTTTAATTCAAGACTTAACAACCGAATTAATGTCTGGCAAATTCATTTTTAGTTTTTCTTATATTTAAAGAACATAATATTAAAATTACAGACATTCTAAAATACTTTGAAATTTTTATAAAAAAAAACTTAAAATCGCGTCTGGCACATAGTTTGTGAAAAATGTCTGGCAATAAAAAAAGTATGTCAGGTAGACTTATTTAAAAAGGAAAAATTAAAAATTGCGCTTCTTATAATGCAACGCTTCATCATACTGCAATACTTTTTCATTTTAATTCAAGACTTAACAACCGAATTAATGTCTGGCAAATTCATTTTTAGTTTTTCTTATATTTAAAGAACATAATATTAAAATTACAGACATTCTAAAATACTTTGAAATTTTTATAAAAAAAAACTTAAAATCGCGTCTGGCACATAGTTAGCAATGTGAAAAATGTCTGGCAATAAAAAAAGTATGTCAGGTAGACTTATTTAAAAAGGAAAAATTAAAAATTACGCTTCTTAAAATGCTTTTAAAATCCAGGATATTACCTGGACTGATAGGATGCGCACTAAAGAACGCAACCGCTACCGCCAGCCAGATTGCCATGACTCTAACCGAAAGTGCAAGAAGGAAGACATATCACAAAATCAGCTGACCTAAAATTCTTTCTCGAAAACGTTGCTACCTCCCGTACTATAAGTTAAACACGATTCTATTTCTAAGCAATTATATACACTTTAAAATCTGTTCGGAAACTAATATCATTCGTATTTGCTACGCGTCATTTAATATACAAATCAATTACAATCAATAATTTTTTTCATATTAAGTTTGAGATTGTCGAAATAACGTAATATTATTTTCAATATAACAAATGGCAATTTAGGACAGCTGCGACCTAATATCCTACGGTGACTGAATATTGTGACTTGTACACATATGATTTTTTGAAAGTTATTTTAAATATTTATTAATATTGCCAGGAGGCAATGCTGACCCTCGCTTGGTGGGGCTGGTGGGTGGTACTCGGAGTTTGCAGCTCAGTAGGTCTCGGTACAGGCCTACACACATTCCTCCTATACTTGGGCCCGCATATAGCACGCGTAACACTTGCCGCGTACGAGTGCGGTGGACTTAATTTTCCTTCGCCACCATATCCCAATGAGTAAGTATAATTTACCAGATTTAAGCGCTTTTATTTATCTTAATTTTAATTTCTGGTTATTGATAAGCTGTAATATGTACTATGTATACATAGGTGTACTTTGAACTGTAGAGAACTAAGATCGAAATTCAAATATACTTTTATATTCCCTTCACAATATTTTAAACTTTTTTTTTCTTTTTATGGCTCTGGTACGGTTTGTGCATTAGCTATTATAAAACTTAAATACCGAAAAATCTTTTGTAATAAACAAAGCTAAAGATAATGCCTTAAAATTCTTTATATTTTATACCCAAAGCACTTGTGGTAACTGTTTGTAATCATTATCAATACTTTTAGATAGTTAATTCATATTGTTTCCCCAGTATAATATGTCCGACGGAGATTGACCCCCAATACACTGTGTCGATATGGAACATAATGGCCAAGGTTCGAATAGAGTCTATGATGTGGGGTATGGGGACAGCGTTGGGGGAGTTGCCCCCGTACTTTATGGCCCGAGCTGCTCGGTTATCAGGGGGTGGAGTCGCTGAACTTACAGCTGATGACGATTCCAAAACTGGCAGGTATTGATAATTTTTTATGGTTCAAAGTTGCGAAAATGTTTATACTTAATGTAATCATCCCGAAACAGATATTTATAATAATTGATGTAGCGGTTTCATATGGGCTAACTACGCCCCCTTTACTTACCGCCGTTACTTTAAATCGATGTCGTGTAGTGCGCAGAGGAACTAACTACGCATGCGCCGCCATGTTGTTGTATGAGTGAGCGGGATTTGTGTTTGCGCACCGTGTGTCGATCTCGCGTATTTTTTCACAGTTATTGGTTCCATTTTATTTTAACCCACTCTGTAGCGAAAGCTAGCCGTCGGAACAAGCGTCCAATCTGGGGTCCATTAGGTTAAATTAATTAAAAGTCATGCTAAATAAATAAAAATTATGTGTAAGGGAAAAATTCGTGAAATAAATAAATAAGATCATAGACATAAAGGCATTTTTTAGAAAGTCTGTTTAAACAATTATAGTATAATCTTTGGACATATTTTCGTTGTGATCAGTAATCTGTTTTTCTCTCAACAACATGAATAATTAAATGCACTTCTCGGTTTTCAGGGCAAAAGTAATGATCCAAAAACTGGTACAACGGGTTGGTTTCGCTGGTATACTTGCGTGTGCGTCTATACCAAACCCATTATTTGACTTGGCCGGTCTCACGTGTGGACATTTTCTCGTACCATTCTGGACTTTCTTCGGGGCGACGCTTTTGGGCAAAGCAGTAATCAAAATGCATATACAGAAGATGTTTGTGATAATTGCGTTTAATGAAACGCTGGTCGGGTGAGTTTTTTCTATTATAAAGGTTTTTCACCCTGGAGCTCAGCAGCATTGACTGAGCTAATATTATTGTGGTAGATATTCCTAATGAGGAATATCTCCACCCGCAAATCCTCCTACAAATCATCTGCTCATAGTCAGAAGACTGATTGCACGATACGCTCTATAAAAAAATAATAAAAATAAAGCTTTTTAAAATTATGCTATTCGCGTGGCTATTCAATGATTGGTGCCTTTATCGCATACGGCTTTGTCCCACGGCCTTTTCTAACACAAATATGCATGGAAAAATATCGATTTACATTATTTACAAAAAATATAGCATGGATTAAATTTATATATTAAAGAATTTATTTATTTGGTTGAGTAAAAATGAATGAATGTTTCCTTTTTTCAGCCAAGTTCTCCAATGGGTAGAACGGATACCGTACATCGGGCCCAAACTGGAGGCTCCCTTACTGGAGTTCCTCAGGAACCAAAGAGCTAGATTACACAAAAATTCATCACAGACTGACAATCAAGGCTCAGTCCTCTCTATGTTATTAGAAAAGTTTGTTCTAGCTATGGTTCTATACTTTGTGGTGTCTATAGTGAATGCACTCGCACAGAACTACAGCAAACGCTCCGCAAAGAAAAAGGGCAAGAAGAAGGATTAGGGTTTGAAGGCCGCCGAAGCGGTCGGACTCGGTAAGAATTGAAACATCATTAGAAAATATATTCTAAACACTTTTCGTTGAACGATACATAAGAGTATTTTTTTAGCACGGCGGAGGACAGACAAGACTCAACGGCATCGGTAGTACATTATGATGCTTTATACTCTGTTAATCGGATTCAAAGTCGAGCTTTAGTAAGTATGGCTCCCGTACGCCAAATTAATTTCGTTTTTGAAACTCGATTCTGAATCTGTGGTATGATTAACTCCAATACCATAGACTACGCCGAGCATAGACTGTAGAGGCTATTATTTAATATTCGAACTTACTTAGAAAATGGCATTAAAGGGGTAATTGAGAGTAAGTTTAAATGATTTAAACGATACAGCTTGGGTATTGTAAATGTCGCGTTAGTCAATATACACAATATTTAAAATAAATAAAAAAGGAACCTTTTTATTGCAACACTTACATTACCTAAGATGTCTATGCTATAAATTTAGATATTGTCTATGATGCATTTATGGTTTTAAGCTGTCCACATAGACGCATCGGAAAGAGTCAATAAGTGAAATAAGTAACGCAATTTTTGTAATTTAGGTACCACATAGTTACCTTAGAAAATAAAATTTTATTAAAATAGTATTCTAAAATAATGTTAAGATAAATTAACATCGTTTTTCATACATAAAAACAATGGTTTTTAATTTTTTATTAAATATATTAAAGGATATTTTGGTGTCTAAATTTGCTGTTTATGTGTGAAAATGTGTGTTTGTAATAAAAAGCTGTATAATTAAACAGCTAATGCACGACAGATTATATCTTGCCCAATTATCTAATATATATTAAGGTAGGGTCGAATTTATCTATAAGCTTGATATTAAAAAATAATAGTAATTTTATTAAACTATCAATTGTTGAAATAAAAGTTGAATAACTTATGAATTCAATCAAATTTTCTGTGTATTACTTAAATTTAATAGTTTTAGCAATTGAATGTGTTCAGATGTCCTAAAAGCTTGACAATTATAAAATGTGTATATAAAAAACGCACAAGTAATTAATTGCATATGTAACAAAAATTAAAAAAAATTGCTAATTAAATATGGTGAAAATCTACTTCTATAATTTTTGATTATAGTAACATAAACAATAGACTATGAGGTCCTATTCTAATTGGTCAAAAAGTGATAATGATAAAGTAGTAATGGTCAAGACAATTACAGTCAATTCCATCTTGTTACACTTTCAATAATTTATTTTTAACTATCCCAAAACATTCTAATCTATTGGATAATATAAAAGACATTAACTTTAAGAAATGGTGGCTTATATCATATATAGTATTTAAAGATTTTTCTAGTGCATTGTTACCATTATATGTAACATAATTTTAATAAAGATACAGCCAGAGATGTCGATATTTAAATATAGCAATTATGAAAGAACAATGTTCCACAAAATTGTTCGCCAATAAATATGCAAATTGTTGTAGAAGTTGGTTGGTTATTATTAAATGTTTGCGGGATGACAAGTTAAAAAATACAATACAATATCGTTTCGTATGTTTATAATAAGCCGCGGAGATTCAGAAACAAGATGAAAATTGCAGTACACTGTGCTTTATCTGCGCGGGGTATATGTCAAACAAAAAGACGGATAGTGTCACATGATTAGACTAGAAATGTACAGTGCCACATACTTTTCTTGGCCGGTGAGAGTGAATAAAGGTACAAGTTACAACAATACTATTGGGTTGTAGTGTCAAAACTTAGATTCCAAAAAAGGAGACTTGACAGATATTTTTTTATTAGTAATAGACAAGTTGTTTTGAATATAGAAAATCACAAAAACTACAATCCAATTTTGTGTAAATTAAGTTAGGGTTTTCTGCAGATGAATAAAATAACAGAATGGAAGTACTACCCCAATGTGTAATGTCGAGTTTAAATTATTTAGCAATTTCTTTTGGTGCTTCTGAGTAAAATTTTAAACAAATTGGATTATGTTTGCTAGTGTTAAATTATATATTTATTTCTTTAGTTCACATAAATAATAATTTATGAAGTCTGATGAAAGAAGTCATCTACAAAGTTTGAAATAATCCTAAGAATTTGCTTGAAAATCCCGTGAACCCAAGCGTTTTTACATTTCTTTATTAATGTTTACGTAGATATAGTTTTAAGGTGTTTCTACATTCCACGAAACATTGCTATGCATTAGCTATTATTCTTTGCACGTAATTTAAAACTTTACAAATTCTAATAACATATTCTTCTATATTTAAAGACAGTATATACTTAGTACTTTTTTGACACATTACTCTATTTGTCTTTAATGAAAATTTGCACCTTTAATTAGTCAAAGTTTTGATTGTAAGCTAGCTATAAATTGTGTCCAATTGAAATAGTAATAAAGTTTATTACTCTTCAATATAAGATTTAAAATATATTTCGTTCTTCTTGTTCCTTTTATTCTGAATGCATAAAATATTAAAAACATTGAAAAGTTAAGAATTTTTTCCAATATGTTTTTTTGTTTTGTGAGGTATTCATTCAGGTTTCCATTTAGGCATCAAGGCAAATTTAATTTGCTTTCTATATTGTTGGTTTTTCGCATTATGTATTGCATATATGGATTATGGATTGTTTAGTTATATTCAAATGTTATTGCTTTATAATTTATATAAACTCATATTATTTTGTTATCTAAAATATAAGCAGTACATTTAGTACAAAATCGGCTAAGTAATTTAAGTTTGTGGCTGTATAATCGAAAACAATAAAGAGTGGTTAAAAATTGTATAAGTAGTTTTTTTTTTTCATTTTTCCCTTTAAAGTTTTTAGAGTACACATAATATAACAATAACTGTGTCTTCCTGATCACGTCTGCAGTAAAGCATTTATAAAAAATCAATTTATTACTTAATCGATTTGCACTTAAATTTCTAAGAGAAGATTTTTTTAATAGGTGATTTCGTAAAAAAATATTGTCCACACGTGTTTTGACTTAATCTGTCAGGGGCTTCAGACAAAATCTTGTATTAAAATGGTCACATGACAAAGCGTGAGCGCATACAAATTCATTAAGCGTTAATGGGTCATGTCTATCGAAAAGTCGTTTTGTCTCTTGCCCCAGGCTATCACTTAATAATTTAATAAAATATTCTCACTTATTTTTTAAACATGTTTTCAGCGGTGCAAGAGCCGCAGGTTGCTTAATCTGCGAAAACTGAACCCGCGTGGTGGTTATAGAGTCGTTGTTTGAAAACTTTCGGATGGCAACATAGAATCATTGAATTTCTTAGGTTAGTATGATTTATAGTCTAGATACATCATGCAATTACTCATTTTTATTTCTATTATATATTTTTTCCGAATAGTTAACAGGTATAATAGCCTAAACTTGGTTTTATTTGATAGAATATTTCGTTTCTTTCGCAGGATTTGATTATTCCGAATAAAGTTGTGTTTTATCATAAAATATATAGTTTTAGTTTTCCATGTAATGCTAGTCATTTTAAGTCTCAATAGTAAAAGACTAAATACGTATAGTATTTAATTTCATAGAAATACAGTTGTCAGTTACTATCAATGTATAAAATAATAAAATAAAATCAAGTAAGTTTAATCCACAAAATATATCAAACTTTTAGGGATACCATACTAAAATTTTTAGATTTACCGCGCTTTGTCGTTATCTTCTTTCATTAGCCAGACTTTACCAACGAATATATACCTTTTGACAACGATTAATTTTTTTTGTTTTTAATTTTAAGTACCTATATATTTATAATGACGTAACAAAGTTGTCAATATTAAAAAAAATGGGTAAAGTATATCTGTAACTCATGTCTTACAGGGAACAGGTTAATTTTTCTTAACAGATGACAGTTAACACTTGAATCTTGATAGATGTTAGTTGAGCTATTTGAAATTAAAAAAAATAGTAATATATATTGTAAATATTGGAGAAATTATTATAACTCCAATACTATTATCGTACTAGGTGTGCTAGTTAATTGCAATGTTAAAACGATTTACTTCACTCATTATTCCAAATCGTGGGGTTAAGCAATTAGTAAATATTAAATGGGTTCGACCAGATTACGTCCCTGCATACAAACCTGAAAAATCGGGTGATTTAGAGGGCCTACCAAAAAACGCTGAAAAGTTTGCTGGCTTAGACTATAATCTAAGTGGAGAATTAAAAGAGTACGTATAGACTTTCTATATTATTATAGTATTTTCGAGGTTATGTTATACTGAAATCATTCGACATAATTTAGTGGAATTTTCATTTAATATTTCTGTTAGTTAAAAACTTATCCATTGATTTCTGTCATTGCATACAACCAATAACAAATATATTAAATTATTATTTTGATACCTTATCATTTAGTGCACCAGAAGCTGTGAAGCAAATATTTTCAGTTGCACATTTAGGAAGAAAGGAATACAAGGCTCTAGTACAGAAAGAACTAATAGACCGAGTCAGGAGGCATAAATATGATGAAAATACAGCTGAAACTCGAAGTATGCATTTCCACTTTTAGATTAAGCACCAAATGTCACAGAAATTTTAATATATGACAAATCTTATATGTAACCAGTACTCCTTGAACCATACCACAACAAGTACACCTAGACATAAATAAAATTATGTCAAGCAAATAGTTTGAATTGCAAGTACACTTAAAAAATATTTTGTTGTTTTTCTAATATATTATGAACATGATAGTGAACCAAACTTAATAGCTTTTTAGTGAAATATTTTAATTTTTAAATAAAATTTTTAAAATATTTTGTTATTTACATCACAATTTTTCAGTCGCCAGAATCACTGGACACATAAGATGTCTGCAAGAAACTATGGACTTGTTTCCTCGAAATGTTAAAACAAAGGTAAATGAATATTGAATTTCTAAAACATAGTTTCTATCCACTTACCATTAGCACATTCAGGCCACTGCAGTATTTAGTAATTGTGTGTATTACTTAGCCTTACTCATTGCTTTGTCTGTAGTCTGCTGAGATCTACATACTTTAGTTTCTTGCTTGCATTCTCTATATAATCATATTAAAGTAACACTATTAGCAGCATAATAGATTGGTAAAGACAAAACACAATAAATATTATAGGCTTATATCACTTATCCCGGGGCACAGTCGTAAAACACTATTACAACTGTTTTAATGTTTTCTCATTTTTGACTTCCTTGGGTGATGTTTCATTTTTGCAAAACATATTAATATACAAAAACACGATGTCTTTATTCTATGGATATCATTTTGTGGAAATTCTTATTAATACTCGTTTACCTAATTTTTCGTTCCTGAAATAGATCGCAACAACCATATAGTTTTAGTTTAGATTGTAATTCTACCAATAATCATAAAAGTTAATGCGAGAGTTTAAAAACAATTAAAGAGTGTTAATAATATATCGCTGTTTCACCAAGGCCAAGGTAATATATTATTACGTTCTAAACATTCATCAAAATGTCCCGTCGTAATGTGCGGATACTGTGTCGTCCTTAATTATGTTTAAACAGGAAAACAATCGTAAAACGCTTTTGCTCTTCTGTCTAATTAGATGAATTACTGTAATGTACATGAAAAAAATGGATGTTGCTTTTACAACTTCCCCGGGCGATATTATGTTTATAATACCGTAAAACTCTCTCATCATAAGCTTTACGAATTTTAGGACTTTTGAACCCCTCCCCCCGTCCTTGTCACAGGTTGTCACATTTTTATAAACCCCCCTCCTGATGTGACGTCACACATTTTTGAAGTTATACTTCTTTAGCCGCGTTATGAAAAATTTATGAGAGTGAAATTTTACAATGCGCGCGCACCTGTGACACAAAATTAGGAGTGTGATTATAGCGTGCGCGAGCGAGATAGGAATAAGACAATCTACAAGTAAAAAGAAATAGAATATGCGTGAAGTTCGTATGCCAAGAATTTTGAATGACCATAATGACATTTGTCATTTACCTTTTAAACAAATAAAGGAGTTTTGATTATTTTTTCAAAGAAATTTAGCAATGCTTTTTGAATTATATATAATCAGAAGTGATTTAAATTGAATATTTAAACCAATACTAATTAATATTTGTGAAAAAACTGTGCTCATCAACCTTCCTAAGTGCTTCATTACAATTGAGCTTAACTATCAGTTTGTATTATTATTATCGAGTAATGTTTTGATTATAAAAATTACCACATTGTTTAATCAAAACATGTAATTTTTCTCTAGCAAATATAAGGACAAGAGACAAAAAACAATTGATGAATCAGTGTAAGTGCACTAAATTGAATACAAAAAAAGAGTTGTCATCTTATAGCTGTGAAACATCAAAAACTGGAGGTGGAACAAAGCCAAACTATTTTTAATAATGCCAAAGAAGTATAACTTCTTACGCGCGTACATAAGTACACGCACCCTTTTTTAAATTTATGTATGTATTTAAAAATAATCGAGAGAAAACAGCTATTTTCATTTAATTAATTAAATATAGATCAAGTTCGTAAATTCTTAAAATTTTTAATTCACATCCAAACTTTGCGTTTTAGTATTTAAAATTTTAACATGTGACGTCACAAAAGTATTGACCCCCCCATGCCCCTTGTCACACGATGTCATATAAGTGTATATATGGTATATATACTTACCTCGTAAATTTATTTTATTTACAGAAAGTAGTTCAAGAGCTGATAGATAAGCGCAAGAAGTTACTGAAATTTTTAAGGCAGTATGATTATAAAAAGTTTGAGTGGCTGCTTGAGAAACTTAACTTAGAGTATAAGGCACATCCTGAGTAAGTGGCTTCCATTATGTGTTTTATTTACATTTCCCTAATTCATGATGCAACATCCTTTCAAAATTCTCTTAAACAACAGAATATTGCTTAGTTAATATGCAAAGTTACCTGAAGGACCTCTGAGATGGCCTAGTATTAGAACTATCAAAGTATAGCTCATCCAGGTCTAACTAGCAAAGAATCTGGAGTTCTACCCACCTACGGGTCCAAAGTGATGTATGGATGGAGAAATCTTGGCTATGAACAGAAACCCTTTTTTTGTATTAAAAATGTTTACTTGTTAGATAAAGCATATATATGTAAAATTTTCTTAATTAATTTTCTAGATCATATCATAAACTCACACGCAGGGAATCCCTAAGAAGATTAACAGAAATGCACTGTGATCAGATACGGAACCGAAAATTGGATGATTATAGGAACCTACTTGAGAGTCAACAAGGACCATACCTACAAGAGAAATTGAATTCTCTTAAATTTATAAGAAGTGAACAAATTGAGCTACAGTTACCTATAACAGTTAACGAACAAGATATTAAAAAGGTAGAAACACAGTTAGAAGAATGGAAATCAAAGGAAGCATTTAAGCAACAAGCTAGGCAAAAGAAGAAAAATCTATTAATAGATTAGAAGTAATGTTTTAATAAATGAATAGATAAATATATAGACTTTTGTTATTTTATTGATTCTTTGAAAAATGTAGAGATAAGTTATTACTATAATATTTTTTTCAAAATGTGTCCAAAAGCCATTCCAAGTTCCATTTGTATATTGAAACATAGACTTAGACAAGTAAAAAAATTGAGACAATTTAATTTAGCAAATACCAAAGTAGCTGACAGCTATGTTAAGCACAAAGGCAATAGATATGTATATAACTTTTTAGGTTTTTTCTGTGAATTTTTCACAGAAAGGTTGTTGTTTCTATATAAACCTTAGAGTTCAATATAAACCTTAGGGTTGATCGTAGAGGGGTGAAAATTAAGGGTTGTATGTACTTTTGTAAGCTGCATCATAGGAAAATAAAAACAATTTTTTTTTATCTTGATAATAAAAAATTTGGGGTAGACCACCCTTAACATTAAGGGGTTTAAAAGATAGATAGTGGAAGATTCTCAGACTTACTGAATATGCATTAAAAAATTCATAAGAGTAGGTCGACCCGTTTCGGAGGAGTATGGGAACGAACATTGTTACACGAGAATTTTATATATTAGAAGATTACATATTTAATTAATAAAAATGCAATTTCAATCAAAACTCTTAATGTTTTAAAATACTTTAACGTTGTTTACTTTCGGGATTGCTTACAGCCTGGCCACGGGACATTCGCCGATGCGAATATTCGCGCGGTGCGAACGGCGATGCGTCTAGCGACTGAAATAAACTCATAGCAATGTACTAATCAAGCCACGCGCAACGGCGACCGGCGAAATGTACCGAGCGAATCGCGCGGGCGACTGACGTCGCGACGGGCGAGCGAAACAAATGCATGAATCACTACGGTGCAAGCCACGGACTCGAGCGGCAGTCGCGGCGAATAGAGAAGGGAATAAATAAGTTTAGTCGTGGTCGCGGCGAAAAATTAATACAGAGTTTTTATTACTGAAATACTGGCTAGACCAGCTATTTGGAAGTCTGGCCATCCACAGCATTAATTTAATATACCTTAATGTCAAAAACAATTTTTCAGCGGCACTTAAAATTCTATTTGCATTAACTTTTTCTCCAATTCTGGTTGAATATACATAAGAATATAATCGAAGGTTTCAATACTCATTCTGGTTTACTAAAAAAAAACAATTCTGGATATATTCTGTATTTCTCATACTTCTTGTGGAATTCTCCACAATTTCTCCAAATATTAGGTCTTGAACCAAAAGCTATTACTTTCCAAGCAATATCGAGATGATTTCGATAAAGACATTTCGCTGTCGAACTTCCTTACTGGTCGCGGCGGCAAACGTGACTGGTCCGTGGCCTGCAAACGGCGCCGCGCGAATGGTCGCCTCGCCTCCCGCATCGCCGTTCGCACCGCCGATCCCCGTGGCCAGGCCGTTACAGTTACTCTGTAACTAAACGCTGGTAGTTACATTATTCTATATTCGTTCAACTCTTCCACCGGAGCGGAGTGAGGCGGCGGGGCGGAGAAACGGAGAAATATTAACCAATAGGATTGCACAAAATCTCCGCTCCTCTTTAGTAGACAGGGTGTTGCGAACCAATTTTATAAAATCATACATATAAGCGCACGCAGTGTGCCGCCGTAATCCGCCAAATATCATTGAAGAGAGTTCATGGCAATCATGCAATTTTTTGCCATCAAATTCAAATAATCTTTCTTCTGTCGATGATACTAATGATTCAACAGCTTCTGGGCCTTTCCCATCCACATCAAAAAAAGAACGATAAAATTCTAGATCAATTGAAAAATCCAAACCAGTCGCCCGCGGCCGGGAGCTCGAAATGACTCGTCGCGTACTCGCGGCCTAGCTCTCGAGGTAGTTTGCCACTACGCTACGCGTTACTTTAACGCTCAGCTCAGATGGACAGACACAGTACGCAACTCCTCTCCGCTTTACTCTGTCGCTCCGTTCCGCTACCTCGCTCCTCTCCGTTGGACAGGCAGCCTTAGCCACGAGAGGCGGTATAACTATGGTTAACCAACATTAGTAGTCTGTAGTAGCATGGTTTCATTACAAGACGACGTAATTGCATTACTGTTTCGTGTATACACACGTACCACCTCGACGTCTCATACGACGTTCTACATCCACATTTTTCGCTACGCTTCCTTTCGAGATATTTCTGAACCTATTTTGGTTACTACAAAGATAGAAAATAATGGTCCAGCTATTCGATTCCCAATACCATACAATATATTCGGCTTCTAGTTAGCTGTCTAGTACAAGTACGGGTATTATAAAGAAAACAAATTTATAAAATTATTTATTAATTCAATTATTATAACTTACATAGAAAATATAAAGCGCAATTTCAGTCAAATTTGGACGGATATATTACATAAATGCCAACCTTACCTACAGGTATAAAAATGCTAATATACAAAATTTAATATGGCCTTTATAAAGCTGATGCAAAAATACTTCTCTTAAAAACAAACTAACTGCTAAACTAATCCTAGTTTACAGTACAAGTGGCAAGAATCTTAATACTTAATATATAGAGTAATATAAAGTATAACCATCTAGATCTACTACATCTTAGAATAATCAGATAGTTAAAATATTGGCCAAAAATCAAAGTATTTTTCATTTCTATAGAAAAAAAAGTAATGTTTTTACAGTATCATTTTGCTTAAGCATATTCAACCTATTACACTACAACCTTATATATTCGAGAGAAAATCATAATTTTCATCAATATTAACATCATAAAAATTAGATTAACTTGTATCATACATAATATATTGATATACCAATAACTAAACAGTGAAACGGCATTCAAAGATATCATTTTTTATATATGTATTAAAAAAATATATATTTAAATATAACACCAAAAATATTGTGCTTTTAATAAAAACAAATGAATGATCCAATTCGCATGAATTAATCGTAATTTAATATTAATTCTTATTTGGTGTTTAATAAAAAAAATATAATTTTAACTTTTGAGTTCAATGAGCTCAATAACTGATCTTTTGACAATTGATAAAAACTTTAGTAGATTATTTTTAATACTGACGTTTAACGCCGACTACAGTGATGTAGTATGCGGCGCGCGCGCATATGCAGTGGGAATGAAGCCGGATCGACGTGATTTAGGCGCATGAGCCCATAACCAGCCTTCTACTGTTTGCTGAGTTAGGTCTGCGTATACCCATTCTCCTCTTTTCACTGATAGATCGTCTGGTGCTTGTGCCTTAAAATAAAGAAAATAAAATATATTTAGCTATTACATAACATTTTTGTTTGTTGCATGTTTGTAGTTTCGTTTCCAAAAACACGCGGTGCTCAATCATCAAAGTTAAATAAACTTAGTTGTTAATGAAAATTCATTTTGTAATTTTTTAACTTTGGTCAGTTAAAAATTCTATAATATACAATTATTGCTTTGAATCAATGACAAAATTACTATTTTATTAATCTCTTCAATTTCATTGTTCGTGTAAAGGGAACTATAGTGATGACAAACAAAAAAAAATGATGAATCAAAAAAAAATTGTATTGTATTGAGTCTTCCCAATGGAACTTGACAAACATGTAGCAAGAGGTATCATTAATATTGGAATTTTATCCACGACAAAGAATTCCATAACAATAAACAAAATATAATGTATAAGACTTTATTATTAAGAATATTTCCGATTTTATACACAATTACCTTGTAATCGTAGAGCATGACTAGCTCTGTCCCGTGGTATCTGGTGTCGTTGTCTTTTTGTGTGTTGTTGATAGTTTTCGCGTTAACTTGTGATGAATGAATTGTTTGGGGAGTTTCTTGTTGTGCTGGAATGAATATGCATTTCATATTATGAATTATTAATAATATCATGTCAAGCATCACGGCCCAAAACATGTCTTGAGGAAGAGAAGAGACTGACATAAATTAATATAATATGATTACTTATTTGTTTTCGTTCGTTTTATTCATTACAGCAGGTGTTTCATTGATATTTTTACTGTAATTTTTTTTAATAGAAATTTATCGAACTGAAATGCATGAAGAGTGGATTGGTAAATAACAATGGGCTTAAAATAAACTTTAACGAACATATACGTAAAACATCATTTACATAATCACTTAATGTTCGGAGTTTTTTACCTTGTACAACAGCTGGATACACAAAGCCAGAGGGAATAAAACCTTCTTGGCCATCGCTGCGCACTATCCAGTACCAGTCTGGATCTTCTCTATTTAGCACTGAAAATAATATATTATAAATCAATAGAACATTAAAAAGAAAAAATATTTACGTTTATATTCATAATAATTGTTGCTTCTCGATTCTATGCCCTTGATTTGAAAACTGGCAGTAAATTTAGAGATTTGTTTTTTTGGCAACAAGTCACCATTATAAATAAATGATAAAATGCATGTTATTTTAGTTACCTGTAACAAATTCCCCTCTTTCTACATCCACATCATTTTCATCTCTTGCTGTGAATGTGTACAGTACTACATAACGCCCAGATGGGTCTTTGCTAAACGGACAGGCGTCACCTTCACTTCCCAACTCTGAATGTACATCATTTGTTGCCCCATCTGATAGTGATAATCTGAAACAAGTAATCCAATTTTGACCTTACTTTGAAATGTTAATGCAAAACAAGTGGTTTTTAGCAAAACTGAAATATTTAAATTAAATTGAAACAATTAAAACTGGTTATTTTATTAAAAGAAATAAAACCCTATTTATAAAATCTTCATTACGTCAAGTAGGTGTGAGAAGGATAAGATAGGATTTAAGGCTTTAATTTGTTTTTAGACTTAGTTGAAGAAAAATTTACTTAAGCATGTTACATATAGGCTCCATGTAATATAAAAATAGTATAATGTATATATAGTCGTAAAATCCTAAGGAGCCAATGGCAATTTCTTGCCTGTTTCTATTTCATATATACTAAAAGTTTTCAAAAAACTAAATAAATGTAAAGCTGGGCCATTCAGGTATAATGTTTTATAAAAAAAGTATAGGAGTATTATATAAAAATGGTTTTGCCTTACTGTGAAACATCCCTATGTGCTAAGTCTGTAGGTGACCGGCTTCTAGGCAATTTCTTTTTCAAGTCATGATGTTCACAGGGTGCACAATAGGAATGTGGAATAAATCCTTCTCGTCTAGATTCTGCCACTATTACATACACCCAATCATTCTCTCTGTATAATACATTTACAATTTGGCCCCTTTTCACCTGCAAATAGATGTTAATAAGTATCTAATCAGAAACACCATGATTAATAAGCAACAAGTATTATTCTACACTAATTATTATTAATACCTAGCAATTTAATCATCTGATTATGAATTTAAAATTTTACAGTCAAAAAAATTCAATTAACATATATATTACATCTATACCACTACCTTAAAATACAATTAACTAATAAAAATAAGTAAACTGTAATGCAGGCTTTACCTCAAGTTCATCATCAACACATGGTGTAAAATCATGAAGTACAACCATTTTGGAGTCTGGACTCAGGCCATGTTCCTTCTCAATGCCAACTCGGACTAGAGTCTCGATACTTGCAGAGCCGGTGATGCGGCCCATACCTGGACTCAACCCTGAGCCAGGTCTTGAGAGATCCTTTTCAGATTCTCCTATACTTGCTAGCAAAATAATACATTTTTATACTTTAAAACACGTATAATGTAAGTATAGATGATTCGTAATTTTTTATAAATAGAAAGAATATTTTATTTTTATAAAATTAATATCTTTAAGGACTTGTGAAATGTTTACAATTAACCTAAAGTAAAAAAATACAGTTGAAATTAATTAGGTTTTAAATTATTTTTGAGTATCGAACGTTTGAGGTCATTGACTCAGTTCTCAGACTTTGCAGTTTTTCTTTTGAAAGCTCGTTATGTGTGTACTACTTACATTTTTTCTTTTTACCCCGTCTGATTCGCACAGGGCACAAGAATGCCATGTTTGTTTGATTTACAATACTTTATGAAAAGCCATTTACAATTTAGTTCACAAATATTTGAGATCAATTTATGTTAACTAATAAGTAGGTATTTAACTTGTTAATTGTTGCCTACTTCAAAAGTCAAAAAAGGAAAACATTTATTAAGTGTCAAGTGAACAAATTGTCAATCGAAAAAGGCACATAGACTGAAAGCAACCTGTAGAGCCTCTCTTGTCTATTAGCTGCTGTAATTTATCATATTGATAATTATGTAAACCTTAGTTTTTGTTGTTATATACGAACCGCAGGAAAAGTACCAAACCCAAACTTTAATTCGTTAGTCATTTTTGTGATCTCTTTAGCAAGGAAGGAACGAAGATGGTGAATAATTAAACAAAAACGCATTGGATTTGACATACGGGAGTTATACTTAGCGCTTACTCTCTACTCATAATCTTACCGTTGGTCTTCATATATTTTTTATAACTGCTTTTGTGGAACAAATTCTATGGATTACCTTTATAAAATGTTGCTAATATTAAATATAATGGGTCTCATTTCAAGGAATAAGTTAAATATTAGGCGTTATGTTATAGCAACAGGTATATAAAATGAAACACTTGAAATTACTAATATTAAAGAATTTATTGTTTTATTATTTTATAAATGCTATGTTATATAGTTTACAATTACAATCAACTCGTTAAAGAGTATAATAATGTATGTAAAATATTAAATTTTTAAAATATATATATATAGTTAGATATATAGTTTATGAATAGTTATGACACCCGTCCATAATCTTTTTATAACAATAATTATTTTTTTATTAAGTATAATATACAATATATCCTTACACAATATATCGTTTAATGTTTTTTAAACGACTAATTTTATATCTGATTCTACTGATAATATAATAAATAATATGTTATTTTATTCCTTAATTTTAACTTTTGGCACTATCTAGACGGTTCTTTATAAAAACTAGTTTAAATATCTTTTTTTTTATCTTTGAAAACGATTTGCCCAAAATTTCATAGGTAAGATACATAAGTTTTATGAATCGGACGTAAAGTCCGCTCTTAAAACAAAATTAAATATGTTGTGTATCTGTCAACGCATGCCACTGTTCGTGTCTATGATCCGGAAACTTGATACAATCCATCCAATGCTTCAATCTTCTACCCTTACTACTTGATCCAAGTATCAAACTTCCTAAAAAGTCATTTGGCTTTCCATAATCTTTGTCCCAAACTGTCAATGTCAGATTTTGGCGCGAAAGTTCTGTCAAACGGGTTTCGAAGAAGAAGCCTTCGTTCCAAACTGGATTTAGGTTTCGCCACTTAATTGACGTCTTGTGCTTTTTATGGTAGGGATCCGGATCCAGATGGCTGTTTGGAAACGAGTTTTCTTTAATTAATAAAATAAATATTCTGATTTGCTTGGTAAAGCGGGCTGCGGGAATCAAAAGCTTAAAAATAAATGAATTAGGAAAGAATATGTTTCTAATTAGTATTAGAAATAATTTTACAAATTGGGCATGTAATTATATTGTAGGTACATTCTTGAAGAAATGTAAGGTAACTTAAACGTAAAATCAAAATCGATCGAGGGGATAAATTATATAACAGCTACATCTGGGATAGAGTTGAATTACAATACACTTCACAAATATGCGAAAGCTAAGTGGCTTTAACAAGTTTTACTCTTGGCTTATACGTACATCTTAACAAATGGGTCAGAATATCCATTGCTATCCCGAGGTGGTAATTCGGTAGCTTTGCATACAGTCACTGCTAGTGCCCTTCTCTTGGTATTATAGCAAAGAGCTAATAGTAGTCTAGGACCTAATGGCTCCGAACTGGACGCCCCTGAAAGAGCTAAGCGGAGTTGGGCGGGCGATTTTATACATTCTCGCAAAGCTACCGTTGCTGAACCCATTTCGTCACAGCCGTATCTAGAATGAAAGGAAAATGCGTTCATTGATGAAAACGAATAACCCTGATTTATGTATCCGATATATTTCTTACACGATAATAAAGAAAGGTTCGAAGTGTATCAAAAATTCGTTTAAAATGTTCGCCTTATTGTATTTGAAAATCATTAATATTTTTTAATCTAAACAACTAAAGTTGCGATACAAAGATTCTATAGATGTATTGACTTACCTATCGTCGTCAAAAACTACAATTTCCAATGACTTCGAATTGAGGTCCGATTCTGTGATGCCAAAGAAATGCAGTGTTTCGTTGAATTCTGGGTTTTTCGTTTTATGCACGGTTTTAGTTCTTAATCTATTTGAATATGTACCTTCTGAAAAAAATCTTTTTATACATACTGTTGATCTCACACAAACATAATGTTAATCGACGTTCATATTCTGGTTTAAAAATCATTGAATATATATTCGAAGATCACTTACCAATGGGTAGAATTTCTAATCTACAAAAGGGATCCGATAACCCTGTCATGTCCATTCCTATTAAACCCCGCGCCCGAAGAACGCTCACAGCCAATGACGAAGTTCCATTGTCATACGCAAGTTTTATCTCTATGGTGCCAAACCCGGCATCTGGTATCACTGGAGGTCTTTCAGCCTTATTTGAGTCCTTTCTTATAGTTCTTACACTGCCTGTACGTTTGAGACCTAAGGACCGTTGGCTATAACTATCAGTCCTATGGAGGCTTAGACCAGATACACCGTGTGTAAGATTTTCGGTTTCACTGGCATCGAAAGCATCCTGAAACAAGCAAATAGTTTATTGCTTTAAATTTATTATTTTTATACTTAGACAGGTATATTTAAACTAGTTTATATCACTACAATCGACTTTCTTTCTATGTGCGCATTTAACATTTGCTCGATCGGTGAAGGAAAACATCGTGAGGAAACCGGCTTGCCTTAGACCCAAAAGTCGACAGCGTATGACACCTACTTGCCTATTTGATTGACGAATAATCATGAAACAGATACAGAAGTCAGAGGGCCAGACCTAAAAAGGTTGTAGCGCCACTGATTTATTTATTTAATCGTTTACGATGTTTACTTAGCAATTACCACTTAATATTATAAAATATTTTGTCATCCATTGACATATTTTATATAGGTGTAGAATAGCTAACACACAACTATATACGTCTATGATATCTTGTATTCTTTATTTGTTAACCAACTTTTATATAAGTGCCAAAACGATTTATTATGTAAACGAAAAACCAATAGAAACATTTTATAAAAGTAGGCGTTTCAAAAACAATTTACATATTATCCAATGGTTAAGGAAAATTCATAAAAAATATTGAGCCTTCGAAGAAAATAAAACAGCTAATTAAAAAAAATGTTTTTCGTAATTGCCTTCCGTAAGGATTCCTTTGAGGGATTTAGAGCACAAGCAATATTTGATTTATTGTTATATAACGTAATTGCTTGATATACCGTGACTACATCTATACAAATGTCCCACAGGAATGCCGTTTTGAATTTTCGAGGCTTTGTGTGGTTTAACATAACCGAGGACTTGAATAAATCCGAGCTATTGAAATCTTCACAGATTATAAAAACCAAGTAGTGCAGCACAATGGTTTTCTTTGGCACAAAGAAAAATCTTTGGTGCCTAATTATTTTTTCGTACCAACACTTTGTAGTACGGTAAAATAAAGCACCGTGAGGGAACCGTTACGTCTCTAATCCTAAAATCGACTGCGTGTTCAAAGACTGTAGTTACGAAGCGCTGATCATTTGCGAGTCTAGAAAAATAGAAATGTTTTCTAAAACGAAAATAAGGTAAATTCTTCCATCACACATGAAAGACACTCAAAGCTATCAAAACCTATTAAGGTTGATCACAGTTGTAGGGTGTCAATAACTCCTGATAGCCTTTGTAGATAGAGCAGTTAATAATTTTATAGCCACTATAAAGACGCAAACAAGTAATAATGTCTTTATTTTACTTAAACATATATATAAAAACAGGTTGCATAAGTTATTAGGTAAGGAGGGGCCTTATCGCTAACAAGTGATTACTTTCAGGCTACCATAGAAAAAAAAAAAAACCAACTGAGGGTACAAGAAGTTACTAAAAAATTATAAAAAAAACAAAATTACATGTAACACAATGTTAAACCTTACACATCTTTCAGATGTATCGATGTCTCCTTTACCTATCCAAATTATCTTATTAGATGATATTTCAGCCGGTATATTGCTTGCTTGCTTCATGAAGCGTTATAAAAGTTTCAAATTTTAATTGTAATAATTACAGTCCGGTAAATTATCCTTTAGGTGGTATGTATGCCAAAACCCACTGCTACTAATGAGAGCAAACCAAACGTAGTTAAATGTGTCTTAAGCTCAAAGACACACGTTTATGATTTAAAAATATAAATACTATTATACTATATAAAATTGTATCTACGACAGGCGAGGAAGTTTTATTGATTTATCTCCGCTTAATTGAGGGTGGTCTCCGTGTGGTAAAAGGGTGACGTGACGTCATTCTATATAAAATTACTGTCTTCTTTCGTATTTCAATGCTAACATAAATTGTATCTTCAAAGGATTTATTTAATTTTACCGAGTCCGCCTTCAAATGATAATTTAAGACATTTAAATAAGTCTACCGTAGACATCCAATTCTAAGTTCTTTTAGTTTATGCCTTAGTCATTCAATTCAGATATAAGATTATAATTACGATACAATAATATATTTATAGTGTTTGCCTGGAAGAGATCGCTCGAAAGCGATAGGGCCGCCAGTTGCCCTCCTTTTCATTTAATTACGTCAATTGTATTATGTTTCTGCATCGAAGTGTTAATAAATAAATAAATATGTTGAAGAAGAACATGTTTGACTAATCATTATGCTCTTTCTAAAATGTGTGCCATAGATAATTAAATTTTCGTGTTAGAAAATATCTATCATTTTATGAGGGAAATGCATTTTTGTATAAAGGTAAGTTTCAGATTCATCATCGTATAACATTAAGCAACTTTGATGCAAAGTCAGAGAATCTACAAACTTTAAAATGAAAATCTGCCTAGGTATTCACAGAAAGTTTTGCGAGAAACTAATGCAACGGCTAGCGGAAAAGTTTGAAAAGACCGTAGAAAATAACCAAGTAAATGTCTAATATATTTTTAAGTATAAACGTCAAATGGTTTATTTATTCTTAAATTCTTCAAAGCATTTAATAAATTAATAAAAGCAGTCGAAGTAAATAAAATATTAATGGATCCGATGTATTGAAAATATTAAAATTATATTATTATGAAATCATTTAGAATTAATTAAAACTAAAATCTGTTACAAGGCCATTGCTATTATCTTTAAAACTGGTGTACTGTTATGGGGTATATAATATTAAACGAAAGGCGAAACAATCTGACGCGCTTAGTCAAGATCATCTCCAGTTCAAACATCGACACGCCACAGAATCCGTCATTCTGTTTAACCTACTGAACAACAAGACATTTTTCCTGCTCGAGTTCCACAAACCTCTGCAGCCTTCACTAGTGTGGTAAGCAACAACAATTACCACCAGACAGTCCCAGTTATTTACTCAAGATGAACAGAACAATCTACTGGTATGTAGAAAAGTATGAAACGAAATAAGATCTGTTTGTGTAGGACAAAAGGGATTGCAAATATTTGCAACAAACACGGGAATATTGTATACCTAATCCCAAAGTAATGATTGCGTTTCATAATAGTATGAATGCGATAGTGAATTTGTTATGCTTATTAAGTGAAGTGGAGTTTTACCCAGAGTTGAGCAGTATCATTAAATATTATTTTCTATATATATATATATCTAGGTAATTTGCATCGTCGATTTTTGGATCGAAAATGCTGGCTTTATTAGTGTTTTCCTTCACCATAGGTCAAAACCTAAGGTGCACAATTGCATAACGCTCATCTTAATCACGTTGATAATCTGCCTCACTTTAATGTATGCAATCTTAAATATAATAAAGAATATGTACTCGTATTCCTTGTTCATAAGTGGAAACTGTATAGAAGTGTATTTTCAATTAACGCAAATGACGTCATATCCGACCGGCGACGCGATTAATGTGTCGAAAAGAAATGCAAGGACAATGACGAACATCTGTAGAATACAAATTACTTAATAAGGGAATTGGTAGTGGCAGAAGCTAGAAATAGAATAATCCTTGACCTGAAGCCTTTCGTTTGACGCTCTCGAGTTGACATTTAAACGTGATTAAGGACATTAAGAAGATGAATATCACTTGACATCTTTTATTTTAATTTACGCCCGCACTCTCCTGCATCGCAATACAATAGGATACAATTTATATCACTATCTTAATTCGATATATGTACTTCTATCTCTGTGAGGTTGCTCTTTCGTTATTTTTTTGTTTCATATTACTCTCAAAATATATTTGGTAAATTCTTAGTTAAATTAATTTAGTTTTAACAAACCGTTACTATTAATTACATACATAATAATCTAAAACCAATAATTACCTCACGATAGAACGGTTTGGATACAATCGTGAATACGAATTAATTGAAATATTATAACTTGAAAGCCTCACCTGAGATATGCTGACAGATTTCCTGCTATCAGTGTTGCTCGGTTGTCGGGAGAACATAGGCGGATGGAGGCTTAGCGGTGAGCTCGGCTCTGAATCTGACTTACCTTCGTTGCTACTGTTACCCGCTTCCTGAAACAATAAAGGAATTGCTTGTTCTAAACTAGAAACAGTTTAAAGCCTCTTACAATGGGCCTTAAAAGTGTTTTTTATAATATGTATACGTAACACTTCTTTCTGAACGGCAGAACCAAGTTTCGTGAAATATTTTATTCCGGTTTGTTAAATTTATGGAGATTGTCTTCACAAATACATATATCAATATCTTATAGGCACTGTACAATTACAGTCAAACCAATTCGTCTAAATACTGCTTTCAAATAAATAAAATCGCGATCCAGAGAAAGTTTTTAAGAAAAATAATATACAATATTAAATAAATATAAAAGTTATACGGAAAATAAATGCGCAAAGTTAAAAATTCTGTATCGTCATGTTTTACAAATGAAACGAGGTGTTTAATTATCCTAAGAGCAATTGATGCGAGATGTAAAACGAGATTTCTGGGTCATTTATTTTTCGAGATGATTTGATATACAGTTATATGGACTTTCACAATAACTTAGTAACTTAATAGCTGAACATACTACGTAAATTAATAAGTATTATTTGATTCATATTATATTATTAATAGGAAATAGCAATTTTGGTCACTTACCGAAGTCGCGTGGGCAACAAACACGATATTCATATAACACACTCTAGAAGACGTTATTTACATTTAAAACCTAAACAGAAAGGTAGCACTCGATATACTGTAGATAAGGAATAACAAAATTACCTGAAGTGATCTGGAGAACTCTGTATCATTATACTTGGTTTTCCGTTCTGGCAGGACATACTTTGGTAAAGACTTGAAGAACCACGCACCAGACTTCTTCCACATCTCTCTGGTCTCAGCACAGAGGTTACACATGTACTGTTCTCTAGAATATAATCTGTGGAAAGAAATTTAAATATAGATGACTAACGAAGGCCGGCGCGAAACTGAAAAGCAAAATTTTAAGATCTACGAGTAAGCTATCAGACGAAGACTAAACTGAGACATTATCTTAAGCCTTTAACAAACCTGTGCCATTTTACCTGATGACCCAATAGTTTTGAAAATCAGGAATTTTACCGCACAAAATTAAAAATAGTATTGTGTTCTTGAATTAACGAAGGAAAGTACCATTCTTTTCTGCTAAAAAGTCGCGGTTGCCAATAATACAATACTTGCTTATGTGGAGTATCGATGACACATTTTGGGCAGGCATAATTTCTGCACATGGAACAAAGCCGAAGGGGAGCCAGAAGCCTTGATGTTTCTCCGCAGAGAACGCAGCTTCTTGGTGCTGGTCCTTGGGCTGATCGGCGCATCCCTGGACAAAAGATAGTGAAATAGAACTGTGCATTATATAAGGACATATGTTGTTTTGTCTTAGAATTAGTAATTATGTTTGTTACTGTATATTTAAATTATACGTAGTAGTAGGTACTAGTGCAAAACCGACGGAGGATGTATCCAAATCCACGCATGTACAGCCTTAGTATTTTGTTAAGCAGTTTTAATTAAAGATTTATTAAAATAAGTTCACTTTAAAAAAATATATTATAGAGATACTTTACTTTGACATTTGTAAACTTATGTTTAAGAATAAAGGCTGTATGCTATATTCATAATAATTTTAAGAAAGGCCGACCCGCAACAAAGGCACCCGACAACTTTAAAAATAATAGCGACCATAAAGTGACTAATATATATCTGTACATAACCTAAGAACTAACCGTCGAATTACCTTTAGTCATTTGGAAGGTGGATAAAAGGGGTTATATATAAGATCACAGGAAAATCCGGGCCTGATAATTAGCATACTCTTTACAAAATAACAGGAACATGAGAATTCAAAAAATGCGTTTTTTTTTGTTTTTATTTATGTTGTGTTTTTCTACTACTACGTAAATTATCAGCGGCTACGATAAAAGGGAATAAAATTATAACCACGATGTCGTAGAATTAAGCCATACCTATCTATATATATAAAAATGAATTGCTGTTCGTTAGTCTCGCTAAAACTCGAGAACGGCTGAACGGATTTATCTTATCTTAGTCTTGAAATATTCGTGGAGGTCTAGGGAAGGTTTAAAAGGCGAGAAAAAATCTAATAATTTCTATTTAGAGATGACATGTCTGAGGATGTTTTGCATCGTGTGCGCCGTGAAACTTTGAATCCTACACTAAAAATGACTGAAGAAATTTACTATGAGACATTGATCGTGATAGAAGAAATGTGTTATTCAATACGTTTTGTTTGTTTTGAAATTGATTTATACAAAAGTTCAGGTCTTTTATTTATCGATTGAGGCAGTACGAAGTCTGCCGGGTCAGCTAGTAAGATATATAAATGCTTTTTAAATAGTTGATATATTTCTTTAGGTTTTGGATGTGTGTCCATTTTTAGAAATTACTTATTCTTCGTAAATATTAGGTCCTTACATATGAAATTGGCGTATTTCGTACTGGCCACTTTAATCACGATGTTCTCCTCTTTGGTAAGGAATTCCAAATTCAAATTTGTACAGCTATTTACTCATGTATTTGTGCTTCGACGACCGTCATTCATTTGTTTTTTTCTTCTGTTTTTTTCTGTTTGCGTCACTCATTTTACAAAATGGAAAATTTAAAGTATCGCATTATTTACAAGTACGAGTTCCGCCGTGGCACTAGTGCTGCGGAAACGACTCGAAGGGTGAATGATGTGTATGTATGGTCATGTTGCAAAAGAAAACACAGTTCGTTTTTGGTTCCAACGTTTTCGTTCTGGAAATTTCGACCGGCAGAACAAGCCCCGTGGACGGCCTGAGACCCAAGTTGATAATGAAGTATTGAAGGCTATTGTGGAAGCGGATCCAACGCAAACCACGTCCGAGTTAGCTGCAGGCTGCGGTGTTAGTGATAAAACTGTTTTAATTTACTTGAAGCAAATTGGGAAGATTAAAAAGCTTGAAAGATGGGTACCTCACGAATTGACTGAAGCAAACCGGCAAACGCGCGTCGACTGCTGCGTTACATTACTGAACCGGCACAATAATGAAGGTATTTTAAACCGAATCATTACCTGTGATGAAAAATGGATTCTTTACGATAATCGAAAGCGCTCAGTGCAATGGTTGGATCCTGGCCAGCCAGCCAAATCCTGCCCCAAGCGAAAATTAACCCCAAAAAAGTTACTTGTAAGCGTTTGGTGGACTGGTGCCGGTATTGTTCATTGCAGTTTTCTCAAATCTGGCCAGACTATTACAGCTGATGTCTATTGTCAGCAATTGCAAACCATGATGGAAAAGCTAGCGGCTAAACAACCTAGGCTGGTCAATCGCTCCACGCCACTGCTTCTTCACGACAACGCTAGACCACACACTGCACAACAGACGGCTACCAAATTAGAAGAGCTTCAAATAGAATGTCTAAGACATCATCCGTACTCCCCGGACCTTGCTCCAACAGATTACCATTTTTTTCGAAATTTGGACAACTTCTTGCAAGGGAAAAAATTTAACTCTGATGGGGCAGTCCAAATCGCCTTCACAGATTTTATTGATTCCTGTCCGACTGGTTTTTTTAGTAAAGGGATCAATGAACTACCTATAAGATGGCAAAAGTGCATAGAAAACAATGGTTCATACTTTGATTAATTAAATATATTATATTAAAAAATATTCGAGTTTTTGTTCCTCCCATACAAAACGCCAATTTCATATGTAAGGACCTAATATATACAGAAGTTGGACCTATTTAGGTCAAATTTTTCTGTGTAGTCATTGACCTTTCACTTAAGTTATTTGATGTAAATCAGAGGAAAACAAACAAATATGTACTTGGCTTTATTGTAGTATACAAATGGTAGTGGGAACTAGCTTTTACACTAGATATGGTTGTTGTAAAGGCTTGTAGTAATGCAATTACGTAGAGTTTAAAAACCCTTCGGGAGATTTGGTTCAACTATTTATGCTGCAAAACATACAGTTGCTTTGGCAGTTACAATATAAACGATTAATCAATATGCTTACGGATTGTCTATGTAGAATTAGATTATTATTTTAATAATACCTATTGTAAATACCTCTTGTATTGGACAAACTGACGTTTGAACAATCTATGAATAGTTTCCTTTGAATAAAGGGAAAAGCTATTTCTATTCAATGCTTTTGTTTCTGACGGACTTTATTACACTTCAAGAAAGACGTATTGCGATGTTTACGTTGTATAATAAATAAAACTGTTTTATAAGAATTGTTAAGAGTATAATCGACGTGCCTAATTATTTTTATAGAAATAATAATTTCTGTTTCGTTTATATCTAAAACATATTGTATTTATATATACTATTTTACTTTTTTTGCAAATACTATTTTTTTTCTATTTTGTTTGTATGTTCTGCTCCGTGACTGAACAGAGCGCTGTGGGTAAACGGTCAGATACACTGTCTGGAAGTCAGGACTTCTATAGAAATTTTGTTATAGTCTTTGATGGATAGTAGTAGTCCGATGTCGGGTAGTAAAGGGTATCTACTATCTAATAACCGCTCAGTCACTCTGAGTGCTATAAAAATTTCTTATCTTTTTGAACAAATTACAAACTATCAATGCTAAGGCTTATCACCAGTGCTTAGGGCGAAACCCTATATGTAATAAAATATGATTGAACCTTCAAGTCGGGCAACTAGTCGACCGATCCTTTTCGCCTCATTATCTTCTACCTTCTCAGCTCGCTTGACAACAGCAGATATGGCCTCTCGCTCAGCAGCTGTCAGCGGGGGCTCGCTGCGGGCAGCACTCCAGCCAGTACGTAACCTAAGGTTCGATAAAATTGTCTATTAATCGCCTTCTAAGAACTCGTTCTGATCAATACTAAGTGATTCTTTTAATAAGAATGATTTCACTAGAGCTGTCATCCTAACTCGACTCAGAACCTAAGGGTAAAAGGCCAACGTTTTTACAGGAAATAATAAAATATGTATGAACTATTAAACCGAATCTGCAAGTGTGCTTCAAAAAATGCTTAAGTATTTTTTCAAAGTCGGTTAAAACAGCCTATAATGTGAATGTAACATTATCTCCCCCACGATTATCGCTCTATCGAGTTTCAATCAATAATCGACTGATTACGTAATTAGCTTTTCGTGTATGACATATCGATTATTTTTACTATGTCTAATTATGACCAATATAGCCAGAAGGCAAGAAGGCAGAAGTTAACGAGCAGTAACGAGTAAGTACAAAAACAAAATAGACGAACACGAAATTAGAATCCTTATCAAATTAAACAATGTTTTTTCCGATAAGGTTTTATGTCTAAAATTCTATGGAAACATATTAGTGTAAAAATATCTAATATCCACTTTATACTGAAAAGGAAATCTTAGGTAGGGTTGAATGAAAATATATTGCTTCGGATCGTGTAATCTTTACACGATCGAATGACGACACGAGAAAAATATACGTCAAGAAAAATACCTTGCGTATATTTCCCAAGAAGTTACTGATTTTTTTTTATCTCTCAAGTGATTGTCACTTATATTAAAACACTAAAATACTTGATTATTTGAACTTAATTTACACAGAAAAATAGTTAGGTTAGGTTTGTCGGTTTGGAGGCTTATTATCTTGAAATACCATAAGATAAACTGGTAATTTATTTATTAACACTTCGTTGCTTAACCATATAAAAATGGAACATAATTAAATGAAAAGGAGGGCAACTGGCGGCCTTATCGCTTTCGAGCGATCTCTTCCAGGCAACCACTGTGAGAAAAAAAATGTATTAAATTAGATAAGGTAGGCAAGAAGTGCAAAAATACATATTACATATTAGTTATTAAGAAAAAACTAAACAGGAACAAAACTTGAAGATCAGTCACACGTCAGTTAGAAGTTTTTACGAAAGATAGAGATACGATGTGGACAGGTAATGTTTGTACAGAAGAAATTTAAAGGAAGATAGAGAAGGAGCTAAGCGAATAGTGACGGGAAGTGAATTCCATAGCCTAACTGCAGAGACCTTAAAGGATGCGCCAAGAAAGGAGGAGTTATGAGATGGGATTTCAAGGATATAGTTTTCGGAAGGCTGTAGTTATGGGCTCCCAAAAATTTGAAATCATTTTTGAGAAATCAAGGAGTTTTAGGGTTGAACAGGATGGAATATAAGAGATGTGACTTATGTGACACGTGAGCATCACGTCGCTGATGAATCTATAAATATATATATATATATATTTATACAATTCTAAATCTATTAATATTATTTATTATATACGATAATATTTGAACGGAAAAGATTCTGTTGAGCTCCTTAAATTCAACAATACCTTTGTCTGTTCCCCACCATTTTGGTGACTTTTGTAGGTATGTAATGTAGTGAAATAGGAAGCGGAAGTAAGCCGGATAGTGATGTCGCGATGCAAGGTTGTATGTTAATATAACCTTGCTTTATTTTTAGAAACAAAACAATCCTTTTAATTTATCCACAGAAATCAAAACCGAAATAAACATTAACGTGAATCATTTGAAAGAATGACATTGTAGTGAGATTCTCTGAGAAGATATTTTTGTATTATGAAATAACACAAACCTTATGAGATTTTCTACACCTAAATGAATATTTATGTATCTCTAAAATCTTTTTTATTCGCATTAAATATATTAAAAGGAAGTTATGATCATATATTTATAAATATTAGATAAGTCCACACTCCGGATTACCTTCTTAAAAAAACTGCTTTCAAGTGAGTTGATTTTACCTTATTTAAAATACGAAATAAATGCATTTTTATAAATTCATCACCTTTATACACCAATCATCGTAAAATGTATGTATTGAAATAAAAAATATATTTAAAAAAAATTAAACGAATTATAACATTATTTTGTTGTAGTTGTGCGTAGGGGCTTTTGAAAGATAAGGCAAATATCAGCTGAGTTCCGGTAAAACATATTATGTTATCACTGCAAATGGTGTACTCCGTAATTAAAAGATATATTGCTCTAGCAATATATGAATGTGGCTGCTTTGAAACATATTGTAACTTACCAATTCGACTTCCTTCAAGTAAAGGGCGTACCAATTCTTAAAAGGCCGGCAACACACTTGCTAGCATTCTGGCAATGTGAGTGTCAATGGGCGGCGGTATCACTTAACATGAGGTGAGCCTCCACCCCGTTAGCCTCCTGTTTCATAAAAAAAATGTCCTACTATATTCAACATCGCTTCACTTTACTAAAGATTTATAGTATAATTAGAAACTCTTATTATTTCGTAAACGTTTGTTTAAGCGTGTAGAATAAGATGACTATCCATAGAATTTAATACGCGTAAATTATTTGCTACGTGCATAAGACAATAATCACTATTGTATAAACTTATTTCTATTTAAAGTTCATAAAATTAATTCCTCTTTTATTTTATTGTTTACAATTCATTGTAATAAATAAGTCGTCTGCCGTAGCATTTTAATGTTTAAGTGTAAATTATTTTAAAAGGGTTAAATCCCTAAAGTTATTTGAAAAAATATTATTCTTCCAGTGTATACGGATTGATACAAAACTAGTATATTTAATACGTCCAGATAGATTATGTTTAACTTGCTTACATAAAAGTTCTTTCTCACAATTATAAAGTTGTTCCAAACGACAGAAGCAAGAAACCTCACAAAAAATACTAAATTAATTACTTACTTTGCTCGTAAAGATAATTGCCGATCATTAGGACACACATATTTATTAGCTTTACTATGAATGTTCATTGTACAAAATATAATTTATATTTTCCGGGGAAACCGGAGCACAGAACCGCGCGGCGATCCTTTGCCTGTTGATTTGACAACTGTTGCTTCGCGCGTGGCGAATACAAAATCAATATAATAGCTACGCTTTCAAAGTCAGTTGAGAAGAAACATTCCAATGGGGTCTATCCTTACATAGAGGCTTATACACAACGAAGAGTACAATATATAGCACATGGTTTTTATAGTATAATATTAATAACACAAGGTGCAATGGTAAATTCCTTCATTACCTTGATGTACTTCCGATAGAATAACTTGAAAATTGGAATAAATTCTACAAACAATATTTTGATTATGAGTATTATAGATCATACTAATCAACATAAAAAAACTAACCTGATTTTAAAAATTCGCGGGAGATTTAAATTACGCGCTGATTAAACTACATTTTTTATCTTTGACATATTGTTGGATGTACATTTAGAAAGTTATTTTATTTCAATTTACAATTATTTCATATTAAATTTCATGTTTGCATTTCACGAAAAATATTATAAAAGGCATTTCTACAATTTTTTTTGAGGATTTTTCTTGACAAAAAATAAACGCGTCGAAATGTCAACATTGAGTTTTTTGAACTTGATAAAAAACTATTATAATATTTTAAAGAAATAATTAGAAGAGTGCACTGACGAGTTGTTTGGATAAATACTGAATACCATCATCGAACGTAGAGGCAGAATGCAAAATTCCATCCTATCCGCAACAGGACGCCTGGCATTCCACAACTTAGCGCTTTTTAAGGCACTTTCTGCCTCGCATTTTACTTCTGTGGAAGCTGTCAGCAGAGGTATTTCTGATATTGAACGAACCAACACGACTGAGGAGCCTTCACGAAGAGAGCGTACTGTTCCCTAAAGGTCGGTAAAACACACACAATGCCCCGGAGTTGCAGGTGTCCATGGGCGGCGGTTAGCACTTTATTCAAAGTGCTGTAAGCGCCTGCTCCTTGGCCTGCTGTCCCGTACAAAAAAATTAAAAGTAAAACAAAATACATTACCATTGCGATATCTTATACGTCTAAGTATAATTTTGTGACTAAATTAAATTAATATGTTTTTCTTGAACTTAACTAATATAGCTGTTAAAACATATTTTTACATTGTACAAGTATTGGTTGTAGGAAACATTATTAATTAAACATACATAAAATACAATTGGAATGATAGCGAAATATTTTATACTAATACGTATTCGTATACAAAATATTACCGACTTTAAGTTTCATAAAATAATGAAAAAAGTATATCCTCAACAAGCGTATCTTAAGATTACATTAAAGTATGCTCACTAGCATGAAATGCTTTATAATTATTATGCCCAAAAACCAATAAAATAATAATCTATGTCACAACCGGCTATGCTATAATTTACCTATGATTGAATGTCACTTAAGATGACAGAATAAAACGTGACACTTGACACTGACAGCTAATAGGTGACTGTTTCTTTTTTTTTCAGTAATAATGGCGCACTTGCGAAAGGTGGATAGTTTTCTCTAAAATCCTTTTATTTAGTGCGGTGAAGTAAAAAAGTGGTTTTATTAATGCCGTACCGCAGGCGTTTCTCCGTCAAAATGCCGGATTTCGATGACGATGTGACAGTCGTTGATGTGTACGACTTGGCTTCAGATATTGGAAAGGAATGTGAAATAATAATTGAGAAGTACGGCCCTGAAGCCGTGACTGCACTTCTACCGAAAGTGATAAATGCTCTAGAACTCCTGGAAAACTTAGCAGTTCGAAACGAGAAAGAAAATCGGGCATTACACGAGTTGACCGCTAAGATATCCCAGTTAGAAAACGATAAGATCGAAAAAGCAGAATACAGACAACGATTTGAAAAGGTTTGTAACTAGAGGTCATTGTTATTTGGTGATTGAATAAATACATACTTCGACACGAAATACTGTTTATAGTTTCAACATCCTTGTATTGTATTGGCCATTTGGTGCATTTGTAGTTTTGCTATTTTTTTCACCTGCTAGTGTATTGCGCGACATTGATATCGCTCAGAACGTACTCAAGCATGTAATAATTAAATTAATATATGTACACAATATATGTATCTACCTAATTTGCAATTTATCATATTAAAATGTGTATTCTTGATGAGTACTGCACTGACATTTAGTCTAGTGTACCAAAATAATGCTTGTATTAAATCTTCAAATAGAAAAATTTTAGTTATCCTGTCTAAACATATTATGAATAGAGTTAAAATTTGTATCCAAAATGAAATACCATTTCTGTAGCTTCATACTTATCATACATTACTATATTTTTTGAGTAGCACTTTATTGAAATACTCGAGCTTGGGTATTTAAAAAATACTAAATAATAATAAAATTACTTCATCATAAATAATTGTGTTTAATTGTAATACTTTGTTTTGAACAAAATATCAGGTTTTGATAAAATACATTTCAATTTATTTAAATAGGTGTAAATAATGTATGTATAATATTTTCAGAACAATGTATTTTATATATCAATCATAAGTTAATTTAGCTGATGTATACCTACTCTATGCTTATCTAACAGTTCTTTATCTACCATTATAAGAATCTCTAGTAAGAATACTAAAGTTATTACTACTAAAACTACATAATTAAGTTGGTCATTCAATGTTATTAAAAAAACTGTAAACAATCCATTTATACTTATCTAGTAGATATAGTTTAAAATTACATTACACCTGCTCTTACATTTTACTAATTAACTACATTTAATGAACTGTATAATGTAGTAATCATTTATAACTTAATATCATTATTTCTTTGGTATAAGCGGACTTAAGCTATAACAATGAAATATTTTAAGGCCATTAAAAGTGTATAATATGGTAATAATTATTTTAACCATAAATAGTGATTTTATAAAAAAAAATATCACTCTAACATCAACATATTATCTTTGATTCATCTAACAAACAGGTGAAATTATGTTGATAAAAATTAGATTTGTATGGTGGGAATTGATTTTATTTTGTGGTATAAAGTATACTTTATGACCTTGTTTAAATTTTACATTTCACATGAAATAAATTCATTTAATCTACATTAAGGATTTCTTATCATAGGAAATAGAAGCAATTGAAGAGCAATGGAGAACAGAATCAGCAGAACTAGTCACAGCTGTAGCAAGGTTACAAGATGAAAACAAACGACTGAGAAGAACAGTTAACTCGCCTGCGGACGGTGAGTTTAGATGTATGTCTGAATAAATCTCAATATGGTGATGAATGTTCCACATACTAGAGTGGCATGGCACTCTTAAAATTTATATGCTAATTATTTTGCTTTATGGTTGTTCTGCCATTCAAACCTAAAACAGGTATAATAGTGTAAATGGTAACTGTAACTTAATTGTTCTCGTCCTCTATAATAAACAATATGCCTAAGTGGTGAAACTACAATATGTAGGTCCTTAATTAACAATTAAAAGGAATTTTATTGATGGTTAAAGCCAGTCTATGATATATTGTCTCATGAGTATTACTTACTGAAAATGAGTTTGGTACTGGTAAAAACAGCATTGCACATTTTGTGCTTGTGCTATTTTCCTGATTAGATAATTATTATGGTTCATGTGTGGTTCAAGTAAATCACTGGGGTGCTTTTACTATAGTAAGTTACTAAATTGTGATAAAAATGTAAACAACCCCTTATCATAGTTGCTTTCTTGTTGCATTTTTAATATTTATATATATTTTTATACTTTCTTTTGTCTTCACCAGAGAACAGATACATATATTATAATTATGACTTTAATTTTTATTAAAATATGTAAACTTATTTTCATAGTTGATACCTTGATGATCATGATTGAGCATTTTTAAATACCCTATTGTCTCTTATCTATAATTCTAGATTAATTATATTACGTATAAATAGCAGTATATTTCCATAATTATAAATGCATATTTTTAGGCACAAGTGCGCCCCCTTCACCAGCGCGGGAACATGATCAAGAGGTGCTATCACGGCTCAGCAGTACTGCCGAGAAACAGAGAGCTACTCTTCGCCATCAGGAGCTGCAATTGCAAGAGAAGCAGCAGCTGATTGACAGTGTAAGTACATATATATTGTTAACATGTGTGCCTTCTCGTCACTCTAGAATCTTATTCTCTCTTATTGTCTATGACCTTACACGGAGATCACCTAATTGTATGATACTTGTATCTCTTATATAGAAAGGCGGCGATTTCTATTAATATTAGACGTTCTTGATTTTATGATACGTCTTATAGGTATATTATGTTAACAATGCTTTCATGTAGTAGCTAAATAGGCTTGGTTCGAGTTCTGTGTGTGTGGTAACCTACTGACAAAATAAATCTTTTTACATGTGATGTCGGCAAAGTACAAAAATTTTAATAGAGACGTTAGAAATTAGAAAATACCCCACGACACTTTTAAGAACCAAGACATAGCGAATCGAGTAATCGGATAAATTATCAAGGTTCTTAAAGTTAAACGAACTCTGGGACGCGTAAACTTGAAGCTTCTTAATTAAAACAATACAATTTACAGTAAATTTTCTGTTTCAAAGCCGCCTGTTTTTAAAATTATTAAGGGGTTTTAATTGGAATTTAACTAATTAATATGAGTTTAAGGCTTCATTCAGATGCAAGAAATATAAAAAAATTTAAAAGACTTTCCAGCTGGAGAACTTAAAATGTATGCATGCATCGTATTTTATATCAGTCCAAACATTTTGCTGTTAGAAATTTTTTGGGCAGTAAATAATGATAAATTTAGAGAAGTCCGAAGTTCAAAATACTTCCCGTCTTATACAATTATGACACGAGAATTTTTATGGAATTCGAAGCTTAGAAGCAAATAATGCTTTTTATGATCTATTTTTATACAATATAGCGTAAACACAACAAAATGCTGTCAATATGTATGTTGTACTATGTACAACTAAAGTTAATATGTTCAAACATTCCACATTCCGTTTCCCGTTATCACGAAGTTTAATAAGGTGCATAGCGAGTATATATGCGAGTATTTACTGGTTCTTAGCTGGTATCGTTATTCCATGCAATAAAGTTGTAACTTATTCCTCTTTGAACAAATACATATTTTAATGAATGTATGCGAAAGATTTTCATTCACTTTTGACTCTATCTTCATTCAAGAATAATCATTTTTAAATAATTGCTTTAAAAAGTTTTAAGTATCTTAACTATGCCTAAAGTCCTTCATTACGGTTTGATTAACAGATTTTTCTTTATAAGTAATAGTTTAACTCAGAGCATTGAGCATTAACACATTAACACAGCAAGTAGCTACAATGTATGCAATAAATACGAAATAGCTAAGGTTGTGAACCCGTAAACACGTCGTCTAAGTACAAAATCGAATTAAAATAATCTTTATATAAAATGGATTACGTCACGCAATGCAACGTCATGCACGGCCCCTTTCACTGCAGCAGATTCACCTTTTAGTAGCTTCAATGAATTCAGGGTCTTGGCTAGTTTTTCTGATTTATTTATCTGATATAAGGGTTTTATGACAAACATTGAGTTTTTACTAAACACGGTTTCCACCTATTTTTTGTAAAGTTATCTTATGATTCACAATAGTTATGTTATGCCTAGCATGACTCACCGCTAAATTGTATGTCAAAAGTAATGTGTGATGTTGTTCCACAATTTATTATACCTTGTTTTAATAAATTACTAATTTATCCTTGTACGACCTTTAAATTTGGTTATATTATTTATTTGTTAAAAACATGCATTTATTAGACATAAAATATATAAATTCAAAAACTTAGTTTTAATTTGAATTAAATTTATGGCTATATTATTCTCATCATAAGTCTTATCTCTGAGGTTTCTGACTAACGCATCGCTCGTATGGTGAAGGATAATATCGTGAGGAAACCGGCATGTCCGAAAAATCAACGACATGTGTCAGACAGAAGGATGATCTACTTGTTTATAAAATAAGAATAATTGAAACAATTAATGTTCTATCTGAGGCTAAGACCAATACAGGGTTGTAGCGTCATTGGATTATTATTTTATTGGTGATTCTATTACCCACAAATTGAATCACGATTAGATTGTAACATTGCATGAATATCATGTCTAGATTTTTGCATTAGCGATTAATAAACATGCAAACAATTTCCATTTCAGATTAATATATAATGAGATAACAAATTTCATTACTCCAATTATATAACATTTAATTAAGCCTAGCCAAACGAAGCTCTAGATATCGTATCGTGAGAAGTAGAGCCTATTGCGACAAATGATATGGAAGTTGGAAGTAGAGGTTGTTTAAATTTAAAATTAGCCAAGATATCTCGTATCTTGTCAAACTAAAACACTTATTTTACTCATCTATAGAAAGCTATATCAGCACAGCATAGGTTTTTTAAATGTTTCAAAATGAATTAACTATTTTATAGTTAAATCCACAAAATCTTATTATTTTGTCACAATGAACATTTTATCCGTCAATTAAACATTTCAAATATTTTAAAGAGATCATTAAAAGGAATTGCTATTATCTTTTTATCTATCGAGTCGAGGCTCTACTAGTCCTAATATAAAATACATATGTTTTATTAAATTTATAAATATTGATTTACAAAACCGGGTGTTATACAAGTATAGTGTATTCATCGTGTGTTAAAGAAAGAGACAACAAATGTTTATCAGCTCTTAAATTTGATTGACGTTTTTGTAATTGAACATAAGCGGCTTTCACACTCGCGTCACAGTAAAGTACACAGTAAATAGTAATGTTTTGTTTTGTCAATGTTCGTTTAAAGCTTGATTTATTTTTAAATAGTTCGGTTTGTTTTTGTTTTTAAATACTAATTACAATTAGATAGAACACTATTACGTCTAATTATCACATGGTCTAGGTAATTTTATATTATATGTACTTCGATTTCATGTAAAAATCTAATTTCCGTAATAAGCCAGTTATCGTAAATGTATGTCGTACGGGGTCTCATCTACAATATATTTTAGACTAATATTATAAAGAGAAAATATTTGTTCGCTTGCATTTAATAGTCTCCAAAGTTACTGATTTTTTAAATTTACACTATTAGACTCCTAAATCAGTCCTGATGATTATAGGCTCTTGTTATTTTAAGTTAATAGGTATAAAACTTTGATTATTTAACCCTTTGCACTGCGAAAACTATTGACAATAGAGCACAATGATATACTAGTTTTATAGATGAGATCAATATCTACGAAGAAGTTAGCCATAACATATGTCTATTATTTAATCAAATAAATATCCAGACGACTGAACGCTAGTTTGGGAGTAAATGGGTTTCTACGCGAAAGACGTCACACATTTCTTCACTTAGTATATAGTATATAGATATATATATTACTAGCAGACCGGCCAAGCGTAGCTGTGGCTAAGGTTTTTGTTATATTACATAGTAGCAAACTATTCAAGGGAAACGGTAGGAGAACACCAGTCATGGGGACCACCATGCTTTTTTGGTGGTTATGCCATTAAATTGTAGCTTATGTGAAACGTTGGTACTTTCAACACAGCGCCATCTGTTAGAATTGTGACTATCAAATAATAAACAAATATTTTGCAATAAAATAATATTTATATTATAAATTGAGATGTAAGCTATCCTATCTTTTAAGTTGGATCAAACTACACACGGTGTGCAAATTTGATTGATATCGGTTCGGTAGTTTAGGAGTCCATAGCGGACAAACAACGTGACACGTAATTTATATACACTCGGCGTCAAAAAAATCGCACCTTTCCTAAAATTCGTGTCAAGCGATTATAACTCCGAAGATCCTTCCTGTACCCTATCATTATTAGTATCATTTGAAAGCTAATGTAATGCCTTATTTGAAAACAGTAGGAAATTGGCCACCACCCCCATAGAAAAAGAAAATTCTGGGAAAATGTGAAACAATGTGTATTCTGATCAAAATTACAAATAAAAGGAACAATACAAAAATTAAAAATAAACAATGACAATCCTTAAAAATTAGTCTTACAACCTAGTGTTGCCTCCTCTATCCCTCCGACCAGCTTCCAAGCGGTCAGTCATGGACCTGATGAGCGTCACGACGTGTTCATGGGGAATGTTGTCCCTTTCCTCGATGACGGCATCTCGAAGCTCATCGAGAGTGGCAGGAGCTGGATTACGGGCCCGAACTCGCCGTTTCAACTCGTCCCAGAGGTGCTCGATAGGATTGAGGTCGGGGCTTCTTGCTGGCCAGTCCATAACCTTGATGCCAACTCGACGTAGGTAGTCCTCGACAATCAAGGCTGTGTGGCACCGGGCGTAGTCGTGCATGAACTCGAAGTTGGTGCCGACAAAACCTACACATGGGACCACATGCTCCTCCAAAACTTCGGTGATATACCGGTGGGCAGTCAGAGACCCCTGGCCGCGACTTTCTCCAGCTCTGGAGACGCACACGAGGTCTGTCTTGCCGTCGATAGAAATACCGCCCTAGAACATGCAGGATCCTCCTCCATACCCGACGGTTTCCACGGTGCAGGCTGGTGTGAAACGCTCCCCTGGCCGCCTGTAGACTCTCTTACGCATGTTGTTGGTGTACACGTACACTCGGGTTTCGTCGGAGAACAGGACATTCCTCCAATGGTCGAATGTCCACGGCACGTGCGTTTCATAAAATCGCTTCCTTTTCGTCCGGTGGATGGTAGTCAATAGGGGGCCTGTAGCAGCTCTCCGGGGCAGCAAATTCTTCTCTCACAGCCTTCTTCTGATAGTGGAGACGCTGTCAGCTGTCCTTCGAGTAGCTCAAAGCCGCTGATGCAGCTCCACAGCGTTGAAGAAGCGGTTCCGCAAAGACGTTGACACAATGGAGCGATCACCTCGGACGGTAGTGCAGCGACGTCTCCCGGATCCATGTCTCCTGATGTAACCTCCAGTCTCTTTGAACCGTTGGTATACCCGTTGCACTCGAAATCGGCTGATTTTCAGTTGCCGAGCAACTTCAACCTGCCGTAGTCCGATTTGCAGTAGGGCTACCACTTGAGCTGCTTCTTTGCCATGGTATCCATTTTCACTGGGTTTTTTCTTGTTGAAGCTCTTTAGGAGTGACCTCTGTGACGTCTGAATAGCGAATAACCCATCATTGACTTTTACCCCCTCGTTATATACGCGTCCAGGGTGGTACAATTAGTGAGCCTCCAAACGCGTACATCGCCACTTTTTAATCAAAGTGCTGATGATTTGTGGTTTTTGATTTTCCGTAAACAAATGATTATTTTTTTGAAAGCTTATTAATTGAGCTTTTAAATGATACTAATAATGATAGGGTACAGGAAGGATCTTAGAAGTTATAATCGCTTGACACGAATTTTAAGAAAGGTGCGATTTTTTTGACGCCAAGTGTATATTAAGATATATAAGATAACGAAGAGTATAGTGAAAACAGTTAAGGCTGATACCGATGAAGTACAGTTTCAATATTGCTAATAATGACCATTTCCTGTTAAAGCGTTTGTCTTATACAACGCAGGCCTAGAACGGATGTATGTAATCGTAACACATATTTACTAAGTTGATTGCTCAGTTGCGGCCGTGATTGCCTGACATATATAAATTTTTTCACCAGCAATTTTATGTTAGTTACCTTGTAGGCAGATGGTTCTTGGTTCTTAACATATTTTTTTATTTTTCGTGTCACGTGTCTAACGTGATGTAAAAACTCTTCCGAATTGGTAAAGAAAAATGTTGTTTCTAAGACGATGTTTTCTACGTTCGAATCTAAGGAGAATTCTTTTATAACCTTTACGTACACAACAGTGCTATTACCACTATAACTATTGTAGTTTTATAAGGGTACTAACCTGTTCCCTCGGCCGCGGTAAGGGGTAAGAAGCCACATTACCTATGAGTTAGGGGTGAAATACCCTAAATGGCGGAAAGGATAATCCAATGGAAATACCTGTTATAGTATAATAAGAATAATATATATTAATAACTACTCAGATAGAGCATTGTCGCCCACGATCGACGATCCAGGGCTCCAAACGCATACAAAAAAATCATTCAAATCTGTCCAGCCGTTTAAGAGGAGTTCAGTGACATACTCATGTACAGTAGAATATATGTAAGCTATCCTATCTTTTAAGTAAGATTAATCTGCACACGGTGTGCAAATTTGATTGAAAATAATAAAAAATATACCGCAAACTCCCTATAATTCATAAAATTACATACTTTAATGAGTAAAAGTGAATGTACCGAAGTTGGTACTCAATAATGCTGCGAGTATCCACTCAAAACATTAATAGGTATTGTAGATAAGCTGAAAGTTGTTTCATAACAAAAAAATACGAGAACAAAGAGAAAGTTATTTTATGTGTAAAGTGACCTATGTTTATTGCCAATTGAAAACAATTTAGTAATAATAATACTAGGCACTCCCTTCTGTTGACCTGAATAATATATATTTCTAATAGTAATAACATTATTTGCGGACCGGTCAATAGTTAGCTTCGTAATAATAATAAATCTTGTCAAAGTATTATGCGAATAACTATTGTATATATATTATATAAAGTACTCACTATTTTTACTTAGGAACGGAAGGGACTAAGGTCTGTTAGTCTTAGTCACATAATCATTAAACCGAACCATAAGGGTTTGTATTAAATGAAATAAAAACATTTTCAGTTTGGTACTAAAATAAATGAATGTTTATTTAACGATATAAGTATTAACTGATTTTGTTTTTGGAAGCCTATTATACCCTGTATTAAACTATACAATGGTGTGAAGTGAACTTAAGCTTGATGTAAACCTAATTATAACGAAATTTAGTTAGACCTGGGACTGACCTAAATTTTAGTCCCTCGTAGAAATTTGAGTGGGTGGGCAGGTGCAGGGTACTCTTACATCATTTTTAACATTCAGGTTCGTTATTCATCTTCATAAAAGTAGAATATAACTTTTTTGTAGGCATCGCGATATACTCAGTTAGATTTGTTTAGATTGAATATTTTTTTAAATAATTATATCCGTATTCAGAGTTCACCAGATATTCGAGTGGAAGCTAAAAAGATCGTTATTTTGCTGTCTTAATTATGAATAAAATTTTGTAGTTTTAACTTCGTTAGATTTATTCAAATCATTAAATTAAGGTAAAATTTATTTTTTGGGTGGCTAAAAGCGCTGAAAACACGTCCCGTTAAACTCTGAAATCTGAATAATATTTAAGTAACAAAAGAAAATCTCTATTTTTATAATATACGCTTTGATATTTTCGACCTTTATCCGACCCACAAAAGGGATTTGTCCCAAACGTGTCTACGAAATAAAAGGAGAACTGATAGGAGCGAAGTAATTTGATCAAACATCAAATAAAATGGAATTGCGACTCTGCAAATATTTTGTTAAGGGTTACGTTCATATGAAATTGGGCAGTATTAAACTTAGACCTTTTATATTAAAAAATTAATTCAATTATGCTTTTGTATGATGCCTTTTTTTCATGCTTATTATAATTTAACAATTAAAACTTATAATAATTCGACTTCGATTCGAACCAATTCGACCTAGGGTCCTTCAAGAAAATAGCGTACCAATTCTGAAAAGGCCTGCAGCGCGCTTGCGAGCCTTCTGGCAGTGCGAGTGTCCATGGGCGGCGATATCACTTAACATCAGGTGAGCCTCCTGCCGGTTTGCCTCCTGTAACATAAAAAAAATATTAAGACATGATGCCAAGATCAAGTTGACGTTTAAAATTGGTGTTACTACAATGATTAAGCATAATCTTTAGTAAAACGTTGTAGACTTTTTAACCGACTTCAAAAAAGGAGGACGGGGCTATCAATACGTCATTTTAATGCGATACAAACATGTGATTTAGCTGTGTTGTGTTGAGTATCTGTAGTTTTGTTTCTACAACATTTGTTTTTTTTATTTCCGACCTGTATGACTGGGAATAATAAAACTGACAATTGACAGGTGATGATTACAGTAAGAAATCTTTTGTAAGGAAAGGAAGCACAGATAAAAAAAACAAAATAATTCCCTATATGTATTTTGACCTTTGTGAATAGCCGACCTAACATTGATCCCAACAACCTTTACATCACCCGGCTAAAGCTTTACGACTCCCTAATGCCCTGTTTTATTATCCAGCCTAAATGTCAGCTAATTTGACTCAACCCACTGATCTATTTCGTATAAGATCATTTATAGCTACAAAATTGATTATTTTGTTTGACATTTAAGTTGTACTTGTTGCGCCGGGATTTCGTATCCAAAAAATTTAGAACGCATGACAAGCGTCAATTGGTATTTCGCGAAAAATATAGTTCAAGGTACGTTGGAAATTTGTACCAGCTTCTTCCACTTGATCGTATTCAACGAAGAGCGAATTCGAATCATCAACGATCAGTCACGGAAGTTGTTCGGATAATTTACTCCAGCAGCAAAAAAAGATGTTTGTATATTGCATTTATGATATGCTTTCGTATACAGTGTAAGAAAATAAAAATTCTCTAGACTAGAATCTAGATCAAGACGTAAGTACAGAAAGGGAATGTTGTAAGCGGCGATTGTAAACTGTAAAGTGTTTAATGAGAGTAGAGCGAAAGCTGAATTTGCGGATTTGGACGAAAACTTTTCACAACGATAGAGCTGTGCGACCCTTAAAGTACATATTTTATATTTACAATGAAGCATCGATACAATTTCAATACAATAGAGTTTATTGTTAAATTATCCATTGAAAGGTCCACGTAATATAATAAACAGTGTATGTACTTATAAACCAAGATGAATAAAATAAAGTAGAAATAACGATCTCGTTTCTTATTAAGTTGGTATATTAAGACATTAATTATAACGAAAGATATTAAAAAACGAAAAGCACGATTTAATTAAAAGGTTAATGTGGTAAGTTAAGGTGCTAAACATACATAATATAGAGTATTTTTATAAGTTTGCAGTTTTTTTTTATATTTAGTTTAAAGGTCAAATATTTTTGTGTTATAATAAAATAACGCTTTTTTCGTATATATATTCGATTCAGAAAGTCCCACAAGTAGTAGGTTACTTACCTGTAGGCTCAGATAACATATAATATTTAAATCATTTCATATTTGAAATTATACTTAATATAAATTATTCTATTGGTCCTGTTTCGATGTTGTTAATAATTCATTTAATACTTTTGAAAATTCCTAGAAAAATATCTAGAAATTATCGATACTTCTATCACAATGCTGATTTATTTAGTCGCCTTTTTTATTAGCTTTCGTTAACCCCAAATAAAAATTACGTTATTGATAAAGCCTCGGCGATACCCCACATTTTAAAGAATCTCAATTTTATCAAATTTAAAATAAATTTATTGTTTTATCCATATCTCCTGATACTATGATTGATTATGGCATAAAATATTAATCAGGCATTTGCCATTTTGTCCGATAGCACATTTATCTTAATATGCCGTAAACAATTTAAAATACCTTTCTTTATATTATTATTATTCTAAAAATGTATGTAGCTTAGTTTCACTAGCTTATTGTTTTTTTGCTTATTACTCTCGACAGTTTACAAGTGAAGTAATACAATATTAATTTTGCTTATTGTCAGTTTATGTATGAGACAGTATAAATGGTAGACAATGCAACAAATAAAATATGTAACCATGTCACGACTAAACTTAATTAAAACTTAAGAAAGCTCCTTATCGCGTTATTATTAATGTAGAAGTGTTATGTCTAACATCTATGTCTTTTTGGCGTCGGGACGTGACGACCCCATCGCCCACTGGTGAAATAACCTGTGACAGAGGTTATTTCATCAGCGCAATCAGTCAACCCCTTCCTAGTGGGAGTGCCATGCTGTTGCCTTCGGGCTTCAGCCAAATGGGCAGGCACGACCGGGGCAGTACCACTGTCTCTCAGAAAACCGGCGTGAAGTGATGCAATAAGTTCACCTTATTGTACTCGCGTTTCGTGCGGTGAGAGGGACTCCCGGAGCCCACCCCCCCTCCCCATGAAATATGAAGGTGCAGAAAAAAGAGAATCTACCCCAGGGGGGTACCATACGCGCTCGCGGTGGAGAATCCCCCTCTGGGCGTCCAACACCGGGACATTCAGCACCCGGTGGTGGACGCACAGGCTGCCCTTCGTATTCTGGGGGGCAATTCTGCGCTCAACATCAAAAACAGTTATCGTTCTCGGGGCAAACGGAGCAACTCAACAAAGGCACCCCCGTCCACGCTCGCTGTGGACTTCACAAATGTTAGGGGGCTCAATTCTAATATCAACGCAGTCCACTACCATTTAGAGACTGTGAAGCCGGCCTTGCTCTTTCTTACCGAGACTCAGATTTCCTCCCCGGCTGATACTTCCTACCTCTCCTACCCGGGGTACAAATTGGAACATTCATTTGTGCCGCGGGCGGGAGTTTGCGTGTACGTCAGAGAGGATATCTGTTCTCGTCGCCTCGGGACGCTTGAAGGAAGGGACCTATCTAACCTCTGGCTGCGCGTAGACTGCGATGACCATCCGCGATTCTATGCATGCCTGTATAGGTCCCATAGCGGAAATACCGAAACTGACCGACTCATTGAGCACATCCAAATGGCTACAGATTCCCTGCTCGAAAGGGTTCCTACCGCTGAAATCGTGATACTTGGCGATTTTAACGCCCACCATGCCGATTGGCTCGGCTCAGAAACCACCGATCATGCGGGAAGATCCTTTCACGACTTTGCTTTGGCTTATGACTTGACGCAAATGGTCCCTGCGATTACGCGAATACCAGATGTGGATGGTCATAAACCCTCTTTGTTGGACCTTCTGCTGACTTCACATCCGGAGAACTACCAAGTCTCTGTTGAACCGCCATTGGGTTCATCAGATCATTGTGTGGTCCGGAGCATTGTGCCGTTCACGCGCCCTCTTCGGCCTAGCTTCACGGGCTGTCGCCGCGTGTGGCACTATAAGTCAGCAGATTGGGATGGGATGCGGTCTTTTTTGCGTCCTACCCTTGGGGGCCCATTTGCTTTTCGTCGAGTACTCCAGATGCCGTCGCTGACTGTCGCCGAGGTGGTCCTGCAGGGTATGGAACTCTTTATTCCATTCTCTGCGGTGCCGGTCGGTGGCAAGTCCCAGCCTTGGTTTAGGCGTTCCTGCAAAGCGGCTTTGCGCCGTAAGCGTGAATGCTTTAAAGCCTGGGCAGAAGCGGTGACATCCTGTGATGTGACTATCGGCGAACGTAAAAAAGCATACAATTCAGCCTCCAGGTCCTTCAAGCGAGAAATCGCTAAAGCAAAGTCAGAGCACATTGCCAGATTTGGTGAGAAATTGGCCCACCTCCCTTCGGGAACTCGAGCCTTCTGGTCTCTTGCCAAAGCTGTCCAAGGGAATTTCTGTCAGCCCTCAATTCCACCACTGCATAGGGAGGATGACTCACTTACCCATACCGCGAAAGAGAAGGCCGATCTTCTAGGCTGTCTCTTTGCGTCGAACTCCACTTTGGATGATCAAGGGAAGGAACCACCGACATTATTGCGGTGTGATACTACGATGCCCGAAGTTATATTCCGGCAACGTGCTATCCGTAAAGCTTTGTCTTCCTTGGACATCCATAAGTCGAGCGGGCCTGATGGCATCCCTCCAATTGTGCTGCGTACTTGTGCTCCTGAGTTGGCTCCGGTCCTAACGCGCCTTTTCCGGTACCTTTACACGCTCGGCACTGTTCCGAAGTGCTGGAAGATCGCTTCGATACATCCGATCCCTAAAAAAGGTGATCGCTCTGATCCGTCCAACTATCGCCCAATAGCTATAACCTCCTTGTTCTCCAAAATAATGGAAACCATTATTAACAGCCAGCTCTTGAGGTATCTAGAGGGCCACCAGCTGATTAGCGATTCTCAGTACGGCTTCCGTCGTGGTCGCTCGGCTGGTGACCTCCTTGTATACCTTACACATAGGTGGGCAGAGGCAATTGAGTCCAAGGGGAGGCGCTGGCGGTAAGTTTGGACATAGCGAAAGCCTTCGATCGGGTGTGGCACAGAGCACTGCTCTCGAAGCTTCCAGCCTATGGGCTCCCTGAGAAAT